CGGCCATGCCTCAATCATACAATTACTCTGTGGAAAGTATGAAAAAAATCATAATAAAAAAATCATTGTTGCTGAATAATACAATGTTTCTTTTCTAAGCCACTGGACATGGACTGATCCTCTTACTAACTTAGTTCTAGCCCATAGGTAGAATGTCTTAGATTTCTGCCACTCCTACATATATTAAATTCTAATTTTTCCATATCTGATTCTCCCATTAAGTGGAATCTTTTGAGCTCATGGTGATAATATATAGGCTTCCTACATGAATATGAAGAGTTGGCATGTGAATATTAAGCCTAATGTTCTTCCCCCACCTTTTTTCAGTTTTATACTTTCACCCTTTATCTAGATATGACAAATCTGTTGTTCTACCATTTGTTAAGCTGAGGTTGGATGATCCCTTGAATCCAGCTCATAATCAGCCTAGGAAACATGTATTTAGATAGGTAGTTTTATTTATCTTTAAAGAGAAGCATCTTTTCATTTCAGTCACTTTTCTCTATTTTTCTTTCAGTTTCATTCAGTTAAACTAGTTTCCTGCTTTGTGTTGCCCTACTTTTCCTGTTTGTTTTCTTTTTTATTTTTTTTCTTTGGGTTACTTTGGAAATTTACTTCTATTTTTATGTGAGCTCCATTTGTTTCTTGTATTAGAACCAGTACTTAGGGGCTGGGAAGGTGGCTCAGTGGTAGTGCGCATGCTTTGCATGCCTGAGACCCTGGGTTCAATTCCTCAGCACCACATAAGCAAAAAGAAAAAAGCCAGAAGTGGCGCTGTGGCTCAAGTGGTAGAGCGCTATCTTTGAGCTGAAGAGCTGAGGGACAGTACCCAAGCCCAGAGTTCAGGCCCCACGACCGGACCCAAAAAAAAAAAAAAAAAAGAACCAGTGCTTTATAGATTTGTCTAAAGACATTCATAGCTATAATTCACATTTTTTTTTGCCAGTCCTGGGTCTTGAACTCAGGACCTGGGCACTGTCCCTGAGATTCTTTTGCTCAAGGCTGGCACTCTACAAGTTGTGTCACAGCTTTTTCTGTGTATGTGGTACTGAGGAATCGAACCCAGGGCATCATGCATGCTAGGCAAGCATTCTACCACTAAGCCACATTCCCAGCCCCAAATGCACAAAACTTGATATACTCTATCCTTAAGTTATTTGTAGTTCATTCTGTCTTCCTGCTTTCTATGGTCCTTCTCTACTGCAAATTACCTCAGTAGTTACATGATTTTTAAATTAAATTTTCATTTTTCATTCCATTTTTAATTTTGATCAGAAGTGTTTGTATGCTTTAAATACTTTAAAATTCATTATTTGTATTATGTTCCAAAATATGATCTGTCATGATGAATGTGCACCCTAGAAATGTTATTTTATTTAGTTATTATGTGAGATGTCCTATGATTGTCAAATTTCTTTTTTTCCTAATCCTGTGGCTGAACTCAGGTCTGGGTGCTGATTCTGAGCTTTCTTTCTTTTCTTTTTGGTCGGTCATGGGGATTGAACTTATTTCCTGAGGACTGTCCCTGAGCTCTTCTTGCTCAAGTCTAGCATTTGCTCATGTGTAGCACTCTACCACAGCATCACTTCCAATTTCCTGGTGGTTAATTGGAGATAAAAAAAACTCAGAGATTTTCCTGCCTTCGCTGGCTTTGAAATGTCATCTTCAGATATCAGCTTCCTGAGTAGCTGGGGTTACAGGTATGACCCACCATTGCCCAGCTTATGTTTCATTTTTATTCCATCTATCCCTATTTCTTTTCCATATTGCCATTTTTTTCTTTTCCAGGCTTTTCTTTCATTATATTCTAGATAATATTTCAAAATAAATTTCATGGTACTACACACACACGCACACACGCACACACACACACACACACACAGTTTCCTATGCACTATTGGGATAAATTTTTAACGTTCTTATCTCTTACTTTGAGAATATTCCTACTCTTAGGTGCTTTTAGTTTTACTATCAAAAAGCATTTTCACAATGTATTTATTAAGGGCCCAAGTTCTGGTGAGTTTAGGGACCCCTGCTGATTTTTGTCACTTTTCTATCTCTGCATTTTCTAATTTTCATCAGCTCCTATATCCCTTCACACTGCCTCTAGCTGCAGTTAGCAACAGCTGACATATTTCATTTTCTTTTACCACTTTATGTTGCATAAAAATATTCTTGTTGTGAATTATGATGTGGCAAGTATTGATTACGTATCTGGCACATTTGGAAAATTTGGTGCTTCTGTGATGATTTGTATTGTAATCATAAAAGATAATTTCATACCCCATTTGCTTCTTAAAAGTTCTTTTTGTGGTACCAGGATTTTATCTCAGGTCTTTAGACTTGCTACTTGAGCAAGATTTTTTTCTTATTGTGCTCTTTTTTTAAAAAAAAAAAAAAGTAAATTCCTTGTTTTTGCCTAAATTTCAATTCTTTAACTTGTCTCTCTGATGAGATAAATGCAGTCTGCCTCTATTTGGTAGATCTTAATGCTCACACAAGTGTGAGAATACCTTTTCAACAGGACACATAGAACATTAGGTTACAGAACGTTAGTATCCTATCATACGCACTTTTTTTTTTTTTTTTTTTGAGGTCCGGTCATGGGGCCTGAACTCTGGGCCTGGGCCCTGTCTTTCAGCTCTTCAGCTCAAGGCTAGCACTCTACCACTTGAGCCACAGTGCTACTTCTGGCTTTTTTCTTCTTGCTTATGTGGTGCTGAGGAATTGAAGCCAGGGCCTCATGCATGCAAGGCAAGCGCTCTACCACTGAGCCACCTTCCCAGCCCCATAAGCACTTTTTATATAATAAAAGAATTTGTACATTGTTCACTTGGGACAACTTTGTAAATAGATATGTTTACTGGATTATTTACTGGAATAGTGAGGAAACAAGAAGATGCAATTAAGAAGTATCTAATTCTACATACAATGTATGTAATTATGCTTTTAATTTTAAGTGTGTATGACTTTCTGACAGTATTTTTCTTTCTTCTGCTTTGCTTTGCTGAGTACACTAGAATCATTATCTATACTTCAGAAAATTAGGATAAGAACTTAAAGTACTTTTGAAATAAATGTACCATACCATATCTTTAACTATTATGTTTATTTTTTGAGTGAATTATTGGGTATTTTTACATGAAGTATCTTTTTCATTTGAGAATATCTCAATCTTGGTTTCTAAATCATTGCTATCTTTAACTTTATCTGGGTTTAATTTTGAATAAACACTATACAAGTTCAGGAAGTAGTACATTATTTACAGTTTTATATTCCAATGAGATACAGAAATGTATGTGATTAGACCAGGTAAAGCAAAGTGTCTCTCATTTAGAGATTACATCTATGAAGAGCCAGGATTGTTACAATGCATTTATTTCTGGCTTTATGACTATGAGTGCATGGATAGGGTCATGTTTTGGCTGGGGAACAGAGGATGAAAACCTCAGAGACACATTTTATTGGCCTGGGGTTTGGAGGAGAAGAGAGGACATGGGTAAAGGTCATTTCTTTTAAATGGCTAGCCCTTTGGTGATTAGGTGGACTAAAGGATTTGAGTTGGACCAAGTAGGATCTGATAGGAGGCTAGAGCAACTTACCTATGAAACAGTGAGGGGTTCATATGCATATGGCATATCATGACTCAAAACTGATCCCATGTACCACATCTCCCAAGGGCAGAGGAGGCACACATGCTCTTGTACTAATAGATAAGGAGAAACAGACAATAGTGCAGTATATGTGAGACTGCTTACACTGGCATGTAAAAGATCGAGGCAAAGTCATCCATGCTTTTGTCTTCTCATTTGCAGTTTATTTGAGTCTAAGTACTAGAGGAAGCAAAGGAAAGCAAAGCAGTTTTGAGAGTGCCAGGAACACCTATAGAGCATGCAGGCAGGGAGGTAACTGTGTGCTTTGATCCTTTCCTCAATTGCTCTTTCATTTGTCTCCGCTTCCCAGGGTGTGATGTCATAAATACCCCATGGTTACAGCAGCAGAAAGTCCTGAGGGCGTGGCCAATCTACAGGCTGTGTGTCTTCAGGGATGCCTTGCAGGCCTCTGTGTGGATCAGAAAGGTAAGCAAAGATTTCTCTGTGGGAATGATGTTATTGGCTTGGACTGGTAGAGTTGGCAACCTCTCAGTTGGCAGTGCTTCTCAGTCCTACCACATCCAAGGCCCCAAAGGTGGCCAAGGCCCATACGGGAAATGTATTCTGTTCTGCAGGGTGCAAACCCCTAGCCTTTCCTTCTGTCTCGTGGCCATAGTGCTGTGCTTGGATCGATGATGATTCCCCAAAAAATCATGCCTTGGAAAAGCTGAACAAAATGAGTGAAAATTTATGCCCTTCTCACTCATCGGTGACTGAGGTCCAGCACAGTGAATTTCCTAGGTAGTGTAGGGCTGAGGCTCTGCTTCCTTCTGCCCACTCAGCTTGGGGCATGGCAAAGACTGGTAGCTGTGCCAGGATGCCTGTCCATTCAGGCACTAGGCCTTTTGCTTTGCTCAGTTCGGTACGTGTGCAGGAAGAGCAGAGATGAAGCAGAAGCATAAGTGAGACAGCCCACACCACCCATAGGATTCGGCCAGTGACCTTTGTGCCTTGTTCTATCCTCAAGTTTTCCATTGATTTGTCTCCACTCCTCAGGGCATGATATCACAAAAGCCCCACAGGCAGTGGTGCAGGAAGTGGCTTGGCTCTCTCTTGTGCAAGTTGGTGGTGGTGCCTGTCTACAAGCCCCATGAGCTGTTTGGTGACCTCTCTGCTGCTATGTCACTGAGGAAACTATTATCATCACCAGGTAAGTGGTACCCCATGGTATTTTAGTTCTCAAAATGATACTATTTCTTCCTTCCCCAGGATTACCCAATATTCTGTCAAGTTGTGGCCTCAGAGATGTGTTCCACAGTTGTCCTTATCATAGTCTTTCTTGAAGGTATTAGGCCAACTCAATGCCCCATGTGTTTCGTGGAGTATTCGTTCCAAAATACTGTAATTGGATTGGTGATGCCTCAAAAAATCATGTCACGAAAATCTGAACAAAATGAGTGAAAAATCCTATGACTATGGATTATCTATAACTGAAGTTCAGCATGATTACATCACCTTGCTAGTATAAGAACTCTTTCATGAGCAGGATGCTCCCCCTAGTGGCCTTGAATCTACTCAGAAGGTTGTAGAGCCTTCCATCAAAAGGGGGGAGTTGTTGGTTGGCACATGGTGGGTGTTCCTGTGAAGCATGGATTTGTGTTCCTAATGATTGTCATTCCCTTGTTTGCCATTTCACTATCCACTTGTCCCTTGTAAAAAGCCAGAGCAATGTTTGGATATGGTTTGAGTAGATTTGATTTTGACATTGGGGATGGGAAAAGACTCTCACCCCTGTATCTGGATTGCAGTCACCAGGGCTCAGATTCAAGTCTAGATTTGGTTTGTGAGACATGTGGTTTGGTAGGTCCACCCTAACTCAAGTTTCTGTCCCATTGGTTGGATTTGTGTTTTTTGGCCATTGTATAGGGTAAGATTTGAGAGCTTTCCAGGTATACAATTCTGCCTTTTCTTGAAAAATAGTGTTTTGAGCCAGGTCCCAGTGGTACAGGGTGACTCTATGTGCCCAGAACATGGGGCATGCTTGTTTGACTTCTTTGAAGGCTGATACAGGACACTAGAAGGCAAAACACTGATGTGAGCTTTGACCCTGGGCTGCACTAAGGCTACGTTAGCCTGTGTATGTGTGTTTGTGGAATAAGCAGGCAAGAGGGACACCCACAAGATTGCATTATTTTAGTTGATGCTTAGATAGGGTTTCCACATGCCCATCTATCAAGGCAGGTAGCAGTGTAGATGTACAGGCCAGGTTGAATTCTGTTAGTTCATACAACGAAGCATGGTTCAGGCAGAAGGTCAGTCTTCTCAGCCTGACTTGGCACTATCATCCAAGAGGGTAATGTGAGTGTAGGTGATGGGTAATCCTACTTTGGCTGTATGAAGTTGTTCTATGCCGTGTTTTCTGTTTTGTTTTGTTTTTTGGTGGGTTGTAGGCCTTGAACTAGACCTTTGCACTGTCCCAGAGCCTCTTTGTACTCAAGAGTAGCACTCTGCCAATTGAGCCATAGTGCCACTTCTGGATTTTGAATGGTTAATTGGAGCTAGGAGTCTCACATGGACTTTTCTACCTAGGCCAGTCTCAAGCCACAATCCTCATGTCTCAGTTTCCTGAGTAGCTAGGATTACAGGTGTGAGCCACTGGCTTCTGGCTCCAGTGTGTGTGGGGGGGGGAAAGAGGGGGGTTGGGGACAATTTGCAGCAGACTGCAGGGCAGAGTTGTCCTAGCCTACTAGAATGGAAGAGGAACCTGCAGTCAACCTAAGTTGTCTTAGTAGAACAATGAGATTGGCAAGAGGAACTTTTGTGTTTTTACATTGTGAATAAGAGTTGATATTTTGCATTTTGTAGAGGGAAGACACTTGCTGTGGAGGTTGTATGCAGCTGTGGCATTGCAGCAGGTGTGAGAGATTGGCCACAGCTAGCAAGTTTGCCACCTGCAAACTGACATTGACCCATGGCCACCACACCTTCCTTAGGTATGCAACACAGCCAACCCAGTCTCATACTTATCTCATCTAGGAAGAGGAAGAAACAAATCAAGGCAGTTTTGAGAGTGTCAGAAGAACGTGTAAGAGAGGACATAACTCTGTGCTCTGATCTGATTCTCAATTTGACATCTGATTTGTATCCACTTTTTAGGACGTGATGTTTTTGGAAGCCTCATTGTCAGCATGGCAGAAAGGGGTCTACCTTTGTGGAGAACTGGAAACTGTGGCCCATAGGCAGACTGTGTCTTTAGGGATGACTCACACGTCATTATGTGGCTCAGAAAGGTAAGCAAGGCTTTCTCTATGGGTTTAACATTGGTGGCAATGCTGCCAACCTCTAAGATGCCAGTCTTTCTAATTCCTACTACATTGGAAAGCCCTATGAGTGGCCACAGGTTATGCTAGTACTCTATTCTGCCCCTCAGGGCTGCAGAGTTCTAGGCTCTCCTTTTGGCCAATGGCTATGGTTGTGCTTGGATCGATGATGATTCCCCAAAAAATCATGCCTTGGAAAAGCTGAACAAAATGAGTGAAAATTTATGCCCTTCTCACTCATCGGTGACTGAGGTCCAGCATGTTGCCTACCCTAGATAATATAGGGCTGAAGCCCCACTTACTTCTGCTTACTCAGCTTCTTATATGGCCTCTGGCTAACAGCTCTGCCAAAGTGCCCATCCATTCAGGTGCTAGGTCTTTTGCTTTGCTCAGTTGGGTGTGTGTGCAGAAGGAGCAGAGATGAAGCAGAAGCATAAGTGAGACAGCCCACACCAGCACCCATAGGATTCGGCCAGTGACCTTTGTGTCTTGTTCTATCCTCAAATTTGTCATTGGTTTGTCTCCACTCCCCAGGGCATGATGTCACAAAAGCCCCACAGGCAGTGGTGCAGGAAGTGGCTTGGTGCTCTCTTGTACAAGTTGGTGGTGCCTGTCTGCAAGCCCCATGAGCTGTTTGGTGACCTCTCTGCTGGTATGTCACTGAGGAAACCATTCTCATCACCAGTGGGGTAGGTGGTGTCATGATTTTTGAGTCCTAAGAGAGATGTGGTTCATTCCTTCTCCAGGGCGCCCTTTCAGTCTACCAATTTGGGCATTCCCTCTGTCCTGAGAGGTACTTCCTACAATTGTTCTTCATACAGCCTGTCTTGAAGGTCTTAAGACATCCAAATGTCTGATGGGATTCACAGGAGCAATTGTGCCAAAAAATTGTTCTTGGATTTGGTGTCCCCAAAATATCATGAAAATCTGAAGAAAATGAGTGAAAAATCCCAATTCCTACTCTCCTGGGTGACTGAAGTTCAGCATGTTTGCATAACCCAGCTAGTGTAGGAGTGAAGCAGGACTTATTTTCCCTAACTTATGTTCATGAACTATTCCAGGAAGCATCTCTACAGAGATGCCCAGTCAGCTACAAAGACCTTGAGATCATGCCTTTCTTTATGAGGTACGCATGGCAGGTTGAGACTGCCTGATGGGTCAAAAGAGACAATGGGTAGAATTGCTTGAGGTTAGTGCAGAGAAGCAGGAAGTTAGCATCCAATAGTGAGTTTCAGGTTTATATACATCCAAGGGAAGAAGCAAGTTCGATTCAGGGCCCTTGTGGACATGAGACAAGCCTCACTGTATGACAGGACCCATTTCCCCTGGTAGCATGGACACAAAGACATAGAAGAAACTTGGCAATGATCCTTGTTTAGGATGTGCACAAAAGTGTAATGGAGGGGCTGGGAATATGGCTTAGTGGTAGAGTGCTTGCCTCACATGCATGAAGCCTGGGTTCAATCCCTTAGTACCACATAAACAAACTAGAAGTGGAACAGTGGCTCAAGTGGTAGACTGCTAGCCTTGAGCAAAAGTAGCTTAAGTGCATTGTCCAGGCTTTGAGTTCAAGCCCCAGGACTGGCAACAAAAGGACAGGAAGGGGTGACAGTGAGTGGGACAATAATGTCTTCACAGAGTGTCTGTGGAATGTAGCTTGGCCAGCACTCCCCCGTCCCCTGACCTGTGCTGGTCCTCATGGGATAGGTGTGTCATGACCAGCCTGACTCCACACTGGAAACACATGGATGTGAGCTTACCCCCACCTGTAATGGCCTCTTACCTTTTGTTTTGTATTGGGAAATAGCCAGCGGCAGTCTTCCACTTAGGATGGCCTACTAGGATCTTGTTGCTGAGTAGACTATGGACTCCTCCCAGGGCTACCTTTTGACTTTCATCAGCAGGAGGCTCCCCTTGGTGGCCAGTTAGTTACTTAGGGGAGGTTGTAGTGTAGGGGTAAGCCCCACTTAATTCTGCCCACCTAGCTTCTGGATCAGCCTCTGGCTGATAAATGTGCCTTGGCACCCATTCAAAGATGCACTTGGAAGGTACGCAATAAGAACCTTTATGAGACAGCCACACTGCCACCCATAAGATCATGGAATTACCTTTGTGCCTTGGTCCATCCTCAACTTTGTCATGGACATGTCTCTACTCTCCAGATTGTGATGTCATAAAAGCCCCCAACTGAATGATCTCCTATACAAGTTGGTGGTGCCTAGACCACAAGCCCCATGCTTTGTGACCCTCCACTGCTATGTCACAAAGGAACCTAACTGTTCTCAGCCCCAGTGGGCAGGTGGCTACTGGGAATATGGCCAGACCTCAGGAGGTGCTCCTGTGACTAGTAAGGATGCAGACACATGGCACTGTTGGGCAAAATTCTTGTTTGGGCTGAAAGCTTATATCGTCTTTTGGCAGTCTAGACATGTGAGATTCACCATATGTGTGGTGTGTGTGTGTGTGTGTGTGTGTGTGTGTGTTTTATGAATTAAGCAGGGAGACTCAGGGCCTTAGAACTGTCTTGTTTCTGGTAGACAGGCATGCATGGGGGTCGCTATCAGCATGCTCAACAAACAAGGCATGTAGATGCATAGTTGTACAAAGGCCAGGTTGAGTTTGATCAGTTTGTACAAGGAAGTGTGGTCCAGAAGGAAGGTAATTCTTCTGGGCCTGTGTGGCCACAGGCATCCCAAAGTGTCTGGTTGATCTATTTTTGATGGTTCGAAGTAGTTCTGTTCAGTTGCTCATTGGGTGGGTTTCAGTTGGCAGAGGGTGGGTGAGGGTGCTTCATCCTTGCTTAGAGGAAGCGAAAAAGAAGGTGCAGTTACCCTGGGATGTCTAGAGAGAAATGAGGCTTGCAGGAGGTCCCTTTTCTCTTGCCACTGAGCACAGGAGGTGATAGCTGGCATCGTGCGAATAGCTGCCCCTTGGTATGAAGGAGGTATACCACATAGATTTGCAGCAGGTGTCGGTACTGGTTGGGACTGGAGAGCTTGCCACCTACAAATGCACACACTAATCATAAGCATGAGGTGTGCAATGGAGTCATGCCGGGCCCCCTCTTCAGGGAGAGCAACATATAAGAGGAAGAGAACACAGAAAGGATCAAAGCACTTTAGACAGACATACAGATAAAGTAGATTGTGATTGTCACTCTTTGCTCCCATCCTTCTCTCAAGTGGGCATTTGATTTGTGACCAATTTACAGGGATTAATTTGGTGGAAGCCCGACAGGAAGCATGTCACCGAGGGGCCTGCCTTGGTGGAAGATCAGAGTTTATGGCCAGTGTGCAGGCCTTGTTTATTCACCAATACCTATCAAGTGACTGTGTGGCCCCGAAAGGTAAGCCAAGCTTCTTTTGTGGAGGGGACATTGTTGACATGGACTGGGACTGGTATCCCATTAGGAGTCGTTTTCTACATTCTACCCAATGCTAGGGAAATGCAAGTGGCCAAACAGCACTCTTGGAAATTCTTGTGAAATCGAGTGTTCTCTTCTCACCTGTGGCAAAACTCTTTGTGCATAGATCAATGATAATTCCCCAAAACCATTCCATGGAAAAGCTGAACAAAATGAGTGAAAACTCACTCCCATCTCCGCTCATCGGTGACTGGGGTCCGGCACTTTTTGTACGAGCTAGCTAGTGTAGGAGCCAGGAAAGCCTTTCCCTCACACGCATTTGTGTCGCAGCACAGGCGGCAGCCCTAGCCAGGTAGCCAGCCACGGCAGTGGGCCCTGGCACTCACCGTTCCTTTCTCCAGTGGGGCTTGCCTGTGAGGCCGAGGTTGGGCCGACTCGTCTGGGTCTCGCTTCTGTTCAAGTGTCTAGAGCTGCCAGCTAACCAGTTAGCACATCCTTGCTCTACTTGCTAACTCCGTGGTCTTTGGCCACTTGGGCGCTGTCCGGCTGCCAGTCCCTTGTCCAGGGAACGAATACGCAGCGTTTGAAAGGCGTACACTGGCAAACGGCTGTCATCGACACACTGCAATGCATAAACTCAAACAACTAATCCTTTCACCACTACCGTCTAACACTTGCACAAAGAAACCCCCACCCCCAGGCACAGGCACACGAAAATACATGTACGCATAAATATACACACACACACAAACACTCACCGACCCAATAATGCATCCCAAGTTTTGCTTGCTGTCCTACGAGCCGTTGTGCTCAGGGAAAAGGCTAGCCATATGAGGGGTGGATAAGAGAATGAAAGATAGCTATGGAGCTAGGGTAAAGAGGGACTTGTGCCGGGTCAGCCCTTAGCCTTGGGTCTTTGCTCAACGAGGCTCTTGATTTCCCTTGGCTCCCAGGCGCTGATTTCCCACAAGGCCTTGGGTCAGTGTGGCCTCAGGTTGGAAGCCAGGCCCAGAGAGCTGTATAGCCTTGAAGATGCCTGAGTCGGCCACATGCTCCAGGACCCTTCATGTTCAGTGCATTGCCCCTGAGGAGAACAAGGTAAGCCTTTGTGTACTCAAGAGGGTCCCACTGTCCTGAGTGTGGGTTGGAGATTGTCATGGCTTGCATTTGGCGTTCTGGCAATGGCCTGCCCAGAGCTGCTTTTGAACCCTGTTGGTGGTACTAGGCTGGTGAAACGAGACAGGCTTTGAGTGACAGACACAGGATGGATGAGTGCAGTTGACTGCCAGAGATATCAAGGCATGGGCCTGAGAGCAGGAAGCCCCAGGAGATTACCAAGGACTGGTTCCAACAGGGTAGCTATCCCACAACAAATTTATGCCCCACAAATGCACACCAACAAACACCCAATCCAATTCACACGCAACAGCCACACATGCCCAAACCATGGGCCCCGACATATGGCTTGATAAACCAGGAGCCGGTCACAAGTTCATGGTCATGCTGAACACATTCAGAGTTGGACACAAGAAGACAAATAGGGATTTGGAACAAGCTGCGAGTTGGCGTGATGGGTCAACCCTTGGCCTTGTTCCTTTTCTCAACAGCGCTCTTCATTGTTCTTGGTCCCCAGGCGCTGATTGCCCAGGATGCCTTCGGTCAGCGGGACCTCGGGGTGCATGCCAGGCCCAGGGAGCAGTGTAGCCTTGAAGGGGCGCAAGCCACCCGGCCTGCTCCCTGTCCCGCCGTGGACAGTGCATCGGCCCCGGGGAGAGACAGGTGAGCCTTACTGGGCCCAAGGGGGTTCCGTGGTGGTCCTTGGTGTGGGTGGGACCTGCCCTCAGTAGAAGCGTGTGTGGTGTTGAGGTTTTGAGGCCCGAGGTGTGTGTGGCCGAGGTTTGGGCTAGCCCTGTGGAGAGGAGGCTGAGGAGTCCCGCGGTAGGCCCGTGGGGTGCGATGGAGGTGTGGGTGCAGGTCCTTGGCCAAAGCACTAGCAGTCCGTTAGCGGGACTGTGGCAGTCGAGCCAAGCCGGTGGATGCTTGCATGGCCCGGCCAGGATAGGCAGAGTGGGCAGGCCTTGGGCCGGATGGGTCTAGGTCGGTAGGGCCGTCATGGCTGAGTGTGTGGGGGGGGGGTGGCGGGGGGGGGAAGGAGGAGCATTGGGCAGGCTCTGTGTTTCTCTGTGTTGGGCAGGGCCTTGTGAATTGGGGCTCCGAGGAGCCTGCCGTCAGCAGGCGGCTCAGAGGCGTCCCCAGTCCTCCCCCGACAGTGGGCAGAGGCCCTGGCAGAGTCCGTGCAGGAGGGTTGAAGGAGAAGCAGCTTAGCGCGGGCGCCCCCTGGGCCCTGTTGCCGGTACGACGATGCTGGTGAAAGGAGACGGGCTGTGAGTGGCAGACACTGCATGGGTGTGTGCAGGTGGCGGGCAGAGATTTCAAGGCGTGGTCCTGCGACAACTACACAGGACTGGGTAGTGGGTCAGGGTAGCTGGCCCACACCAACCTGACGCCCACGCGAACCCGCACACCCGCACACCCACGAACAGACACACACGCAACACAGGCACGCATGCCCCCACCCACGGGCCCCCTCATCTGGCTTGGTAGACCCCGAGCGCTGTCACAGGCGCATGGTCGTGCCGAAACCCCTGGAGGAGGGTGGCACCGGAAAGCAGAAGACAGATAGCTGTGGAGTTGGGGCAAGCTGCGAGTTGGCGTGACGGGTCAGCTCTTGGCCTCGTTCCTTTTCCTCAACGGCGCTCTTGATTGTTCTCGGTCCCCAGGCGCTGATTGCCCAGGATGCCTTCGGTCAGCGGGACCTCGGGGTGCATGCCAGGCCCAGGGAGCAGTGTAGCCTTGAAGGGGCGCGAGCCGCCCGGCCTGCTCCCTGTCCCGCCGTGGACAGTGCATCGGCCCCGGGGAGAGAGAGGTGAGCCTTACTGGGCCCAAGGGGGTTCCGTGCTGGTCCTTGGTGTGGGTGGGAGCTGCTCAAGGCTTGCCGTTCGGCGTTGCGGCAAATGTCCTGGCCAGTGCTGCTCGCGCCCCGCGGGCCGGGTCCCGCTCGGCGCCCAGAGCCTGTGCTTGGATCGATGATGATTCCCCAAAAAAACATTCCTTGGAAAAGCTGAACAAAATGAGTGAAAACTCACTCCCGTCTCCGCTCATCGGTGACTGAGGTCCGGCACTTTTTGCACCAGCCAGCTAGTGTAGGAGCCAGGAAGGCCTTTCCCTCACACGCATTTGTGCCCCGGCACGGGCGGCAGCCCTAGACAGGTAGCCAGCCACGGCAGTGGGCCCTGGCACTCACCGTTCCTTTCTCCAGTGGGGCTTGCCTGTGAGGCCGAGGTTGGGCCGACCCGTCTGGGTCTCGCTTCTGCTCAAGTGTCTAGAGCTGCCAGCCAACCAGTTAGTAGCACATCCTTGCTCTGCTTGCCGACTCCGTGGTCTTTGGCCACGTGGGCGCCGTCGGGCTGCCAGTCCCTTGTCCAGGGGACGAATAGGCAGCGTTTGAAAGGCATGCACCCGCAAACGGCTGCCTTGGACACACCGCAACGCGTAGACTCCAACAACCAATCCCTTCACCACCACCGTCTCACACTTGCACAAAGAAACCCCAACCCCCAGGCACAGGCACACGAACACACACGCACCTGCGCCCGCTCACACACACACACACACACGCGCGCGCGCGCACACATACATCCTGTGCGACTAATGGGCCCCAAGTTTTGCCTGCCTTCCTACGAGCTGTTGTGCTCATGGGCCAGACAAGCCCCGTGAGGGCGGGATAGGAGAATGAAAGAGAGCTATGGAGCTAGGGCAAGGAGGGAGTTTTGCGCGACGGGTCAGCCATTGGCCTTGGTCCTTTCCTCAACGGCCCTCTTGATTTCTCTTCGCTCCCAGGCGCTGATTTCCCAGGAGACCTTCGGTCAGCGGGGCCACGGGTTGGCAGCCAGGCCCAGAGAGCAGTGTAGCCTTGAAGGGGCGCGAGCCGCCCGGCCTGCTGGGTCGTGACCCGCCGTGGACAGTGCATCGGCCCCGAGGAGAGAGGGAGGTAAGCCTCGCTGTGCCCGAGGGGGTCCCGCTGTCGTCGGTGTGGGCTGGAGCTTGGCCTGCCCCGAGCTGCTGGCGCCCAGCGTGCCGTGTGCTGCTTGGCGCCCAGCGGGTGTGCTTGGATCGATGATGACTCCCCAAAATAACATTCCTTGGAAGCTGAACAAAATGAGTGAAAACTCTATAACCGTCGTTCTCATCGTGACTGAGGTCCACAGTCAGGTAGTGTAGGAGCGGGGGCCCGAGTCGCAGTCGCACACATTCTTTGCACCTGCGGGGCGCTTGCTGAAGACCGCCTCCCTGGCACTCAGACACTGCCATCCTGGGCTTGCTGTGGGTTGGGAGCACGCTCGCTCTGTGGGGCAGTTTGGTTAGGTGGATGGAGGCCACGCCCAGCCTGTGCCCGCGATAGGCATCCCTGGCCTCTGGCCGGCTGGGCTGTGACGGGGCAGCCGGTGCGTGGCTTGTGTCCCCGGGTAGGAAGAGGAGGAGGCGCCTAGGTGTTTGACAGATGTGCGCGTGGTGATTGGATCCCCAGGTAGAAGCGTGTGCCCTCAGTAGAAGCGTGTGTGGTGTTGAGGTTTTGTGGCCCGAGGTGTGTGTGGCCGAGGTTTGGGCTAGCCCACCCCCGCAGGCTTGGTGTTGGTCTCCCAGAGACCAAGTCTGGCTGCCCAGAGGTTCCCCGTTGAGGGTATGGGGAAGGAGAGCCCGCCTTGGGGCGGACAGTGGAGCCAGCTAGGAGAGGATTGGGTCCCTGTTGGCATGCGGGGAGTGGGAGGAGTGCGCAGTGCAGGGGTGCGTTTGGCGGCTTGCAGTGGCCAGGGCTGAGTTCCCCATGGGGCGGGCGGGCGGGCGGGCGGGCGGGCGGGGAGCTGCAGTGGGGCTGGTTTGGGCCCTGTGGTCATTGTGTGCCCTGGTCCCCTGCAGGCGCATTTGGTGCACTGCGGAACGGGGGGTGGGGAGGGGTGGTTGGGTGCGGGTTTCAAGCGCCCGGGCCCTTTGGGGAAATCCACCCCCGGGGGTGCAGAGTGCGGTGCGGCCAGGCCCAGGATTGACTTGAGGCGGAGTGCGGGGCCTGGGCAGAGACTGTCCGCTGAGTTTTCTTGCTGGTCTGGGGACAGCCTTGGGCAGGGTGCGCGGTGTGATGGTGGCGGGCGCTTGTGCCGTTAGTGTCCCCCGCCGGCAGCGCAGGTTGCGCAGGCCTGTGGGGAGGAGGCTGAGGAGTCCCGCGGTTGGCCCGTGGGGTGCGATGGAGGTGTGGGTGCAGGTCCTTGGCCAAAGCACTAGCAGTCCGTTAGCGGGACTGTGGCAGTCGAGCCAAGCCGGTGGATGCTTGCATGGCCCGGCCAGGATAGGCAGAGTGGGCAGGCCTTGGGCCGGATGGGTCTAGGTCGGTAGGGCCGTCATGGCTGAGTGTGTGTGGGGGGTGGCGGGGGGGAAGGAGGAGCATTGGGCAGGCTCTGTGTTTCTCTGTGTTGGGCAGGGCCTTGTGAATTGGGGCTCCGAGGAGCCTGCCGTCAGCAGGCGGCTCAGAGGCGTCCCCAGTCCTCCCCCGACAGTGGGCAGAGGCCCTGGCAGAGTCCGTGCAGGAGGGTTGAAGGAGAAGCAGCTTAGCGCGGGCGCCCCCTGGGCCCTGTTGCCGGTACGACGATGCTGGTGAAAGGAGACGGGCTGTGAGTGGCAGACACTGCATGGGTGTGTGCAGGTGGCGGGCAGAGATTTCAAGGCGTGGTCCTGCGACAACTACACAGGACTGGGTAGTGGGTCAGGGTAGCTGGCCCACACCAACCTGACGCCCACGCGAACCCGCACACCCGCACACCCACGAACAGACACACACGCAACACAGGCACGCATGCCCCCACCCACGGGCCCCCTCATCTGGCTTGGTAGACCCCGAGCGCTGTCACAGGCGCATGGTCGTGCCGAAACCCCTGGAGGAGGGTGGCACCGGAAAGCAGAAGACAGATAGCTGTGGAGTTGGGGCAAGCTGCGAGTTGGCGTGACGGGTCAGCTCTTGGCCTCGTTCCTTTTCCTCAACGGCGCTCTTGATTGTTCTCGGTCCCCAGGCGCTGATTGCCCAGGATGCCTTCGGTCAGCGGGACCTCGGGGTGCATGCCAGGCCCAGGGAGCAGTGTAGCCTTGAAGGGGCGCGAGCCGCCCGGCCTGCTCCCTGTCCCGCCGTGGACAGTGCATCGGCCCCGGGGAGAGAGAGGTGAGCCTTACTGGGCCCAAGGGGGTTCCGTGCTGGTCCTTGGTGTGGGTGGGAGCTGCTCAAGGCTTGCCGTTCGGCGTTGCGGCAAATGTCCTGGCCAGTGCTGCTCGCGCCCCGCGGGCCGGGTCCCGCTCGGCGCCCAGAGCCTGTGCTTGGATCGATGATGATTCCCCAAAAAAACATTCCTTGGAAAAGCTGAACAAAATGAGTGAAAACTCACTCCCGTCTCCGCTCATCGGTGACTGAGGTCCGGCACTTTTTGCACCAGCCAGCTAGTGTAGGAGCCAGGAAGGCCTTTCCCTCACACGCATTTGTGCCCCGGCACGGGCGGCAGCCCTAGACAGGTAGCCAGCCACGGCAGTGGGCCCTGGCACTCACCGTTCCTTTCTCCAGTGGGGCTTGCCTGTGAGGCCGAGGTTGGGCCGACCCGTCTGGGTCTCGCTTCTGCTCAAGTGTCTAGAGCTGCCAGCCAACCAGTTAGTAGCACATCCTTGCTCTGCTTGCCGACTCCGTGGTCTTTGGCCACGTGGGCGCCGTCGGGCTGCCAGTCCCTTGTCCAGGGGACGAATAGGCAGCGTTTGAAAGGCATGCACCCGCAAACGGCTGCCTTGGACACACCGCAACGCGTAGACTCCAACAACCAATCCCTTCACCACCACCGTCTCACACTTGCACAAAGAAACCCCAACCCCCAGGCACAGGCACACGATCACACACACGCACGTGCACCCGCTCACACACACACACACACACACACGCGCGCGCGCGCACACATACATCCTGTGCGACTAATGGGCCCCAAGTTTTGCCTGCCTTCCTACGAGCTGTTGTGCTCATGGGCCAGACAAGCCCCGTGAGGGCGGGATAGGAGAATGAAAGAGAGCTATGGAGCTAGGGCAAGGAGGGAGTTTTGCGCGACGGGTCAGCCATTGGCCTTGGTCCTTTCCTCAACGGCCCTCTTGATTTCTCTTCGCTCCCAGGCGCTGATTTCCCAGGAGACCTTCGGTCAGCGGGGCCACGGGTTGGCAGCCAGGCCCAGAGAGCAGTGTAGCCTTGAAGGGGCGCGAGCCGCCCGGCCTGCTGGGTCGTGACCCGCCGTGGACAGTGCATCGGCCCCGAGGAGAGAGGGAGGTAAGCCTCGCTGTGCCCGAGGGGGTCCCGCTGTCGTCGGTGTGGGCTGGAGCTTGGCCTGCCCCGAGCTGCTGGCGCCCAGCGTGCCGTGTGCTGCTTGGCGCCCAGCGGGTGTGCTTGGATCGATGATGACTCCCCAAAATAACATTCCTTGGAAGCTGAACAAAATGAGTGAAAACTCTATAACCGTCGTTCTCATCGTGACTGAGGTCCACAGTCAGGTAGTGTAGGAGCGGGGGCCCGAGTCGCAGTCGCACACATTCTTTGCACCTGCGGGGCGCTTGCTGAAGACCGCCTCCCTGGCACTCAGACACTGCCATCCTGGGCTTGCTGTGGGTTGGGAGCACGCTCGCTCTGTGGGGCAGTTTGGTTAGGTGGATGGAGGCCACGCCCAGCCTGTGCCCGCGATAGGCATCCCTGGCCTCTGGCCGGCTGGGCTGTGACGGGGCAGCCGGTGCGTGGCTTGTGTCCCCGGGTAGGAAGAGGAGGAGGCGCCTAGGTGTTTGACAGATGTGCGCGTGGTGATTGGATCCCCAGGTAGAAGCGTGTGCCCTCAGTAGAAGCGTGTGTGGTGTTGAGGTTTTGTGGCCCGAGGTGTGTGTGGCCGAGGTTTGGGCTAGCCCACCCCCGCAGGCTTGGTGTTGGTCTCCCAGAGACCAAGTCTGGCTGCCCAGAGGTTCCCCGTTGAGGGTATGGGGAAGGAGAGCCCGCCTTGGGGCGGACAGTGGAGCCAGCTAGGAGAGGATTGGGTCCCTGTTGGCATGCGGGGAGTGGGAGGAGTGCGCAGTGCAGGGGTGCGTTTGGCGGCTTGCAGTGGCCAGGGCTGAGTTCCCCATGGGGCGGGCGGGCGGGCGGGCGGGCGGGCGGGGAGCTGCAGTGGGGCTGGTTTGGGCCCTGTGGTCATTGTGTGCCCTGGTCCCCTGCAGGCGCATTTGGTGCACTGCGGAACGGGGGGTGGGGAGGGGTGGTTGGGTGCGGGTTTCAAGCGCCCGGGCCCTTTGGGGAAATCCACCCCCGGGGGTGCAGAGTGCGGTGCGGCCAGGCCCAGGATTGACTTGAGGCGGAGTGCGGGGCCTGGGCAGAGACTGTCCGCTGAGTTTTCTTGCTGGTCTGGGGACAGCCTTGGGCAGGGTGCGCGGTGTGATGGTGGCGGGCGCTTGTGCCGTTAGTGTCCCCCGCCGGCAGCGCAGGTTGCGCAGGCCTGTGGGGAGGAGGCTGAGGAGTCCCGCGGTTGGCCCGTGGGGTGCGATGGAGGTGTGGGTGCAGGTCCTTGGCCAAAGCACTAGCAGTCCGTTAGCGGGACTGTGGCAGTCGAGCCAAGCCGGTGGATGCTTGCATGGCCCGGCCAGGATAGGCAGAGTGGGCAGGCCTTGGGCCGGATGGGTCTAGGTCGGTAGGGCCGTCATGGCTGAGTGTGTGTGGGGGGTGGCGGGGGGGAAGGAGGAGCATTGGGCAGGCTCTGTGTTTCTCTGTGTTGGGCAGGGCCTTGTGAATTGGGGCTCCGAGGAGCCTGCCGTCAGCAGGCGGCTCAGAGGCGTCCCCAGTCCTCCCCCGACAGTGGGCAGAGGCCCTGGCAGAGTCCGTGCAGGAGGGTTGAAGGAGAAGCAGCTTAGCGCGGGCGCCCCCTGGGCCCTGTTGCCGGTACGACGATGCTGGTGAAAGGAGACGGGCTGTGAGTGGCAGACACTGCATGGGTGTGTGCAGGTGGCGGGCAGAGATTTCAAGGCGTGGTCCTGCGACAACTACACAGGACTGGGTAGTGGGTCAGGGTAGCTGGCCCACACCAACCTGACGCCCACGCGAACCCGCACACCCGCACACCCACGAACAGACACACACGCAACACAGGCACGCATGCCCCCACCCACGGGCCCCCTCATCTGGCTTGGTAGACCCCGAGCGCTGTCACAGGCGCATGGTCGTGCCGAAACCCCTGGAGGAGGGTGGCACCGGAAAGCAGAAGACAGATAGCTGTGGAGTTGGGGCAAGCTGCGAGTTGGCGTGACGGGTCAGCTCTTGGCCTCGTTCCTTTTCCTCAACGGCGCTCTTGATTGTTCTCGGTCCCCAGGCGCTGATTGCCCAGGATGCCTTCGGTCAGCGGGACCTCGGGGTGCATGCCAGGCCCAGGGAGCAGTGTAGCCTTGAAGGGGCGCGAGCCGCCCGGCCTGCTCCCTGTCCCGCCGTGGACAGTGCATCGGCCCCGGGGAGAGAGAGGTGAGCCTTACTGGGCCCAAGGGGGTTCCGTGCTGGTCCTTGGTGTGGGTGGGAGCTGCTCAAGGCTTGCCGTTCGGCGTTGCGGCAAATGTCCTGGCCAGTGCTGCTCGCGCCCCGCGGGCCGGGTCCCGCTCGGCGCCCAGAGCCTGTGCTTGGATCGATGATGATTCCCCAAAAAAACATTCCTTGGAAAAGCTGAACAAAATGAGTGAAAACTCACTCCCGTCTCCGCTCATCGGTGACTGAGGTCCGGCACTTTTTGCACCAGCCAGCTAGTGTAGGAGCCAGGAAGGCCTTTCCCTCACACGCATTTGTGCCCCGGCACGGGCGGCAGCCCTAGACAGGTAGCCAGCCACGGCAGTGGGCCCTGGCACTCACCGTTCCTTTCTCCAGTGGGGCTTGCCTGTGAGGCCGAGGTTGGGCCGACCCGTCTGGGTCTCGCTTCTGCTCAAGTGTCTAGAGCTGCCAGCCAACCAGTTAGTAGCACATCCTTGCTCTGCTTGCCGACTCCGTGGTCTTTGGCCACGTGGGCGCCGTCGGGCTGCCAGTCCCTTGTCCAGGGGACGAATAGGCAGCGTTTGAAAGGCATGCACCCGCAAACGGCTGCCTTGGACACACCGCAACGCGTAGACTCCAACAACCAATCCCTTCACCACCACCGTCTCACACTTGCACAAAGAAACCCCAACCCCCAGGCACAGGCACACGATCACACACACGCACGTGCACCCGCTCACACACACACACACACACACGCGCGCGCGCGCACACATACATCCTGTGCGACTAATGGGCCCCAAGTTTTGCCTGCCTTCCTACGAGCTGTTGTGCTCATGGGCCAGACAAGCCCCGTGAGGGCGGGATAGGAGAATGAAAGAGAGCTATGGAGCTAGGGCAAGGAGGGAGTTTTGCGCGACGGGTCAGCCATTGGCCTTGGTCCTTTCCTCAACGGCCCTCTTGATTTCTCTTCGCTCCCAGGCGCTGATTTCCCAGGAGACCTTCGGTCAGCGGGGCCACGGGTTGGCAGCCAGGCCCAGAGAGCAGTGTAGCCTTGAAGGGGCGCGAGCCGCCCGGCCTGCTGGGTCGTGACCCGCCGTGGACAGTGCATCGGCCCCGAGGAGAGAGGGAGGTAAGCCTCGCTGTGCCCGAGGGGGTCCCGCTGTCGTCGGTGTGGGCTGGAGCTTGGCCTGCCCCGAGCTGCTGGCGCCCAGCGTGCCGTGTGCTGCTTGGCGCCCAGCGGGTGTGCTTGGATCGATGATGACTCCCCAAAATAACATTCCTTGGAAGCTGAACAAAATGAGTGAAAACTCTATAACCGTCGTTCTCATCGTGACTGAGGTCCACAGTCAGGTAGTGTAGGAGCGGGGGCCCGAGTCGCAGTCGCACACATTCTTTGCACCTGCGGGGCGCTTGCTGAAGACCGCCTCCCTGGCACTCAGACACTGCCATCCTGGGCTTGCTGTGGGTTGGGAGCACGCTCGCTCTGTGGGGCAGTTTGGTTAGGTGGATGGAGGCCACGCCCAGCCTGTGCCCGCGATAGGCATCCCTGGCCTCTGGCCGGCTGGGCTGTGACGGGGCAGCCGGTGCGTGGCTTGTGTCCCCGGGTAGGAAGAGGAGGAGGCGCCTAGGTGTTTGACAGATGTGCGCGTGGTGATTGGATCCCCAGGTAGAAGCGTGTGCCCTCAGTAGAAGCGTGTGTGGTGTTGAGGTTTTGTGGCCCGAGGTGTGTGTGGCCGAGGTTTGGGCTAGCCCACCCCCGCAGGCTTGGTGTTGGTCTCCCAGAGACCAAGTCTGGCTGCCCAGAGGTTCCCCGTTGAGGGTATGGGGAAGGAGAGCCCGCCTTGGGGCGGACAGTGGAGCCAGCTAGGAGAGGATTGGGTCCCTGTTGGCATGCGGGGAGTGGGAGGAGTGCGCAGTGCAGGGGTGCGTTTGGCGGCTTGCAGTGGCCAGGGCTGAGTTCCCCATGGGGCGGGCGGGCGGGCGGGCGGGCGGGCGGGGAGCTGCAGTGGGGCTGGTTTGGGCCCTGTGGTCATTGTGTGCCCTGGTCCCCTGCAGGCGCATTTGGTGCACTGCGGAACGGGGGGTGGGGAGGGGTGGTTGGGTGCGGGTTTCAAGCGCCCGGGCCCTTTGGGGAAATCCACCCCCGGGGGTGCAGAGTGCGGTGCGGCCAGGCCCAGGATTGACTTGAGGCGGAGTGCGGGGCCTGGGCAGAGACTGTCCGCTGAGTTTTCTTGCTGGTCTGGGGACAGCCTTGGGCAGGGTGCGCGGTGTGATGGTGGCGGGCGCTTGTGCCGTTAGTGTCCCCCGCCGGCAGCGCAGGTTGCGCAGGCCTGTGGGGAGGAGGCTGAGGAGTCCCGCGGTTGGCCCGTGGGGTGCGATGGAGGTGTGGGTGCAGGTCCTTGGCCAAAGCACTAGCAGTCCGTTAGCGGGACTGTGGCAGTCGAGCCAAGCCGGTGGATGCTTGCATGGCCCGGCCAGGATAGGCAGAGTGGGCAGGCCTTGGGCCGGATGGGTCTAGGTCGGTAGGGCCGTCATGGCTGAGTGTGTGTGGGGGGTGGCGGGGGGGAAGGAGGAGCATTGGGCAGGCTCTGTGTTTCTCTGTGTTGGGCAGGGCCTTGTGAATTGGGGCTCCGAGGAGCCTGCCGTCAGCAGGCGGCTCAGAGGCGTCCCCAGTCCTCCCCCGACAGTGGGCAGAGGCCCTGGCAGAGTCCGTGCAGGAGGGTTGAAGGAGAAGCAGCTTAGCGCGGGCGCCCCCTGGGCCCTGTTGCCGGTACGACGATGCTGGTGAAAGGAGACGGGCTGTGAGTGGCAGACACTGCATGGGTGTGTGCAGGTGGCGGGCAGAGATTTCAAGGCGTGGTCCTGCGACAACTACACAGGACTGGGTAGTGGGTCAGGGTAGCTGGCCCACACCAACCTGACGCCCACGCGAACCCGCACACCCGCACACCCACGAACAGACACACACGCAACACAGGCACGCATGCCCCCACCCACGGGCCCCCTCATCTGGCTTGGTAGACCCCGAGCGCTGTCACAGGCGCATGGTCGTGCCGAAACCCCTGGAGGAGGGTGGCACCGGAAAGCAGAAGACAGATAGCTGTGGAGTTGGGGCAAGCTGCGAGTTGGCGTGACGGGTCAGCTCTTGGCCTCGTTCCTTTTCCTCAACGGCGCTCTTGATTGTTCTCGGTCCCCAGGCGCTGATTGCCCAGGATGCCTTCGGTCAGCGGGACCTCGGGGTGCATGCCAGGCCCAGGGAGCAGTGTAGCCTTGAAGGGGCGCGAGCCGCCCGGCCTGCTCCCTGTCCCGCCGTGGACAGTGCATCGGCCCCGGGGAGAGAGAGGTGAGCCTTACTGGGCCCAAGGGGGTTCCGTGCTGGTCCTTGGTGTGGGTGGGAGCTGCTCAAGGCTTGCCGTTCGGCGTTGCGGCAAATGTCCTGGCCAGTGCTGCTCGCGCCCCGCGGGCCGGGTCCCGCTCGGCGCCCAGAGCCTGTGCTTGGATCGATGATGATTCCCCAAAAAAACATTCCTTGGAAAAGCTGAACAAAATGAGTGAAAACTCACTCCCGTCTCCGCTCATCGGTGACTGAGGTCCGGCACTTTTTGCACCAGCCAGCTAGTGTAGGAGCCAGGAAGGCCTTTCCCTCACACGCATTTGTGCCCCGGCACGGGCGGCAGCCCTAGACAGGTAGCCAGCCACGGCAGTGGGCCCTGGCACTCACCGTTCCTTTCTCCAGTGGGGCTTGCCTGTGAGGCCGAGGTTGGGCCGACCCGTCTGGGTCTCGCTTCTGCTCAAGTGTCTAGAGCTGCCAGCCAACCAGTTAGTAGCACATCCTTGCTCTGCTTGCCGACTCCGTGGTCTTTGGCCACGTGGGCGCCGTCGGGCTGCCAGTCCCTTGTCCAGGGGACGAATAGGCAGCGTTTGAAAGGCATGCACCCGCAAACGGCTGCCTTGGACACACCGCAACGCGTAGACTCCAACAACCAATCCCTTCACCACCACCGTCTCACACTTGCACAAAGAAACCCCAACCCCCAGGCACAGGCACACGATCACACACACGCACGTGCACCCGCTCACACACACACACACACACACGCGCGCGCGCGCACACATACATCCTGTGCGACTAATGGGCCCCAAGTTTTGCCTGCCTTCCTACGAGCTGTTGTGCTCATGGGCCAGACAAGCCCCGTGAGGGCGGGATAGGAGAATGAAAGAGAGCTATGGAGCTAGGGCAAGGAGGGAGTTTTGCGCGACGGGTCAGCCATTGGCCTTGGTCCTTTCCTCAACGGCCCTCTTGATTTCTCTTCGCTCCCAGGCGCTGATTTCCCAGGAGACCTTCGGTCAGCGGGGCCACGGGTTGGCAGCCAGGCCCAGAGAGCAGTGTAGCCTTGAAGGGGCGCGAGCCGCCCGGCCTGCTGGGTCGTGACCCGCCGTGGACAGTGCATCGGCCCCGAGGAGAGAGGGAGGTAAGCCTCGCTGTGCCCGAGGGGGTCCCGCTGTCGTCGGTGTGGGCTGGAGCTTGGCCTGCCCCGAGCTGCTGGCGCCCAGCGTGCCGTGTGCTGCTTGGCGCCCAGCGGGTGTGCTTGGATCGATGATGACTCCCCAAAATAACATTCCTTGGAAGCTGAACAAAATGAGTGAAAACTCTATAACCGTCGTTCTCATCGTGACTGAGGTCCACAGTCAGGTAGTGTAGGAGCGGGGGCCCGAGTCGCAGTCGCACACATTCTTTGCACCTGCGGGGCGCTTGCTGAAGACCGCCTCCCTGGCACTCAGACACTGCCATCCTGGGCTTGCTGTGGGTTGGGAGCACGCTCGCTCTGTGGGGCAGTTTGGTTAGGTGGATGGAGGCCACGCCCAGCCTGTGCCCGCGATAGGCATCCCTGGCCTCTGGCCGGCTGGGCTGTGACGGGGCAGCCGGTGCGTGGCTTGTGTCCCCGGGTAGGAAGAGGAGGAGGCGCCTAGGTGTTTGACAGATGTGCGCGTGGTGATTGGATCCCCAGGTAGAAGCGTGTGCCCTCAGTAGAAGCGTGTGTGGTGTTGAGGTTTTGTGGCCCGAGGTGTGTGTGGCCGAGGTTTGGGCTAGCCCACCCCCGCAGGCTTGGTGTTGGTCTCCCAGAGACCAAGTCTGGCTGCCCAGAGGTTCCCCGTTGAGGGTATGGGGAAGGAGAGCCCGCCTTGGGGCGGACAGTGGAGCCAGCTAGGAGAGGATTGGGTCCCTGTTGGCATGCGGGGAGTGGGAGGAGTGCGCAGTGCAGGGGTGCGTTTGGCGGCTTGCAGTGGCCAGGGCTGAGTTCCCCATGGGGCGGGCGGGCGGGCGGGCGGGCGGGGCGGGCGGGGAGCTGCAGTGGGGCTGGTTTGGGCCCTGTGGTCATTGTGTGCCCTGGTCCCCTGCAGGCGCATTTGGTGCACTGCGGAACGGGGGGTGGGGAGGGGTGGTTGGGTGCGGGTTTCAAGCGCCCGGGCCCTTTGGGGAAATCCACCCCCGGGGGTGCAGAGTGCGGTGCGGCCAGGCCCAGGATTGACTTGAGGCGGAGTGCGGGGCCTGGGCAGAGACTGTCCGCTGAGTTTTCTTGCTGGTCTGGGGACAGCCTTGGGCAGGGTGCGCGGTGTGATGGTGGCGGGCGCTTGTGCCGTTAGTGTCCCCCGCCGGCAGCGCAGGTTGCGCAGGCCTGTGGGGAGGAGGCTGAGGAGTCCCGCGGTTGGCCCGTGGGGTGCGATGGAGGTGTGGGTGCAGGTCCTTGGCCAAAGCACTAGCAGTCCGTTAGCGGGACTGTGGCAGTCGAGCCAAGCCGGTGGATGCTTGCATGGCCCGGCCAGGATAGGCAGAGTGGGCAGGCCTTGGGCCGGATGGGTCTAGGTCGGTAGGGCCGTCATGGCTGAGTGTGTGGGGGGGGGTGGCGGGGGGGAAGGAGGAGCATTGGGCAGGCTCTGTGTTTCTCTGTGTTGGGCAGGGCCTTGTGAATTGGGGCTCCGAGGAGCCTGCCGTCAGCAGGCGGCTCAGAGGCGTCCCCAGTCCTCCCCCGACAGTGGGCAGAGGCCCTGGCAGAGTCCGTGCAGGAGGGTTGAAGGAGAAGCAGCTTAGCGCGGGCGCCCCCTGGGCCCTGTTGCCGGTACGACGATGCTGGTGAAAGGAGACGGGCTGTGAGTGGCAGACACTGCATGGGTGTGTGCAGGTGGCGGGCAGAGATTTCAAGGCGTGGTCCTGCGACAACTACACAGGACTGGGTAGTGGGTCAGGGTAGCTGGCCCACACCAACCTGACGCCCACGCGAACCCGCACACCCGCACACCCACGAACAGACACACACGCAACACAGGCACGCATGCCCCCACCCACGGGCCCCCTCATCTGGCTTGGTAGACCCCGAGCGCTGTCACAGGCGCATGGTCGTGCCGAAACCCCTGGAGGAGGGTGGCACCGGAAAGCAGAAGACAGATAGCTGTGGAGTTGGGGCAAGCTGCGAGTTGGCGTGACGGGTCAGCTCTTGGCCTCGTTCCTTTTCCTCAACGGCGCTCTTGATTGTTCTCGGTCCCCAGGCGCTGATTGCCCAGGATGCCTTCGGTCAGCGGGACCTCGGGGTGCATGCCAGGCCCAGGGAGCAGTGTAGCCTTGAAGGGGCGCGAGCCGCCCGGCCTGCTCCCTGTCCCGCCGTGGACAGTGCATCGGCCCCGGGGAGAGAGAGGTGAGCCTTACTGGGCCCAAGGGGGTTCCGTGCTGGTCCTTGGTGTGGGTGGGAGCTGCTCAAGGCTTGCCGTTCGGCGTTGCGGCAAATGTCCTGGCCAGTGCTGCTCGCGCCCCGCGGGCCGGGTCCCGCTCGGCGCCCAGAGCCTGTGCTTGGATCGATGATGATTCCCCAAAAAAACATTCCTTGGAAAAGCTGAACAAAATGAGTGAAAACTCACTCCCGTCTCCGCTCATCGGTGACTGAGGTCCGGCACTTTTTGCACCAGCCAGCTAGTGTAGGAGCCAGGAAGGCCTTTCCCTCACACGCATTTGTGCCCCGGCACGGGCGGCAGCCCTAGACAGGTAGCCAGCCACGGCAGTGGGCCCTGGCACTCACCGTTCCTTTCTCCAGTGGGGCTTGCCTGTGAGGCCGAGGTTGGGCCGACCCGTCTGGGTCTCGCTTCTGCTCAAGTGTCTAGAGCTGCCAGCCAACCAGTTAGTAGCACATCCTTGCTCTGCTTGCCGACTCCGTGGTCTTTGGCCACGTGGGCGCCGTCGGGCTGCCAGTCCCTTGTCCAGGGGACGAATAGGCAGCATTTGAAAGGCATGCACCCGCAAACGGCTGCCTTGGACACACCGCAACGCGTAGACTCCAACAACCAATCCCTTCACCACCACCGTCTCACACTTGCACAAAGAAACCCCAACCCCCAGGCACAGGCACACGATCACACACACGCACGTGCACCCGCTCACACACACACACACACACACGCGCGCGCGCGCACACATACATCCTGTGCGACTAATGGGCCCCAAGTTTTGCCTGCCTTCCTACGAGCTGTTGTGCTCATGGGCCAGACAAGCCCCGTGAGGGCGGGATAGGAGAATGAAAGAGAGCTATGGAGCTAGGGCAAGGAGGGAGTTTTGCGCGACGGGTCAGCCATTGGCCTTGGTCCTTTCCTCAACGGCCCTCTTGATTTCTCTTCGCTCCCAGGCGCTGATTTCCCAGGAGACCTTCGGTCAGCGGGGCCACGGGTTGGCAGCCAGGCCCAGAGAGCAGTGTAGCCTTGAAGGGGCGCGAGCCGCCCGGCCTGCTGGGTCGTGACCCGCCGTGGACAGTGCATCGGCCCCGAGGAGAGAGGGAGGTAAGCCTCGCTGTGCCCGAGGGGGTCCCGCTGTCGTCGGTGTGGGCTGGAGCTTGGCCTGCCCCGAGCTGCTGGCGCCCAGCGTGCCGTGTGCTGCTTGGCGCCCAGCGGGTGTGCTTGGATCGATGATGACTCCCCAAAATAACATTCCTTGGAAGCTGAACAAAATGAGTGAAAACTCTATAACCGTCGTTCTCATCGTGACTGAGGTCCACAGTCAGGTAGTGTAGGAGCGGGGGCCCGAGTCGCAGTCGCACACATTCTTTGCACCTGCGGGGCGCTTGCTGAAGACCGCCTCCCTGGCACTCAGACACTGCCATCCTGGGCTTGCTGTGGGTTGGGAGCACGCTCGCTCTGTGGGGCAGTTTGGTTAGGTGGATGGAGGCCACGCCCAGCCTGTGCCCGCGATAGGCATCCCTGGCCTCTGGCCGGCTGGGCTGTGACGGGGCAGCCGGTGCGTGGCTTGTGTCCCCGGGTAGGAAGAGGAGGAGGCGCCTAGGTGTTTGACAGATGTGCGCGTGGTGATTGGATCCCCAGGTAGAAGCGTGTGCCCTCAGTAGAAGCGTGTGTGGTGTTGAGGTTTTGTGGCCCGAGGTGTGTGTGGCCGAGGTTTGGGCTAGCCCACCCCCGCAGGCTTGGTGTTGGTCTCCCAGAGACCAAGTCTGGCTGCCCAGAGGTTCCCCGTTGAGGGTATGGGGAAGGAGAGCCCGCCTTGGGGCGGACAGTGGAGCCAGCTAGGAGAGGATTGGGTCCCTGTTGGCATGCGGGGAGTGGGAGGAGTGCGCAGTGCAGGGGTGCGTTTGGCGGCTTGCAGTGGCCAGGGCTGAGTTCCCCATGGGGCGGGCGGGCGGGCGGGCGGGCGGGCGGGCGGGCGGGGAGCTGCAGTGGGGCTGGTTTGGGCCCTGTGGTCATTGTGTGCCCTGGTCCCCTGCAGGCGCATTTGGTGCACTGCGGAACGGGGGGTGGGGAGGGGTGGTTGGGTGCGGGTTTCAAGCGCCCGGGCCCTTTGGGGAAATCCACCCCCGGGGGTGCAGAGTGCGGTGCGGCCAGGCCCAGGATTGACTTGAGGCGGAGTGCGGGGCCTGGGCAGAGACTGTCCGCTGAGTTTTCTTGCTGGTCTGGGGACAGCCTTGGGCAGGGTGCGCGGTGTGATGGTGGCGGGCGCTTGTGCCGTTAGTGTCCCCCGCCGGCAGCGCAGGTTGCGCAGGCCTGTGGGGAGGAGGCTGAGGAGTCCCGCGGTTGGCCCGTGGGGTGCGATGGAGGTGTGGGTGCAGGTCCTTGGCCAAAGCACTAGCAGTCCGTTAGCGGGACTGTGGCAGTCGAGCCAAGCCGGTGGATGCTTGCATGGCCCGGCCAGGATAGGCAGAGTGGGCAGGCCTTGGGCCGGATGGGTCTAGGTCGGTAGGGCCGTCATGGCTGAGTGTGTGTGGGGGGTGGCGGGGGGGAAGGAGGAGCATTGGGCAGGCTCTGTGTTTCTCTGTGTTGGGCAGGGCCTTGTGAATTGGGGCTCCGAGGAGCCTGCCGTCAGCAGGCGGCTCAGAGGCGTCCCCAGTCCTCCCCCGACAGTGGGCAGAGGCCCTGGCAGAGTCCGTGCAGGAGGGTTGAAGGAGAAGCAGCTTAGCGCGGGCGCCCCCTGGGCCCTGTTGCCGGTACGACGATGCTGGTGAAAGGAGACGGGCTGTGAGTGGCAGACACTGCATGGGTGTGTGCAGGTGGCGGGCAGAGATTTCAAGGCGTGGTCCTGCGACAACTACACAGGACTGGGTAGTGGGTCAGGGTAGCTGGCCCACACCAACCTGACGCCCACGCGAACCCGCACACCCGCACACCCACGAACAGACACACACGCAACACAGGCACGCATGCCCCCACCCACGGGCCCCCTCATCTGGCTTGGTAGACCCCGAGCGCTGTCACAGGCGCATGGTCGTGCCGAAACCCCTGGAGGAGGGTGGCACCGGAAAGCAGAAGACAGATAGCTGTGGAGTTGGGGCAAGCTGCGAGTTGGCGTGACGGGTCAGCTCTTGGCCTCGTTCCTTTTCCTCAACGGCGCTCTTGATTGTTCTCGGTCCCCAGGCGCTGATTGCCCAGGATGCCTTCGGTCAGCGGGACCTCGGGGTGCATGCCAGGCCCAGGGAGCAGTGTAGCCTTGAAGGGGCGCGAGCCGCCCGGCCTGCTCCCTGTCCCGCCGTGGACAGTGCATCGGCCCCGGGGAGAGAGAGGTGAGCCTTACTGGGCCCAAGGGGGTTCCGTGCTGGTCCTTGGTGTGGGTGGGAGCTGCTCAAGGCTTGCCGTTCGGCGTTGCGGCAAATGTCCTGGCCAGTGCTGCTCGCGCCCCGCGGGCCGGGTCCCGCTCGGCGCCCAGAGCCTGTGCTTGGATCGATGATGATTCCCCAAAAAAACATTCCTTGGAAAAGCTGAACAAAATGAGTGAAAACTCACTCCCGTCTCCGCTCATCGGTGACTGAGGTCCGGCACTTTTTGCACCAGCCAGCTAGTGTAGGAGCCAGGAAGGCCTTTCCCTCACACGCATTTGTGCCCCGGCACGGGCGGCAGCCCTAGACAGGTAGCCAGCCACGGCAGTGGGCCCTGGCACTCACCGTTCCTTTCTCCAGTGGGGCTTGCCTGTGAGGCCGAGGTTGGGCCGACCCGTCTGGGTCTCGCTTCTGCTCAAGTGTCTAGAGCTGCCAGCCAACCAGTTAGTAGCACATCCTTGCTCTGCTTGCCGACTCCGTGGTCTTTGGCCACGTGGGCGCCGTCGGGCTGCCAGTCCCTTGTCCAGGGGACGAATAGGCAGCGTTTGAAAGGCATGCACCCGCAAACGGCTGCCTTGGACACACCGCAACGCGTAGACTCCAACAACCAATCCCTTCACCACCACCGTCTCACACTTGCACAAAGAAACCCCAACCCCCAGGCACAGGCACACGATCACACACACGCACGTGCGCCCGCTCACACACACACACACACACACGCGCGCGCGCGCACACATACATCCTGTGCGACTAATGGGCCCCAAGTTTTGCCTGCCTTCCTACGAGCTGTTGTGCTCATGGGCCAGACAAGCCCCGTGAGGGCGGGATAGGAGAATGAAAGAGAGCTATGGAGCTAGGGCAAGGAGGGAGTTTTGCGCGACGGGTCAGCCATTGGCCTTGGTCCTTTCCTCAACGGCCCTCTTGATTTCTCTTCGCTCCCAGGCGCTGATTTCCCAGGAGACCTTCGGTCAGCGGGGCCACGGGTTGGCAGCCAGGCCCAGAGAGCAGTGTAGCCTTGAAGGGGCGCGAGCCGCCCGGCCTGCTGGGTCGTGACCCGCCGTGGACAGTGCATCGGCCCCGAGGAGAGAGGGAGGTAAGCCTCGCTGTGCCCGAGGGGGTCCCGCTGTCGTCGGTGTGGGCTGGAGCTTGGCCTGCCCCGAGCTGCTGGCGCCCAGCGTGCCGTGTGCTGCTTGGCGCCCAGCGGGTGTGCTTGGATCGATGATGACTCCCCAAAATAACATTCCTTGGAAGCTGAACAAAATGAGTGAAAACTCTATAACCGTCGTTCTCATCGTGACTGAGGTCCACAGTCAGGTAGTGTAGGAGCGGGGGCCCGAGTCGCAGTCGCACACATTCTTTGCACCTGCGGGGCGCTTGCTGAAGACCGCCTCCCTGGCACTCAGACACTGCCATCCTGGGCTTGCTGTGGGTTGGGAGCACGCTCGCTCTGTGGGGCAGTTTGGTTAGGTGGATGGAGGCCACGCCCAGCCTGTGCCCGCGATAGGCATCCCTGGCCTCTGGCCGGCTGGGCTGTGACGGGGCAGCCGGTGCGTGGCTTGTGTCCCCGGGTAGGAAGAGGAGGAGGCGCCTAGGTGTTTGACAGATGTGCGCGTGGTGATTGGATCCCCAGGTAGAAGCGTGTGCCCTCAGTAGAAGCGTGTGTGGTGTTGAGGTTTTGTGGCCCGAGGTGTGTGTGGCCGAGGTTTGGGCTAGCCCACCCCCGCAGGCTTGGTGTTGGTCTCCCAGAGACCAAGTCTGGCTGCCCAGAGGTTCCCCGTTGAGGGTATGGGGAAGGAGAGCCCGCCTTGGGGCGGACAGTGGAGCCAGCTAGGAGAGGATTGGGTCCCTGTTGGCATGCGGGGAGTGGGAGGAGTGCGCAGTGCAGGGGTGCGTTTGGCGGCTTGCAGTGGCCAGGGCTGAGTTCCCCATGGGGCGGGCGGGCGGGCGGGCGGGCGGGCGGGGAGCTGCAGTGGGGCTGGTTTGGGCCCTGTGGTCATTGTGTGCCCTGGTCCCCTGCAGGCGCATTTGGTGCACTGCGGAACGGGGGGTGGGGAGGGGTGGTTGGGTGCGGGTTTCAAGCGCCCGGGCCCTTTGGGGAAATCCACCCCCGGGGGTGCAGAGTGCGGTGCGGCCAGGCCCAGGATTGACTTGAGGCGGAGTGCGGGGCCTGGGCAGAGACTGTCCGCTGAGTTTTCTTGCTGGTCTGGGGACAGCCTTGGGCAGGGTGCGCGGTGTGATGGTGGCGGGCGCTTGTGCCGTTAGTGTCCCCCGCCGGCAGCGCAGGTTGCGCAGGCCTGTGGGGAGGAGGCTGAGGAGTCCCGCGGTTGGCCCGTGGGGTGCGATGGAGGTGTGGGTGCAGGTCCTTGGCCAAAGCACTAGCAGTCCGTTAGCGGGACTGTGGCAGTCGAGCCAAGCCGGTGGATGCTTGCATGGCCCGGCCAGGATAGGCAGAGTGGGCAGGCCTTGGGCCGGATGGGTCTAGGTCGGTAGGGCCGTCATGGCTGAGTGTGTGGGGGGGGTGGCGGGGGGGAAGGAGGAGCATTGGGCAGGCTCTGTGTTTCTCTGTGTTGGGCAGGGCCTTGTGAATTGGGGCTCCGAGGAGCCTGCCGTCAGCAGGCGGCTCAGAGGCGTCCCCAGTCCTCCCCCGACAGTGGGCAGAGGCCCTGGCAGAGTCCGTGCAGGAGGGTTGAAGGAGAAGCAGCTTAGCGCGGGCGCCCCCTGGGCCCTGTTGCCGGTACGACGATGCTGGTGAAAGGAGACGGGCTGTGAGTGGCAGACACTGCATGGGTGTGTGCAGGTGGCGGGCAGAGATTTCAAGGCGTGGTCCTGCGACAACTACACAGGACTGGGTAGTGGGTCAGGGTAGCTGGCCCACACCAACCTGACGCCCACGCGAACCCGCACACCCGCACACCCACGAACAGACACACACGCAACACAGGCACGCATGCCCCCACCCACGGGCCCCCTCATCTGGCTTGGTAGACCCCGAGCGCTGTCACAGGCGCATGGTCGTGCCGAAACCCCTGGAGGAGGGTGGCACCGGAAAGCAGAAGACAGATAGCTGTGGAGTTGGGGCAAGCTGCGAGTTGGCGTGACGGGTCAGCTCTTGGCCTCGTTCCTTTTCCTCAACGGCGCTCTTGATTGTTCTCGGTCCCCAGGCGCTGATTGCCCAGGATGCCTTCGGTCAGCGGGACCTCGGGGTGCATGCCAGGCCCAGGGAGCAGTGTAGCCTTGAAGGGGCGCGAGCCGCCCGGCCTGCTCCCTGTCCCGCCGTGGACAGTGCATCGGCCCCGGGGAGAGAGAGGTGAGCCTTACTGGGCCCAAGGGGGTTCCGTGCTGGTCCTTGGTGTGGGTGGGAGCTGCTCAAGGCTTGCCGTTCGGCGTTGCGGCAAATGTCCTGGCCAGTGCTGCTCGCGCCCCGCGGGCCGGGTCCCGCTCGGCGCCCAGAGCCTGTGCTTGGATCGATGATGATTCCCCAAAAAAACATTCCTTGGAAAAGCTGAACAAAATGAGTGAAAACTCACTCCCGTCTCCGCTCATCGGTGACTGAGGTCCGGCACTTTTTGCACCAGCCAGCTAGTGTAGGAGCCAGGAAGGCCTTTCCCTCACACGCATTTGTGCCCCGGCACGGGCGGCAGCCCTAGACAGGTAGCCAGCCACGGCAGTGGGCCCTGGCACTCACCGTTCCTTTCTCCAGTGGGGCTTGCCTGTGAGGCCGAGGTTGGGCCGACCCGTCTGGGTCTCGCTTCTGCTCAAGTGTCTAGAGCTGCCAGCCAACCAGTTAGTAGCACATCCTTGCTCTGCTTGCCGACTCCGTGGTCTTTGGCCACGTGGGCGCCGTCGGGCTGCCAGTCCCTTGTCCAGGGGACGAATAGGCAGCGTTTGAAAGGCATGCACCCGCAAACGGCTGCCTTGGACACACCGCAACGCGTAGACTCCAACAACCAATCCCTTCACCACCACCGTCTCACACTTGCACAAAGAAACCCCAACCCCCAGGCACAGGCACACGATCACACACACGCACGTGCGCCCGCTCACACACACACACACACACACGCGCGCGCGCGCACACATACATCCTGTGCGACTAATGGGCCCCAAGTTTTGCCTGCCTTCCTACGAGCTGTTGTGCTCATGGGCCAGACAAGCCCCGTGAGGGCGGGATAGGAGAATGAAAGAGAGCTATGGAGCTAGGGCAAGGAGGGAGTTTTGCGCGACGGGTCAGCCATTGGCCTTGGTCCTTTCCTCAACGGCCCTCTTGATTTCTCTTCGCTCCCAGGCGCTGATTTCCCAGGAGACCTTCGGTCAGCGGGGCCACGGGTTGGCAGCCAGGCCCAGAGAGCAGTGTAGCCTTGAAGGGGCGCGAGCCGCCCGGCCTGCTGGGTCGTGACCCGCCGTGGACAGTGCATCGGCCCCGAGGAGAGAGGGAGGTAAGCCTCGCTGTGCCCGAGGGGGTCCCGCTGTCGTCGGTGTGGGCTGGAGCTTGGCCTGCCCCGAGCTGCTGGCGCCCAGCGTGCCGTGTGCTGCTTGGCGCCCAGCGGGTGTGCTTGGATCGATGATGACTCCCCAAAATAACATTCCTTGGAAGCTGAACAAAATGAGTGAAAACTCTATAACCGTCGTTCTCATCGTGACTGAGGTCCACAGTCAGGTAGTGTAGGAGCGGGGGCCCGAGTCGCAGTCGCACACATTCTTTGCACCTGCGGGGCGCTTGCTGAAGACCGCCTCCCTGGCACTCAGACACTGCCATCCTGGGCTTGCTGTGGGTTGGGAGCACGCTCGCTCTGTGGGGCAGTTTGGTTAGGTGGATGGAGGCCACGCCCAGCCTGTGCCCGCGATAGGCATCCCTGGCCTCTGGCCGGCTGGGCTGTGACGGGGCAGCCGGTGCGTGGCTTGTGTCCCCGGGTAGGAAGAGGAGGAGGCGCCTAGGTGTTTGACAGATGTGCGCGTGGTGATTGGATCCCCAGGTAGAAGCGTGTGCCCTCAGTAGAAGCGTGTGTGGTGTTGAGGTTTTGTGGCCCGAGGTGTGTGTGGCCGAGGTTTGGGCTAGCCCACCCCCGCAGGCTTGGTGTTGGTCTCCCAGAGACCAAGTCTGGCTGCCCAGAGGTTCCCCGTTGAGGGTATGGGGAAGGAGAGCCCGCCTTGGGGCGGACAGTGGAGCCAGCTAGGAGAGGATTGGGTCCCTGTTGGCATGCGGGGAGTGGGAGGAGTGCGCAGTGCAGGGGTGCGTTTGGCGGCTTGCAGTGGCCAGGGCTGAGTTCCCCATGGGGCGGGCGGGCGGGCGGGCGGGCGGGCGGGCGGGGAGCTGCAGTGGGGCTGGTTTGGGCCCTGTGGTCATTGTGTGCCCTGGTCCCCTGCAGGCGCATTTGGTGCACTGCGGAACGGGGGGTGGGGAGGGGTGGTTGGGTGCGGGTTTCAAGCGCCCGGGCCCTTTGGGGAAATCCACCCCCGGGGGTGCAGAGTGCGGTGCGGCCAGGCCCAGGATTGACTTGAGGCGGAGTGCGGGGCCTGGGCAGAGACTGTCCGCTGAGTTTTCTTGCTGGTCTGGGGACAGCCTTGGGCAGGGTGCGCGGTGTGATGGTGGCGGGCGCTTGTGCCGTTAGTGTCCCCCGCCGGCAGCGCAGGTTGCGCAGGCCTGTGGGGAGGAGGCTGAGGAGTCCCGCGGTTGGCCCGTGGGGTGCGATGGAGGTGTGGGTGCAGGTCCTTGGCCAAAGCACTAGCAGTCCGTTAGCGGGACTGTGGCAGTCGAGCCAAGCCGGTGGATGCTTGCATGGCCCGGCCAGGATAGGCAGAGTGGGCAGGCCTTGGGCCGGATGGGTCTAGGTCGGTAGGGCCGTCATGGCTGAGTGTGTGTGGGGGGTGGCGGGGGGGAAGGAGGAGCATTGGGCAGGCTCTGTGTTTCTCTGTGTTGGGCAGGGCCTTGTGAATTGGGGCTCCGAGGAGCCTGCCGTCAGCAGGCGGCTCAGAGGCGTCCCCAGTCCTCCCCCGACAGTGGGCAGAGGCCCTGGCAGAGTCCGTGCAGGAGGGTTGAAGGAGAAGCAGCTTAGCGCGGGCGCCCCCTGGGCCCTGTTGCCGGTACGACGATGCTGGTGAAAGGAGACGGGCTGTGAGTGGCAGACACTGCATGGGTGTGTGCAGGTGGCGGGCAGAGATTTCAAGGCGTGGTCCTGCGACAACTACACAGGACTGGGTAGTGGGTCAGGGTAGCTGGCCCACACCAACCTGATGCCCACGCGAACCCGCACACCCGCACACCCACGAACAGACACACACGCAACACAGGCACGCATGCCCCCACCCACGGGCCCCCTCATCTGGCTTGGTAGACCCCGAGCGCTGTCACAGGCGCATGGTCGTGCCGAAACCCCTGGAGGAGGGTGGCACCGGAAAGCAGAAGACAGATAGCTGTGGAGTTGGGGCAAGCTGCGAGTTGGCGTGACGGGTCAGCTCTTGGCCTCGTTCCTTTTCCTCAACGGCGCTCTTGATTGTTCTTGGTCCCCAGGCGCTGATTGCCCAGGATGCCTTCGGTCAGCGGGACCTCGGGGTGCATGCCAGGCCCAGGGAGCAGTGTAGCCTTGAAGGGGCGCGAGCCGCCCGGCCTGCTCCCTGTCCCGCCGTGGACAGTGCATCGGCCCCGGGGAGAGAGAGGTGAGCCTTACTGGGCCCAAGGGGGTTCCGTGCTGGTCCTTGGTGTGGGTGGGAGCTGCTCAAGGCTTGCCGTTCGGCGTTGCGGCAAATGTCCTGGCCAGTGCTGCTCGCGCCCCGCGGGCCGGGTCCCGCTCGGCGCCCAGAGCCTGTGCTTGGATCGATGATGATTCCCCAAAAAAACATTCCTTGGAAAAGCTGAACAAAATGAGTGAAAACTCACTCCCGTCTCCGCTCATCGGTGACTGAGGTCCGGCACTTTTTGCACCAGCCAGCTAGTGTAGGAGCCAGGAAGGCCTTTCCCTCACACGCATTTGTGCCCCGGCACGGGCGGCAGCCCTAGACAGGTAGCCAGCCACGGCAGTGGGCCCTGGCACTCACCGTTCCTTTCTCCAGTGGGGCTTGCCTGTGAGGCCGAGGTTGGGCCGACCCGTCTGGGTCTCGCTTCTGCTCAAGTGTCTAGAGCTGCCAGCCAACCAGTTAGTAGCACATCCTTGCTCTGCTTGCCGACTCCGTGGTCTTTGGCCACGTGGGCGCCGTCGGGCTGCCAGTCCCTTGTCCAGGGGACGAATAGGCAGCGTTTGAAAGGCATGCACCCGCAAACGGCTGCCTTGGACACACCGCAACGCGTAGACTCCAACAACCAATCCCTTCACCACCACCGTCTCACACTTGCACAAAGAAACCCCAACCCCCAGGCACAGGCACACGATCACACACACGCACGTGCGCCCGCTCACACACACACACACACACGCGCGCGCGCGCACACATACATCCTGTGCGACTAATGGGCCCCAAGTTTTGCCTGCCTTCCTACGAGCTGTTGTGCTCATGGGCCAGACAAGCCCCGTGAGGGCGGGATAGGAGAATGAAAGAGAGCTATGGAGCTAGGGCAAGGAGGGAGTTTTGCGCGACGGGTCAGCCATTGGCCTTGGTCCTTTCCTCAACGGCCCTCTTGATTTCTCTTCGCTCCCAGGCGCTGATTTCCCAGGAGACCTTCGGTCAGCGGGGCCACGGGTTGGCAGCCAGGCCCAGAGAGCAGTGTAGCCTTGAAGGGGCGCGAGCCGCCCGGCCTGCTGGGTCGTGACCCGCCGTGGACAGTGCATCGGCCCCGAGGAGAGAGGGAGGTAAGCCTCGCTGTGCCCGAGGGGGTCCCGCTGTCGTCGGTGTGGGCTGGAGCTTGGCCTGCCCCGAGCTGCTGGCGCCCAGCGTGCCGTGTGCTGCTTGGCGCCCAGCGGGTGTGCTTGGATCGATGATGACTCCCCAAAATAACATTCCTTGGAAGCTGAACAAAATGAGTGAAAACTCTATAACCGTCGTTCTCATCGTGACTGAGGTCCACAGTCAGGTAGTGTAGGAGCGGGGGCCCGAGTCGCAGTCGCACACATTCTTTGCACCTGCGGGGCGCTTGCTGAAGACCGCCTCCCTGGCACTCAGACACTGCCATCCTGGGCTTGCTGTGGGTTGGGAGCACGCTCGCTCTGTGGGGCAGTTTGGTTAGGTGGATGGAGGCCACGCCCAGCCTGTGCCCGCGATAGGCATCCCTGGCCTCTGGCCGGCTGGGCTGTGACGGGGCAGCCGGTGCGTGGCTTGTGTCCCCGGGTAGGAAGAGGAGGAGGCGCCTAGGTGTTTGACAGATGTGCGCGTGGTGATTGGATCCCCAGGTAGAAGCGTGTGCCCTCAGTAGAAGCGTGTGTGGTGTTGAGGTTTTGTGGCCCGAGGTGTGTGTGGCCGAGGTTTGGGCTAGCCCACCCCCGCAGGCTTGGTGTTGGTCTCCCAGAGACCAAGTCTGGCTGCCCAGAGGTTCCCCGTTGAGGGTATGGGGAAGGAGAGCCCGCCTTGGGGCGGACAGTGGAGCCAGCTAGGAGAGGATTGGGTCCCTGTTGGCATGCGGGGAGTGGGAGGAGTGCGCAGTGCAGGGGTGCGTTTGGCGGCTTGCAGTGGCCAGGGCTGAGTTCCCCATGGGGCGGGCGGGCGGGCGGGCGGGCGGGCGGGCGGGGAGCTGCAGTGGGGCTGGTTTGGGCCCTGTGGTCATTGTGTGCCCTGGTCCCCTGCAGGCGCATTTGGTGCACTGCGGAACGGGGGGTGGGGAGGGGTGGTTGGGTGCGGGTTTCAAGCGCCCGGGCCCTTTGGGGAAATCCACCCCCGGGGGTGCAGAGTGCGGTGCGGCCAGGCCCAGGATTGACTTGAGGCGGAGTGCGGGGCCTGGGCAGAGACTGTCCGCTGAGTTTTCTTGCTGGTCTGGGGACAGCCTTGGGCAGGGTGCGCGGTGTGATGGTGGCGGGCGCTTGTGCCGTTAGTGTCCCCCGCCGGCAGCGCAGGTTGCGCAGGCCTGTGGGGAGGAGGCTGAGGAGTCCCGCGGTTGGCCCGTGGGGTGCGATGGAGGTGTGGGTGAAGGTCCTTGGCCAAAGCACTAGCAGTCCGTTAGCGGGACTGTGGCAGTCGAGCCAAGCCGGTGGATGCTTGCATGGCCCGGCCAGGATAGGCAGAGTGGGCAGGCCTTGGGCCGGATGGGTCTAGGTCGGTAGGGCCGTCATGGCTGAGTGTGTGTGGGGGGTGGCGGGGGGGAAGGAGGAGCATTGGGCAGGCTCTGTGTTTCTCTGTGTTGGGCAGGGCCTTGTGAATTGGGGCTCCGAGGAGCCTGCCGTCAGCAGGCGGCTCAGAGGCGTCCCCAGTCCTCCCCCGACAGTGGGCAGAGGCCCTGGCAGAGTCCGTGCAGGAGGGTTGAAGGAGAAGCAGCTTAGCGCGGGCGCCCCCTGGGCCCTGTTGCCGGTACGACGATGCTGGTGAAAGGAGACGGGCTGTGAGTGGCAGACACTGCATGGGTGTGTGCAGGTGGCGGGCAGAGATTTCAAGGCGTGGTCCTGCGACAACTACACAGGACTGGGTAGTGGGTCAGGGTAGCTGGCCCACACCAACCTGATGCCCACGCGAACCCGCACACCCGCACACCCACGAACAGACACACACGCAACACAGGCACGCATGCCCCCACCCACGGGCCCCCTCATCTGGCTTGGTAGACCCCGAGCGCTGTCACAGGCGCATGGTCGTGCCGAAACCCCTGGAGGAGGGTGGCACCGGAAAGCAGAAGACAGATAGCTGTGGAGTTGGGGCAAGCTGCGAGTTGGCGTGACGGGTCAGCTCTTGGCCTCGTTCCTTTTCCTCAACGGCGCTCTTGATTGTTCTCGGTCCCCAGGCGCTGATTGCCCAGGATGCCTTCGGTCAGCGGGACCTCGGGGTGCATGCCAGGCCCAGGGAGCAGTGTAGCCTTGAAGGGGCGCGAGCCGCCCGGCCTGCTCCCTGTCCCGCCGTGGACAGTGCATCGGCCCCGGGGAGAGAGAGGTGAGCCTTACTGGGCCCAAGGGGGTTCCGTGCTGGTCCTTGGTGTGGGTGGGAGCTGCTCAAGGCTTGCCGTTCGGCGTTGCGGCAAATGTCCTGGCCAGTGCTGCTCGCGCCCCGCGGGCCGGGTCCCGCTCGGCGCCCAGAGCCTGTGCTTGGATCGATGATGATTCCCCAAAAAAACATTCCTTGGAAAAGCTGAACAAAATGAGTGAAAACTCACTCCCGTCTCCGCTCATCGGTGACTGAGGTCCGGCACTTTTTGCACCAGCCAGCTAGTGTAGGAGCCAGGAAGGCCTTTCCCTCACACGCATTTGTGCCCCGGCACGGGCGGCAGCCCTAGACAGGTAGCCAGCCACGGCAGTGGGCCCTGGCACTCACCGTTCCTTTCTCCAGTGGGGCTTGCCTGTGAGGCCGAGGTTGGGCCGACCCGTCTGGGTCTCGCTTCTGCTCAAGTGTCTAGAGCTGCCAGCCAACCAGTTAGTAGCACATCCTTGCTCTGCTTGCCGACTCCGTGGTCTTTGGCCACGTGGGCGCCGTCGGGCTGCCAGTCCCTTGTCCAGGGGACGAATAGGCAGCGTTTGAAAGGCATGCACCCGCAAACGGCTGCCTTGGACACACCGCAACGCGTAGACTCCAACAACCAATCCCTTCACCACCACCGTCTCACACTTGCACAAAGAAACCCCAACCCCCAGGCACAGGCACACGAACACACACGCACGTGCGCCCGCTCACACACACACACACACGCGCGCGCGCGCACACATACATCCTGTGCGACTAATGGGCCCCAAGTTTTGCCTGCCTTCCTACGAGCTGTTGTGCTCATGGGCCAGACAAGCCCCGTGAGGGCGGGATAGGAGAATGAAAGAGAGCTATGGAGCTAGGGCAAGGAGGGAGTTTTGCGCGACGGGTCAGCCATTGGCCTTGGTCCTTTCCTCAACGGCCCTCTTGATTTCTCTTCGCTCCCAGGCGCTGATTTCCCAGGAGACCTTCGGTCAGCGGGGCCACGGGTTGGCAGCCAGGCCCAGAGAGCAGTGTAGCCTTGAAGGGGCGCGAGCCGCCCGGCCTGCTGGGTCGTGACCCGCCGTGGACAGTGCATCGGCCCCGAGGAGAGAGGGAGGTAAGCCTCGCTGTGCCCGAGGGGGTCCCGCTGTCGTCGGTGTGGGCTGGAGCTTGGCCTGCCCCGAGCTGCTGGCGCCCAGCGTGCCGTGTGCTGCTTGGCGCCCAGCGGGTGTGCTTGGATCGATGATGACTCCCCAAAATAACATTCCTTGGAAGCTGAACAAAATGAGTGAAAACTCTATAACCGTCGTTCTCATCGTGACTGAGGTCCACAGTCAGGTAGTGTAGGAGCGGGGGCCCGAGTCGCAGTCGCACACATTCTTTGCACCTGCGGGGCGCTTGCTGAAGACCGCCTCCCTGGCACTCAGACACTGCCATCCTGGGCTTGCTGTGGGTTGGGAGCACGCTCGCTCTGTGGGGCAGTTTGGTTAGGTGGATGGAGGCCACGCCCAGCCTGTGCCCGCGATAGGCATCCCTGGCCTCTGGCCGGCTGGGCTGTGACGGGGCAGCCGGTGCGTGGCTTGTGTCCCCGGGTAGGAAGAGGAGGAGGCGCCTAGGTGTTTGACAGATGTGCGCGTGGTGATTGGATCCCCAGGTAGAAGCGTGTGCCCTCAGTAGAAGCGTGTGTGGTGTTGAGGTTTTGTGGCCCGAGGTGTGTGTGGCCGAGGTTTGGGCTAGCCCACCCCCGCAGGCTTGGTGTTGGTCTCCCAGAGACCAAGTCTGGCTGCCCAGAGGTTCCCCGTTGAGGGTATGGGGAAGGAGAGCCCGCCTTGGGGCGGACAGTGGAGCCAGCTAGGAGAGGATTGGGTCCCTGTTGGCATGCGGGGAGTGGGAGGAGTGCGCAGTGCAGGGGTGCGTTTGGCGGCTTGCAGTGGCCAGGGCTGAGTTCCCCATGGGGCGGGCGGGCGGGCGGGCGGGCGGGCGGGCGGGGAGCTGCAGTGGGGCTGGTTTGGGCCCTGTGGTCATTGTGTGCCCTGGTCCCCTGCAGGCGCATTTGGTGCACTGCGGAACGGGGGGTGGGGAGGGGTGGTTGGGTGCGGGTTTCAAGCGCCCGGGCCCTTTGGGGAAATCCACCCCCAGGGGTGCAGAGTGCGGTGCGGCCAGGCCCAGGATTGACTTGAGGCGGAGTGCGGGGCCTGGGCAGAGACTGTCCGCTGAGTTTTCTTGCTGGTCTGGGGACAGCCTTGGGCAGGGTGCGCGGTGTGATGGTGGCGGGCGCTTGTGCCGTTAGTGTCCCCCGCCGGCAGCGCAGGTTGCGCAGGCCTGTGGGGAGGAGGCTGAGGAGTCCCGCGGTTGGCCCGTGGGGTGCGATGGAGGTGTGGGTGCAGGTCCTTGGCCAAAGCACTAGCAGTCCGTTAGCGGGACTGTGGCAGTCGAGCCAAGCCGGTGGATGCTTGCATGGCCCGGCCAGGATAGGCAGAGTGGGCAGGCCTTGGGCCGGATGGGTCTAGTTCGGTAGGGCCGTCATGGCTGAGTGTGTGTGGGGGGTGGCGGGGGGGAAGGAGGAGCATTGGGCAGGCTCTGTGTTTCTCTGTGTTGGGCAGGGCCTTGTGAATTGGGGCTCCGAGGAGCCTGCCGTCAGCAGGCGGCTCAGAGGCGTCCCCAGTCCTCCCCCGACAGTGGGCAGAGGCCCTGGCAGAGTCCGTGCAGGAGGGTTGAAGGAGAAGCAGCTTAGCGCGGGCGCCCCCTGGGCCCTGTTGCCGGTACGACGATGCTGGTGAAAGGAGACGGGCTGTGAGTGGCAGACACTGCATGGGTGTGTGCAGGTGGCGGGCAGAGATTTCAAGGCGTGGTCCTGCGACAACTACACAGGACTGGGTAGTGGGTCAGGGTAGCTGGCCCACACCAACCTGACGCCCACGCGAACCCGCACACCCACGAACAGACACACACGCAACACAGGCACGCATGCCCCCACCCACGGGCCCCCTCATCTGGCTTGGTAGACCCCGAGCGCTGTCACAGGCGCATGGTCGTGCCGAAACCCCTGGAGGAGGGTGGCACCGGAAAGCAGAAGACAGATAGCTGTGGAGTTGGGGCAAGCTGCGAGTTGGCGTGACGGGTCAGCTCTTGGCCTCGTTCCTTTTCCTCAACGGCGCTCTTGATTGTTCTCGGTCCCCAGGCGCTGATTGCCCAGGATGCCTTCGGTCAGCGGGACCTCGGGGTGCATGCCAGGCCCAGGGAGCAGTGTAGCCTTGAAGGGGCGCGAGCCGCCCGGCCTGCTCCCTGTCCCGCCGTGGACAGTGCATCGGCCCCGGGGAGAGAGAGGTGAGCCTTACTGGGCCCAAGGGGGTTCCGTGCTGGTCCTTGGTGTGGGTGGGAGCTGCTCAAGGCTTGCCGTTCGGCGTTGCGGCAAATGTCCTGGCCAGTGCTGCTCGCGCCCCGCGGGCCGGGTCCCGCTCGGCGCCCAGAGCCTGTGCTTGGATCGATGATGATTCCCCAAAAAAACATTCCTTGGAAAAGCTGAACAAAATGAGTGAAAACTCACTCCCGTCTCCGCTCATCGGTGACTGAGGTCCGGCACTTTTTGCACCAGCCAGCTAGTGTAGGAGCCAGGAAGGCCTTTCCCTCACACGCATTTGTGCCCCGGCACGGGCGGCAGCCCTAGACAGGTAGCCAGCCACGGCAGTGGGCCCTGGCACTCACCGTTCCTTTCTCCAGTGGGGCTTGCCTGTGAGGCCGAGGTTGGGCCGACCCGTCTGGGTCTCGCTTCTGCTCAAGTGTCTAGAGCTGCCAGCCAACCAGTTAGTAGCACATCCTTGCTCTGCTTGCCGACTCCGTGGTCTTTGGCCACGTGGGCGCCGTCGGGCTGCCAGTCCCTTGTCCAGGGGACGAATAGGCAGCGTTTGAAAGGCATGCACCCGCAAACGGCTGCCTTGGACACACCGCAACGCGTAGACTCCAACAACCAATCCCTTCACCACCACCGTCTCACACTTGCACAAAGAAACCCCAACCCCCAGGCACAGGCACACGAACACACACGCACCTGCGCCCGCTCACACACACACACACACGCGCGCGCGCGCACACATACATCCTGTGCGACTAATGGGCCCCAAGTTTTGCCTGCCTTCCTACGAGCTGTTGTGCTCATGGGCCAGACAAGCCCCGTGAGGGCGGGATAGGAGTATGAAAGAGAGCTATGGAGCTAGGGCAAGGAGGGAGTTTTGCGCGACGGGTCAGCCATTGGCCTTGGTCCTTTCCTCAACGGCCCTCTTGATTTCTCTTCGCTCCCAGGCGCTGATTTCCCAGGAGACCTTCGGTCAGCGGGGCCACGGGTTGGCAGCCAGGCCCAGAGAGCAGTGTAGCCTTGAAGGGGCGCGAGCCGCCCGGCCTGCTGGGTCGTGACCCGCCGTGGACAGTGCATCGGCCCCGAGGAGAGAGGGAGGTAAGCCTCGCTGTGCCCGAGGGGGTCCCGCTGTCGTCGGTGTGGGCTGGAGCTTGGCCTGCCCCGAGCTGCTGGCGCCCAGCGTGCCGTGTGCTGCTTGGCGCCCAGCGGGTGTGCTTGGATCGATGATGACTCCCCAAAATAACATTCCTTGGAAGCTGAACAAAATGAGTGAAAACTCTATAACCGTCGTTCTCATCGTGACTGAGGTCCACAGTCAGGTAGTGTAGGAGCGGGGGCCCGAGTCGCAGTCGCACACATTCTTTGCACCTGCGGGGCGCTTGCTGAAGACCGCCTCCCTGGCACTCAGACACTGCCATCCTGGGCTTGCTGTGGGTTGGGAGCACGCTCGCTCTGTGGGGCAGTTTGGTTAGGTGGATGGAGGCCACGCCCAGCCTGTGCCCGCGATAGGCATCCCTGGCCTCTGGCCGGCTGGGCTGTGACGGGGCAGCCGGTGCGTGGCTTGTGTCCCCGGGTAGGAAGAGGAGGAGGCGCCTAGGTGTTTGACAGATGTGCGCGTGGTGATTGGATCCCCAGGTAGAAGCGTGTGCCCTCAGTAGAAGCGTGTGTGGTGTTGAGGTTTTGTGGCCCGAGGTGTGTGTGGCCGAGGTTTGGGCTAGCCCACCCCCGCAGGCTTGGTGTTGGTCTCCCAGAGACCAAGTCTGGCTGCCCAGAGGTTCCCCGTTGAGGGTATGGGGAAGGAGAGCCCGCCTTGGGGCGGACAGTGGAGCCAGCTAGGAGAGGATTGGGTCCCTGTTGGCATGCGGGGAGTGGGAGGAGTGCGCAGTGCAGGGGTGCGTTTGGCGGCTTGCAGTGGCCAGGGCTGAGTTCCCCATGGGGCGGGCGGGCGGGCGGGCGGGCGGGCGGGGAGCTGCAGTGGGGCTGGTTTGGGCCCTGTGGTCATTGTGTGCCCTGGTCCCCTGCAGGCGCATTTGGTGCACTGCGGAACGGGGGGTGGGGAGGGGTGGTTGGGTGCGGGTTTCAAGCGCCCGGGCCCTTTGGGGAAATCCACCCCCGGGGGTGCAGAGTGCGGTGCGGCCAGGCCCAGGATTGACTTGAGGCGGAGTGCGGGGCCTGGGCAGAGACTGTCCGCTGAGTTTTCTTGCTGGTCTGGGGACAGCCTTGGGCAGGGTGCGCGGTGTGATGGTGGCGGGCGCTTGTGCCGTTAGTGTCCCCCGCCGGCAGCGCAGGTTGCGCAGGCCTGTGGGGAGGAGGCTGAGGAGTCCCGCGGTTGGCCCGTGGGGTGCGATGGAGGTGTGGGTGCAGGTCCTTGGCCAAAGCACTAGCAGTCCGTTAGCGGGACTGTGGCAGTCGAGCCAAGCCGGTGGATGCTTGCATGGCCCGGCCAGGATAGGCAGAGTGGGCAGGCCTTGGGCCGGATGGGTCTAGGTCGGTAGGGCCGTCATGGCTGAGTGTGTGGGGGGGGTGGCGGGGGGGAAGGAGGAGCATTGGGCAGGCTCTGTGTTTCTCTGTGTTGGGCAGGGCCTTGTGAATTGGGGCTCCGAGGAGCCTGCCGTCAGCAGGCGGCTCAGAGGCGTCCCCAGTCCTCCCCCGACAGTGGGCAGAGGCCCTGGCAGAGTCCGTGCAGGAGGGTTGAAGGAGAAGCAGCTTAGCGCGGGCGCCCCCTGGGCCCTGTTGCCGGTACGACGATGCTGGTGAAAGGAGACGGGCTGTGAGTGGCAGACACTGCATGGGTGTGTGCAGGTGGCGGGCAGAGATTTCAAGGCGTGGTCCTGCGACAACTACACAGGACTGGGTAGTGGGTCAGGGTAGCTGGCCCACACCAACCTGACGCCCACGCGAACCCGCACACCCGCACACCCACGAACAGACACACACGCAACACAGGCACGCATGCCCCCACCCACGGGCCCCCTCATCTGGCTTGGTAGACCCCGAGCGCTGTCACAGGCGCATGGTCGTGCCGAAACCCCTGGAGGAGGGTGGCACCGGAAAGCAGAAGACAGATAGCTGTGGAGTTGGGGCAAGCTGCGAGTTGGCGTGACGGGTCAGCTCTTGGCCTCGTTCCTTTTCCTCAACGGCGCTCTTGATTGTTCTCGGTCCCCAGGCGCTGATTGCCCAGGATGCCTTCGGTCAGCGGGACCTCGGGGTGCATGCCAGGCCCAGGGAGCAGTGTAGCCTTGAAGGGGCGCGAGCCGCCCGGCCTGCTCCCTGTCCCGCCGTGGACAGTGCATCGGCCCCGGGGAGAGAGAGGTGAGCCTTACTGGGCCCAAGGGGGTTCCGTGCTGGTCCTTGGTGTGGGTGGGAGCTGCTCAAGGCTTGCCGTTCGGCGTTGCGGCAAATGTCCTGGCCAGTGCTGCTCGCGCCCCGCGGGCCGGGTCCCGCTCGGCGCCCAGAGCCTGTGCTTGGATCGATGATGATTCCCCAAAAAAACATTCCTTGGAAAAGCTGAACAAAATGAGTGAAAACTCACTCCCGTCTCCGCTCATCGGTGACTGAGGTCCGGCACTTTTTGCACCAGCCAGCTAGTGTAGGAGCCAGGAAGGCCTTTCCCTCACACGCATTTGTGCCCCGGCACGGGCGGCAGCCCTAGACAGGTAGCCAGCCACGGCAGTGGGCCCTGGCACTCACCGTTCCTTTCTCCAGTGGGGCTTGCCTGTGAGGCCGAGGTTGGGCCGACCCGTCTGGGTCTCGCTTCTGCTCAAGTGTCTAGAGCTGCCAGCCAACCAGTTAGTAGCACATCCTTGCTCTGCTTGCCGACTCCGTGGTCTTTGGCCACGTGGGCGCCGTCGGGCTGCCAGTCCCTTGTCCAGGGGACGAATAGGCAGCGTTTGAAAGGCATGCACCCGCAAACGGCTGCCTTGGACACACCGCAACGCGTAGACTCCAACAACCAATCCCTTCACCACCACCGTCTCACACTTGCACAAAGAAACCCCAACCCCCAGGCACAGGCACACGAACACACACGCACGTGCGCCCGCTCACACACACACACACACGCGCGCGCGCGCACACATACATCCTGTGCGACTAATGGGCCCCAAGTTTTGCCTGCCTTCCTACGAGCTGTTGTGCTCATGGGCCAGACAAGCCCCGTGAGGGCGGGATAGGAGAATGAAAGAGAGCTATGGAGCTAGGGCAAGGAGGGAGTTTTGCGCGACGGGTCAGCCATTGGCCTTGGTCCTTTCCTCAACGGCCCTCTTGATTTCTCTTCGCTCCCAGGCGCTGATTTCCCAGGAGACCTTCGGTCAGCGGGGCCACGGGTTGGCAGCCAGGCCCAGAGAGCAGTGTAGCCTTGAAGGGGCGCGAGCCGCCCGGCCTGCTGGGTCGTGACCCGCCGTGGACAGTGCATCGGCCCCGAGGAGAGAGGGAGGTAAGCCTCGCTGTGCCCGAGGGGGTCCCGCTGTCGTCGGTGTGGGCTGGAGCTTGGCCTGCCCCGAGCTGCTGGCGCCCAGCGTGCCGTGTGCTGCTTGGCGCCCAGCGGGTGTGCTTGGATCGATGATGACTCCCCAAAATAACATTCCTTGGAAGCTGAACAAAATGAGTGAAAACTCTATAACCGTCGTTCTCATCGTGACTGAGGTCCACAGTCAGGTAGTGTAGGAGCGGGGGCCCGAGTCGCAGTCGCACACATTCTTTGCACCTGCGGGGCGCTTGCTGAAGACCGCCTCCCTGGCACTCAGACACTGCCATCCTGGGCTTGCTGTGGGTTGGGAGCACGCTCGCTCTGTGGGGCAGTTTGGTTAGGTGGATGGAGGCCACGCCCAGCCTGTGCCCGCGATAGGCATCCCTGGCCTCTGGCCGGCTGGGCTGTGACGGGGCAGCCGGTGCGTGGCTTGTGTCCCCGGGTAGGAAGAGGAGGAGGCGCCTAGGTGTTTGACAGATGTGCGCGTGGTGATTGGATCCCCAGGTAGAAGCGTGTGCCCTCAGTAGAAGCGTGTGTGGTGTTGAGGTTTTGTGGCCCGAGGTGTGTGTGGCCGAGGTTTGGGCTAGCCCACCCCCGCAGGCTTGGTGTTGGTCTCCCAGAGACCAAGTCTGGCTGCCCAGAGGTTCCCCGTTGAGGGTATGGGGAAGGAGAGCCCGCCTTGGGGCGGACAGTGGAGCCAGCTAGGAGAGGATTGGGTCCCTGTTGGCATGCGGGGAGTGGGAGGAGTGCGCAGTGCAGGGGTGCGTTTGGCGGCTTGCAGTGGCCAGGGCTGAGTTCCCCATGGGGCGGGCGGGCGGGCGGGCGGGCGGGCGGGGAGCTGCAGTGGGGCTGGTTTGGGCCCTGTGGTCATTGTGTGCCCTGGTCCCCTGCAGGCGCATTTGGTGCACTGCGGAACGGGGGGTGGGGAGGGGTGGTTGGGTGCGGGTTTCAAGCGCCCGGGCCCTTTGGGGAAATCCACCCCCGGGGGTGCAGAGTGCGGTGCGGCCAGGCCCAGGATTGACTTGAGGCGGAGTGCGGGGCCTGGGCAGAGACTGTCCGCTGAGTTTTCTTGCTGGTCTGGGGACAGCCTTGGGCAGGGTGCGCGGTGTGATGGTGGCGGGCGCTTGTGCCGTTAGTGTCCCCCGCCGGCAGCGCAGGTTGCGCAGGCCTGTGGGGAGGAGGCTGAGGAGTCCCGCGGTTGGCCCGTGGGGTGCGATGGAGGTGTGGGTGCAGGTCCTTGGCCAAAGCACTAGCAGTCCGTTAGCGGGACTGTGGCAGTCGAGCCAAGCCGGTGGATGCTTGCATGGCCCGGCCAGGATAGGCAGAGTGGGCAGGCCTTGGGCCGGATGGGTCTAGGTCGGTAGGGCCGTCATGGCTGAGTGTGTGTGGGGGGTGGCGGGGGGGAAGGAGGAGCATTGGGCAGGCTCTGTGTTTCTCTGTGTTGGGCAGGGCCTTGTGAATTGGGGCTCCGAGGAGCCTGCCGTCAGCAGGCGGCTCAGAGGCGTCCCCAGTCCTCCCCCGACAGTGGGCAGAGGCCCTGGCAGAGTCCGTGCAGGAGGGTTGAAGGAGAAGCAGCTTAGCGCGGGCGCCCCCTGGGCCCTGTTGCCGGTACGACGATGCTGGTGAAAGGAGACGGGCTGTGAGTGGCAGACACTGCATGGGTGTGTGCAGGTGGCGGGCAGAGATTTCAAGGCGTGGTCCTGCGACAACTACACAGGACTGGGTAGTGGGTCAGGGTAGCTGGCCCACACCAACCTGACGCCCACGCGAACCCGCACACCCGCACACCCACGAACAGACACACACGCAACACAGGCACGCATGCCCCCACCCACGGGCCCCCTCATCTGGCTTGGTAGACCCCGAGCGCTGTCACAGGCGCATGGTCGTGCCGAAACCCCTGGAGGAGGGTGGCACCGGAAAGCAGAAGACAGATAGCTGTGGAGTTGGGGCAAGCTGTGAGTTGGCGTGACGGGTCAGCTCTTGGCCTCGTTCCTTTTCCTCAACGGCGCTCTTGATTGTTCTCGGTCCCCAGGCGCTGATTGCCCAGGATGCCTTCGGTCAGCGGGACCTCGGGGTGCATGCCAGGCCCAGGGAGCAGTGTAGCCTTGAAGGGGCGCGAGCCGCCCGGCCTGCTCCCTGTCCCGCCGTGGACAGTGCATCGGCCCCGGGGAGAGAGAGGTGAGCCTTACTGGGCCCAAGGGGGTTCCGTGCTGGTCCTTGGTGTGGGTGGGAGCTGCTCAAGGCTTGCCGTTCGGCGTTGCGGCAAATGTCCTGGCCAGTGCTGCTCGCGCCCCGCGGGCCGGGTCCCGCTCGGCGCCCAGAGCCTGTGCTTGGATCGATGATGATTCCCCAAAAAAACATTCCTTGGAAAAGCTGAACAAAATGAGTGAAAACTCACTCCCGTCTCCGCTCATCGGTGACTGAGGTCCGGCACTTTTTGCACCAGCCAGCTAGTGTAGGAGCCAGGAAGGCCTTTCCCTCACACGCATTTGTGCCCCGGCACGGGCGGCAGCCCTAGACAGGTAGCCAGCCACGGCAGTGGGCCCTGGCACTCACCGTTCCTTTCTCCAGTGGGGCTTGCCTGTGAGGCCGAGGTTGGGCCGACCCGTCTGGGTCTCGCTTCTGCTCAAGTGTCTAGAGCTGCCAGCCAACCAGTTAGTAGCACATCCTTGCTCTGCTTGCCGACTCCGTGGTCTTTGGCCACGTGGGCGCCGTCGGGCTGCCAGTCCCTTGTCCAGGGGACGAATAGGCAGCGTTTGAAAGGCATGCACCCGCAAACGGCTGCCTTGGACACACCGCAACGCGTAGACTCCAACAACCAATCCCTTCACCACCACCGTCTCACACTTGCACAAAGAAACCCCAACCCCCAGGCACAGGCACACGATCACACACACGCATGTGCGCCCGCTCACACACACACACACACACGCGCGCGCGCGCACACATACATCCTGTGCGACTAATGGGCCCCAAGTTTTGCCTGCCTTCCTACGAGCTGTTGTGCTCATGGGCCAGACAAGCCCCGTGAGGGCGGGATAGGAGAATGAAAGAGAGCTATGGAGCTAGGGCAAGGAGGGAGTTTTGCGCGACGGGTCAGCCATTGGCCTTGGTCCTTTCCTCAACGGCCCTCTTGATTTCTCTTCGCTCCCAGGCGCTGATTTCCCAGGAGACCTTCGGTCAGCGGGGCCACGGGTTGGCAGCCAGGCCCAGAGAGCAGTGTAGCCTTGAAGGGGCGCGAGCCGCCCGGCCTGCTGGGTCGTGACCCGCCGTGGACAGTGCATCGGCCCCGAGGAGAGAGGGAGGTAAGCCTTGCTGTGCCCGAGGGGGTCCCGCTGTCGTCGGTGTGGGCTGGAGCTTGGCCTGCCCCGAGCTGCTGGCGCCCAGCGTGCCGTGTGCTGCTTGGCGCCCAGCGGGTGTGCTTGGATCGATGATGACTCCCCAAAATAACATTCCTTGGAAGCTGAACAAAATGAGTGAAAACTCTATAACCGTCGTTCTCATCGTGACTGAGGTCCACAGTCAGGTAGTGTAGGAGCGGGGGCCCGAGTCGCAGTCGCACACATTCTTTGCACCTGCGGGGCGCTTGCTGAAGACCGCCTCCCTGGCACTCAGACACTGCCATCCTGGGCTTGCTGTGGGTTGGGAGCACGCTCGCTCTGTGGCTCAGTTTGGTTAGGTGGATGGAGGCCACGCCCAGCCTGTGCCCGCGATAGGCATCCCTGGCCTCTGGCCGGCTGGGCTGTGACGGGGCAGCCGGTGCGTGGCTTGTGTCCCCGGGTAGGAAGAGGAGGAGGCGCCTAGGTGTTTGACAGATGTGCGCGTGGTGATTGGATCCCCAGGTAGAAGCGTGTGCCCTCAGTAGAAGCGTGTGTGGTGTTGAGGTTTTGTGGCCCGAGGTGTGTGTGGCCGAGGTTTGGGCTAGCCCACCCCCGCAGGCTTGGTGTTGGTCTCCCAGAGACCAAGTCTGGCTGCCCAGAGGTTCCCCGTTGAGGGTATGGGGAAGGAGAGCCCGCCTTGGGGCGGACAGTGGAGCCAGCTAGGAGAGGATTGGGTCCCTGTTGGCATGCGGGGAGTGGGAGGAGTGCGCAGTGCAGGGGTGCGTTTGGCGGCTTGCAGTGGCCAGGGCTGAGTTCCCCATGGGGCGGGCGGGCGGGCGGGCGGGCGGGCGGGCGGGGAGCTGCAGTGGGGCTGGTTTGGGCCCTGTGGTCATTGTGTGCCCTGGTCCCCTGCAGGCGCATTTGGTGCACTGCGGAACGGGGGGTGGGGAGGGGTGGTTGGGTGCGGGTTTCAAGCGCCCGGGCCCTTTGGGGAAATCCACCCCCGGGGGTGCAGAGTGCGGTGCGGCCAGGCCCAGGATTGACTTGAGGCGGAGTGCGGGGCCTGGGCAGAGACTGTCCGCTGAGTTTTCTTGCTGGTCTGGGGACAGCCTTGGGCAGGGTGCGCGGTGTGATGGTGGCGGGCGCTTGTGCCGTTAGTGTCCCCCGCCGGCAGCGCAGGTTGCGCAGGCCTGTGGGGAGGAGGCTGAGGAGTCCCGCGGTTGGCCCGTGGGGTGCGATGGAGGTGTGGGTGCAGGTCCTTGGCCAAAGCACTAGCAGTCCGTTAGCGGGACTGTGGCAGTCGAGCCAAGCCGGTGGATGCTTGCATGGCCCGGCCAGGATAGGCAGAGTGGGCAGGCCTTGGGCCGGATGGGTCTAGGTCGGTAGGGCCGTCATGGCTGAGTGTGTGGGGGGGGGTGGCGGGGGGGGAAGGAGGAGCATTGGGCAGGCTCTGTGTTTCTCTGTGTTGGGCAGGGCCTTGTGAATTGGGGCTCCGAGGAGCCTGCCGTCAGCAGGCGGCTCAGAGGCGTCCCCAGTCCTCCCCCGACAGTGGGCAGAGGCCCTGGCAGAGTCCGTGCAGGAGGGTTGAAGGAGAAGCAGCTTAGCGCGGGCGCCCCCTGGGCCCTGTTGCCGGTACGACGATGCTGGTGAAAGGAGACGGGCTGTGAGTGGCAGACACTGCATGGGTGTGTGCAGGTGGCGGGCAGAGATTTCAAGGCGTGGTCCTGCGACAACTACACAGGACTGGGTAGTGGGTCAGGGTAGCTGGCCCACACCAACCTGACGCCCACGCGAACCCGCACACCCGCACACCCACGAACAGACACACACGCAACACAGGCACGCATGCCCCCACCCACGGGCCCCCTCATCTGGCTTGGTAGACCCCGAGCGCTGTCACAGGCGCATGGTCGTGCCGAAACCCCTGGAGGAGGGTGGCACCGGAAAGCAGAAGACAGATAGCTGTGGAGTTGGGGCAAGCTGTGAGTTGGCGTGACGGGTCAGCTCTTGGCCTCGTTCCTTTTCCTCAACGGCGCTCTTGATTGTTCTCGGTCCCCAGGCGCTGATTGCCCAGGATGCCTTCGGTCAGCGGGACCTCGGGGTGCATGCCAGGCCCAGGGAGCAGTGTAGCCTTGAAGGGGCGCGAGCCGCCCGGCCTGCTCCCTGTCCCGCCGTGGACAGTGCATCGGCCCCGGGGAGAGAGAGGTGAGCCTTACTGGGCCCAAGGGGGTTCCGTGCTGGTCCTTGGTGTGGGTGGGAGCTGCTCAAGGCTTGCCGTTCGGCGTTGCGGCAAATGTCCTGGCCAGTGCTGCTCGCGCCCCGCGGGCCGGGTCCCGCTCGGCGCCCAGAGCCTGTGCTTGGATCGATGATGATTCCCCAAAAAAACATTCCTTGGAAAAGCTGAACAAAATGAGTGAAAACTCACTCCCGTCTCCGCTCATCGGTGACTGAGGTCCGGCACTTTTTGCACCAGCCAGCTAGTGTAGGAGCCAGGAAGGCCTTTCCCTCACACGCATTTGTGCCCCGGCACGGGCGGCAGCCCTAGACAGGTAGCCAGCCACGGCAGTGGGCCCTGGCACTCACCGTTCCTTTCTCCAGTGGGGCTTGCCTGTGAGGCCGAGGTTGGGCCGACCCGTCTGGGTCTCGCTTCTGCTCAAGTGTCTAGAGCTGCCAGCCAACCAGTTAGTAGCACATCCTTGCTCTGCTTGCCGACTCCGTGGTCTTTGGCCACGTGGGCGCCGTCGGGCTGCCAGTCCCTTGTCCAGGGGACGAATAGGCAGCGTTTGAAAGGCATGCACCCGCAAACGGCTGCCTTGGACACACCGCAACGCGTAGACTCCAACAACCAATCCCTTCACCACCACCGTCTCACACTTGCACAAAGAAACCCCAACCCCCAGGCACAGGCACACGATCACACACACGCATGTGCGCCCGCTCACACACACACACACACACGCGCGCGCGCGCACACATACATCCTGTGCGACTAATGGGCCCCAAGTTTTGCCTGCCTTCCTACGAGCTGTTGTGCTCATGGGCCAGACAAGCCCCGTGAGGGCGGGATAGGAGAATGAAAGAGAGCTATGGAGCTAGGGCAAGGAGGGAGTTTTGCGCGACGGGTCAGCCATTGGCCTTGGTCCTTTCCTCAACGGCCCTCTTGATTTCTCTTCGCTCCCAGGCGCTGATTTCCCAGGAGACCTTCGGTCAGCGGGGCCACGGGTTGGCAGCCAGGCCCAGAGAGCAGTGTAGCCTTGAAGGGGCGCGAGCCGCCCGGCCTGCTGGGTCGTGACCCGCCGTGGACAGTGCATCGGCCCCGAGGAGAGAGGGAGGTAAGCCTTGCTGTGCCCGAGGGGGTCCCGCTGTCGTCGGTGTGGGCTGGAGCTTGGCCTGCCCCGAGCTGCTGGCGCCCAGCGTGCCGTGTGCTGCTTGGCGCCCAGCGGGTGTGCTTGGATCGATGATGACTCCCCAAAATAACATTCCTTGGAAGCTGAACAAAATGAGTGAAAACTCTATAACCGTCGTTCTCATCGTGACTGAGGTCCACAGTCAGGTAGTGTAGGAGCGGGGGCCCGAGTCGCAGTCGCACACATTCTTTGCACCTGCGGGGCGCTTGCTGAAGACCGCCTCCCTGGCACTCAGACACTGCCATCCTGGGCTTGCTGTGGGTTGGGAGCACGCTCGCTCTGTGGCTCAGTTTGGTTAGGTGGATGGAGGCCACGCCCAGCCTGTGCCCGCGATAGGCATCCCTGGCCTCTGGCCGGCTGGGCTGTGACGGGGCAGCCGGTGCGTGGCTTGTGTCCCCGGGTAGGAAGAGGAGGAGGCGCCTAGGTGTTTGACAGATGTGCGCGTGGTGATTGGATCCCCAGGTAGAAGCGTGTGCCCTCAGTAGAAGCGTGTGTGGTGTTGAGGTTTTGTGGCCCGAGGTGTGTGTGGCCGAGGTTTGGGCTAGCCCACCCCCGCAGGCTTGGTGTTGGTCTCCCAGAGACCAAGTCTGGCTGCCCAGAGGTTCCCCGTTGAGGGTATGGGGAAGGAGAGCCCGCCTTGGGGCGGACAGTGGAGCCAGCTAGGAGAGGATTGGGTCCCTGTTGGCATGCGGGGAGTGGGAGGAGTGCGCAGTGCAGGGGTGCGTTTGGCGGCTTGCAGTGGCCAGGGCTGAGTTCCCCATGGGGCGGGCGGGCGGGCGGGCGGGCGGGCGGGCGGGGAGCTGCAGTGGGGCTGGTTTGGGCCCTGTGGTCATTGTGTGCCCTGGTCCCCTGCAGGCGCATTTGGTGCACTGCGGAACGGGGGGTGGGGAGGGGTGGTTGGGTGCGGGTTTCAAGCGCCCGGGCCCTTTGGGGAAATCCACCCCCGGGGGTGCAGAGTGCGGTGCGGCCAGGCCCAGGATTGACTTGAGGCGGAGTGCGGGGCCTGGGCAGAGACTGTCCGCTGAGTTTTCTTGCTGGTCTGGGGACAGCCTTGGGCAGGGTGCGCGGTGTGATGGTGGCGGGCGCTTGTGCCGTTAGTGTCCCCCGCCGGCAGCGCAGGTTGCGCAGGCCTGTGGGGAGGAGGCTGAGGAGTCCCGCGGTTGGCCCGTGGGGTGCGATGGAGGTGTGGGTGCAGGTCCTTGGCCAAAGCACTAGCAGTCCGTTAGCGGGACTGTGGCAGTCGAGCCAAGCCGGTGGATGCTTGCATGGCCCGGCCAGGATAGGCAGAGTGGGCAGGCCTTGGGCCGGATGGGTCTAGGTCGGTAGGGCCGTCATGGCTGAGTGTGTGGGGGGGGGGTGGCGGGGGGGGGAAGGAGGAGCATTGGGCAGGCTCTGTGTTTCTCTGTGTTGGGCAGGGCCTTGTGAATTGGGGCTCCGAGGAGCCTGCCGTCAGCAGGCGGCTCAGAGGCGTCCCCAGTCCTCCCCCGACAGTGGGCAGAGGCCCTGGCAGAGTCCGTGCAGGAGGGTTGAAGGAGAAGCAGCTTAGCGCGGGCGCCCCCTGGGCCCTGTTGCCGGTACGACGATGCTGGTGAAAGGAGACGGGCTGTGAGTGGCAGACACTGCATGGGTGTGTGCAGGTGGCGGGCAGAGATTTCAAGGCGTGGTCCTGCGACAACTACACAGGACTGGGTAGTGGGTCAGGGTAGCTGGCCCACACCAACCTGACGCCCACGCGAACCCGCACACCCGCACACCCACGAACAGACACACACGCAACACAGGCACGCATGCCCCCACCCACGGGCCCCCTCATCTGGCTTGGTAGACCCCGAGCGCTGTCACAGGCGCATGGTCGTGCCGAAACCCCTGGAGGAGGGTGGCACCGGAAAGCAGAAGACAGATAGCTGTGGAGTTGGGGCAAGCTGCGAGTTGGCGTGACGGGTCAGCTCTTGGCCTCGTTCCTTTTCCTCAACGGCGCTCTTGATTGTTCTCGGTCCCCAGGCGCTGATTGCCCAGGATGCCTTCGGTCAGCGGGACCTCGGGGTGCATGCCAGGCCCAGGGAGCAGTGTAGCCTTGAAGGGGCGCGAGCCGCCCGGCCTGCTCCCTGTCCCGCCGTGGACAGTGCATCGGCCCCGGGGAGAGAGAGGTGAGCCTTACTGGGCCCAAGGGGGTTCCGTGCTGGTCCTTGGTGTGGGTGGGAGCTGCTCAAGGCTTGCCGTTCGGCGTTGCGGCAAATGTCCTGGCCAGTGCTGCTCGCGCCCCGCGGGCCGGGTCCCGCTCGGCGCCCAGAGCCTGTGCTTGGATCGATGATGATTCCCCAAAAAAACATTCCTTGGAAAAGCTGAACAAAATGAGTGAAAACTCACTCCTGTCTCCGCTCATCGGTGACTGAGGTCCGGCACTTTTTGCACCAGCCAGCTAGTGTAGGAGCCAGGAAGGCCTTTCCCTCACACGCATTTGTGCCCCGGCACGGGCGGCAGCCCTAGACAGGTAGCCAGCCACGGCAGTGGGCCCTGGCACTCACCGTTCCTTTCTCCAGTGGGGCTTGCCTGTGAGGCCGAGGTTGGGCCGACCCGTCTGGGTCTCGCTTCTGCTCAAGTGTCTAGAGCTGCCAGCCAACCAGTTAGTAGCACATCCTTGCTCTGCTTGCCGACTCCGTGGTCTTTGGCCACGTGGGCGCCGTCGGGCTGCCAGTCCCTTGTCCAGGGGACGAATAGGCAGCGTTTGAAAGGCATGCACCCGCAAACGGCTGCCTTGGACACACCGCAACGCGTAGACTCCAACAACCAATCCCTTCACCACCACCGTCTCACACTTGCACAAAGAAACCCCAACCCCCAGGCACAGGCACACGATCACACACACGCATGTGCGCCCGCTCACACACACACACACACACGCGCGCGCGCGCACACATACATCCTGTGCGACTAATGGGCCCCAAGTTTTGCCTGCCTTCCTACGAGCTGTTGTGCTCATGGGCCAGACAAGCCCCGTGAGGGCGGGATAGGAGAATGAAAGAGAGCTATGGAGCTAGGGCAAGGAGGGAGTTTTGCGCGACGGGTCAGCCATTGGCCTTGGTCCTTTCCTCAACGGCCCTCTTGATTTCTCTTCGCTCCCAGGCGCTGATTTCCCAGGAGACCTTCGGTCAGCGGGGCCACGGGTTGGCAGCCAGGCCCAGAGAGCAGTGTAGCCTTGAAGGGGCGCGAGCCGCCCGGCCTGCTGGGTCGTGACCCGCCGTGGACAGTGCATCGGCCCCGAGGAGAGAGGGAGGTAAGCCTCGCTGTGCCCGAGGGGGTCCCGCTGTCGTCGGTGTGGGCTGGAGCTTGGCCTGCCCCGAGCTGCTGGCGCCCAGCGTGCCGTGTGCTGCTTGGCGCCCAGCGGGTGTGCTTGGATCGATGATGACTCCCCAAAATAACATTCCTTGGAAGCTGAACAAAATGAGTGAAAACTCTATAACCGTCGTTCTCATCGTGACTGAGGTCCACAGTCAGGTAGTGTAGGAGCGGGGGCCCGAGTCGCAGTCGCACACATTCTTTGCACCTGCGGGGCGCTTGCTGAAGACCGCCTCCCTGGCACTCAGACACTGCCATCCTGGGCTTGCTGTGGGTTGGGAGCACGCTCGCTCTGTGGGGCAGTTTGGTTAGGTGGATGGAGGCCACGCCCAGCCTGTGCCCGCGATAGGCATCCCTGGCCTCTGGCCGGCTGGGCTGTGACGGGGCAGCCGGTGCGTGGCTTGTGTCCCCGGGTAGGAAGAGGAGGAGGCGCCTAGGTGTTTGACAGATGTGCGCGTGGTGATTGGATCCCCAGGTAGAAGCGTGTGCCCTCAGTAGAAGCGTGTGTGGTGTTGAGGTTTTGTGGCCCGAGGTGTGTGTGGCCGAGGTTTGGGCTAGCCCACCCCCGCAGGCTTGGTGTTGGTCTCCCAGAGACCAAGTCTGGCTGCCCAGAGGTTCCCCGTTGAGGGTATGGGGAAGGAGAGCCCGCCTTGGGGCGGACAGTGGAGCCAGCTAGGAGAGGATTGGGTCCCTGTTGGCATGCGGGGAGTGGGAGGAGTGCGCAGTGCAGGGGTGCGTTTGGCGGCTTGCAGTGGCCAGGGCTGAGTTCCCCATGGGGCGGGCGGGCGGGCGGGCGGGCGGGCGGGGAGCTGCAGTGGGGCTGGTTTGGGCCCTGTGGTCATTGTGTGCCCTGGTCCCCTGCAGGCGCATTTGGTGCACTGCGGAACGGGGGGTGGGGAGGGGTGGTTGGGTGCGGGTTTCAAGCGCCCGGGCCCTTTGGGGAAATCCACCCCCGGGGGTGCAGAGTGCGGTGCGGCCAGGCCCAGGATTGACTTGAGGCGGAGTGCGGGGCCTGGGCAGAGACTGTCCGCTGAGTTTTCTTGCTGGTCTGGGGACAGCCTTGGGCAGGGTGCGCGGTGTGATGGTGGCGGGCGCTTGTGCCGTTAGTGTCCCCCGCCGGCAGCGCAGGTTGCGCAGGCCTGTGGGGAGGAGGCTGAGGAGTCCCGCGGTTGGCCCGTGGGGTGCGATGGAGGTGTGGGTGCAGGTCCTTGGCCAAAGCACTAGCAGTCCGTTAGCGGGACTGTGGCAGTCGAGCCAAGCCGGTGGATGCTTGCATGGCCCGGCCAGGATAGGCAGAGTGGGCAGGCCTTGGGCCGGATGGGTCTAGGTCGGTAGGGCCGTCATGGCTGAGTGTGTGGGGGGGGGGTGGCGGGGGGGGAAGGAGGAGCATTGGGCAGGCTCTGTGTTTCTCTGTGTTGGGCAGGGCCTTGTGAATTGGGGCTCCGAGGAGCCTGCCGTCAGCAGGCGGCTCAGAGGCGTCCCCAGTCCTCCCCCGACAGTGGGCAGAGGCCCTGGCAGAGTCCGTGCAGGAGGGTTGAAGGAGAAGCAGCTTAGCGCGGGCGCCCCCTGGGCCCTGTTGCCGGTACGACGATGCTGGTGAAAGGAGACGGGCTGTGAGTGGCAGACACTGCATGGGTGTGTGCAGGTGGCGGGCAGAGATTTCAAGGCGTGGTCCTGCGACAACTACACAGGACTGGGTAGTGGGTCAGGGTAGCTGGCCCACACCAACCTGACGCCCACGCGAACCCGCACACCCGCACACCCACGAACAGACACACACGCAACACAGGCACGCATGCCCCCACCCACGGGCCCCCTCATCTGGCTTGGTAGACCCCGAGCGCTGTCACAGGCGCATGGTCGTGCCGAAACCCCTGGAGGAGGGTGGCACCGGAAAGCAGAAGACAGATAGCTGTGGAGTTGGGGCAAGCTGCGAGTTGGCGTGACGGGTCAGCTCTTGGCCTCGTTCCTTTTCCTCAACGGCGCTCTTGATTGTTCTCGGTCCCCAGGCGCTGATTGCCCAGGATGCCTTCGGTCAGCGGGACCTCGGGGTGCATGCCAGGCCCAGGGAGCAGTGTAGCCTTGAAGGGGCGCGAGCCGCCCGGCCTGCTCCCTGTCCCGCCGTGGACAATGCATCGGCCCCGGGGAGAGAGAGGTGAGCCTTACTGGGCCCAAGGGGGTTCCGTGCTGGTCCTTGGTGTGGGTGGGAGCTGCTCAAGGCTTGCCGTTCGGCGTTGCGGCAAATGTCCTGGCCAGTGCTGCTCGCGCCCCGCGGGCCGGGTCCCGCTCGGCGCCCAGAGCCTGTGCTTGGATCGATGATGATTCCCCAAAAAAACATTCCTTGGAAAAGCTGAACAAAATGAGTGAAAACTCACTCCTGTCTCCGCTCATCGGTGACTGAGGTCCGGCACTTTTTGCACCAGCCAGCTAGTGTAGGAGCCAGGAAGGCCTTTCCCTCACACGCATTTGTGCCCCGGCACGGGCGGCAGCCCTAGACAGGTAGCCAGCCACGGCAGTGGGCCCTGGCACTCACCGTTCCTTTCTCCAGTGGGGCTTGCCTGTGAGGCCGAGGTTGGGCCGACCCGTCTGGGTCTCGCTTCTGCTCAAGTGTCTAGAGCTGCCAGCCAACCAGTTAGTAGCACATCCTTGCTCTGCTTGCCGACTCCGTGGTCTTTGGCCACGTGGGCGCCGTCGGGCTGCCAGTCCCTTGTCCAGGGGACGAATAGGCAGCGTTTGAAAGGCATGCACCCGCAAACGGCTGCCTTGGACACACCGCAACGCGTAGACTCCAACAACCAATCCCTTCACCACCACCGTCTCACACTTGCACAAAGAAACCCCAACCCCCAGGCACAGGCACACGATCACACACACGCATGTGCGCCCGCTCACACACACACACACACACGCGCGCGCGCGCACACATACATCCTGTGCGACTAATGGGCCCCAAGTTTTGCCTGCCTTCCTACGAGCTGTTGTGCTCATGGGCCAGACAAGCCCCGTGAGGGCGGGATAGGAGTATGAAAGAGAGCTATGGAGCTAGGGCAAGGAGGGAGTTTTGCGCGACGGGTCAGCCATTGGCCTTGGTCCTTTCCTCAACGGCCCTCTTGATTTCTCTTCGCTCCCAGGCGCTGATTTCCCAGGAGACCTTCGGTCAGCGGGGCCACGGGTTGGCAGCCAGGCCCAGAGAGCAGTGTAGCCTTGAAGGGGCGCGAGCCGCCCGGCCTGCTGGGTCGTGACCCGCCGTGGACAGTGCATCGGCCCCGAGGAGAGAGGGAGGTAAGCCTCGCTGTGCCCGAGGGGGTCCCGCTGTCGTCGGTGTGGGCTGGAGCTTGGCCTGCCCCGAGCTGCTGGCGCCCAGCGTGCCGTGTGCTGCTTGGCGCCCAGCGGGTGTGCTTGGATCGATGATGACTCCCCAAAATAACATTCCTTGGAAGCTGAACAAAATGAGTGAAAACTCTATAACCGTCGTTCTCATCGTGACTGAGGTCCACAGTCAGTGTAGGAGCGGGGGCCCGAGTCGCAGTCGCACACATTCTTTGCACCTGCGGGGCGCTTGCTGAAGACCGCCTCCCTGGCACTCAGACACTGCCATCCTGGGCTTGCTGTGGGTTGGGAGCACGCTCGCTCTGTGGGGCAGTTTGGTTAGGTGGATGGAGGCCACGCCCAGCCTGTGCCCGCGATAGGCATCCCTGGCCTCTGGCCGGCTGGGCTGTGACGGGGCAGCCGGTGCGTGGCTTGTGTCCCCGGGTAGGAAGAGGAGGAGGCGCCTAGGTGTTTGACAGATGTGCGCGTGGTGATTGGATCCCCAGGTAGAAGCGTGTGCCCTCAGTAGAAGCGTGTGTGGTGTTGAGGTTTTGTGGCCCGAGGTGTGTGTGGCCGAGGTTTGGGCTAGCCCACCCCCGCAGGCTTGGTGTTGGTCTCCCAGAGACCAAGTCTGGCTGCCCAGAGGTTCCCCGTTGAGGGTATGGGGAAGGAGAGCCCGCCTTGGGGCGGACAGTGGAGCCAGCTAGGAGAGGATTGGGTCCCTGTTGGCATGCGGGGAGTGGGAGGAGTGCGCAGTGCAGGGGTGCGTTTGGCGGCTTGCAGTGGCCAGGGCTGAGTTCCCCATGGGGCGGGCGGGCGGGCGGGCGGGCGGGCGGGGAGCTGCAGTGGGGCTGGTTTGGGCCCTGTGGTCATTGTGTGCCCTGGTCCCCTGCAGGCGCATTTGGTGCACTGCGGAACGGGGGGTGGGGAGGGGTGGTTGGGTGCGGGTTTCAAGCGCCCGGGCCCTTTGGGGAAATCCACCCCCGGGGGTGCAGAGTGCGGTGCGGCCAGGCCCAGGATTGACTTGAGGCGGAGTGCGGGGCCTGGGCAGAGACTGTCCGCTGAGTTTTCTTGCTGGTCTGGGGACAGCCTTGGGCAGGGTGCGCGGTGTGATGGTGGCGGGCGCTTGTGCCGTTAGTGTCCCCCGCCGGCAGCGCAGGTTGCGCAGGCCTGTGGGGAGGAGGCTGAGGAGTCCCGCGGTTGGCCCGTGGGGTGCGATGGAGGTGTGGGTGCAGGTCCTTGGCCAAAGCACTAGCAGTCCGTTAGCGGGACTGTGGCAGTCGAGCCAAGCCGGTGGATGCTTGCATGGCCCGGCCAGGATAGGCAGAGTGGGCAGGCCTTGGGCCGGATGGGTCTAGGTCGGTAGGGCCGTCATGGCTGAGTGTGTGGGGGGGGGGTGGCGGGGGGGGAAGGAGGAGCATTGGGCAGGCTCTGTGTTTCTCTGTGTTGGGCAGGGCCTTGTGAATTGGGGCTCCGAGGAGCCTGCCGTCAGCAGGCGGCTCAGAGGCGTCCCCAGTCCTCCCCCGACAGTGGGCAGAGGCCCTGGCAGAGTCCGTGCAGGAGGGTTGAAGGAGAAGCAGCTTAGCGCGGGCGCCCCCTGGGCCCTGTTGCCGGTACGACGATGCTGGTGAAAGGAGACGGGCTGTGAGTGGCAGACACTGCATGGGTGTGTGCAGGTGGCGGGCAGAGATTTCAAGGCGTGGTCCTGCGACAACTACACAGGACTGGGTAGTGGGTCAGGGTAGCTGGCCCACACCAACCTGACGCCCACGCGAACCCGCACACCCGCACACCCACGAACAGACACACACGCAACACAGGCACGCATGCCCCCACCCACGGGCCCCCTCATCTGGCTTGGTAGACCCCGAGCGCTGTCACAGGCGCATGGTCGTGCCGAAACCCCTGGAGGAGGGTGGCACCGGAAAGCAGAAGACAGATAGCTGTGGAGTTGGGGCAAGCTGCGAGTTGGCGTGACGGGTCAGCTCTTGGCCTCGTTCCTTTTCCTCAACGGCGCTCTTGATTGTTCTCGGTCCCCAGGCGCTGATTGCCCAGGATGCCTTCGGTCAGCGGGACCTCGGGGTGCATGCCAGGCCCAGGGAGCAGTGTAGCCTTGAAGGGGCGCGAGCCGCCCGGCCTGCTCCCTGTCCCGCCGTGGACAGTGCATCGGCCCCGGGGAGAGAGAGGTGAGCCTTACTGGGCCCAAGGGGGTTCCGTGCTGGTCCTTGGTGTGGGTGGGAGCTGCTCAAGGCTTGCCGTTCGGCGTTGCGGCAAATGTCCTGGCCAGTGCTGCTCGCGCCCCGCGGGCCGGGTCCCGCTCGGCGCCCAGAGCCTGTGCTTGGATCGATGATGATTCCCCAAAAAAACATTCCTTGGAAAAGCTGAACAAAATGAGTGAAAACTCACTCCCGTCTCCGCTCATCGGTGACTGAGGTCCGGCACTTTTTGCACCAGCCAGCTAGTGTAGGAGCCAGGAAGGCCTTTCCCTCACACGCATTTGTGCCCCGGCACGGGCGGCAGCCCTAGACAGGTAGCCAGCCACGGCAGTGGGCCCTGGCACTCACCGTTCCTTTCTCCAGTGGGGCTTGCCTGTGAGGCCGAGGTTGGGCCGACCCGTCTGGGTCTCGCTTCTGCTCAAGTGTCTAGAGCTGCCAGCCAACCAGTTAGTAGCACATCCTTGCTCTGCTTGCCGACTCCGTGGTCTTTGGCCACGTGGGCGCCGTCGGGCTGCCAGTCCCTTGTCCAGGGGACGAATAGGCAGCGTTTGAAAGGCATGCACCCGCAAACGGCTGCCTTGGACACACCGCAACGCGTAGACTCCAACAACCAATCCCTTCACCACCACCGTCTCACACTTGCACAAAGAAACCCCAACCCCCAGGCACAGGCACACGAACACACACGCACGTGCGCCCGCTCACACACACACACACACACGCGCGCGCGCGCACACATACATCCTGTGCGACTAATGGGCCCCAAGTTTTGCCTGCCTTCCTACGAGCTGTTGTGCTCATGGGCCAGACAAGCCCCGTGAGGGCGGGATAGGAGAATGAAAGAGAGCTATGGAGCTAGGGCAAGGAGGGAGTTTTGCGCGACGGGTCAGCCATTGGCCTTGGTCCTTTCCTCAACGGCCCTCTTGATTTCTCTTCGCTCCCAGGCACTGATTTCCCAGGAGACCTTCAGTCAGCGGGGCCACGGGTTGGCAGCCAGGCCCAGAGAGCAGTGTAGCCTTGAAGGGGCGCGAGCCGCCCGGCCTGCTGGGTCGTGACCCGCCGTGGACAGTGCATCGGCCCCGAGGAGAGAGGGAGGTAAGCCTCGCTGTGCCCGAGGGGGTCCCGCTGTCGTCGGTGTGGGCTGGAGCTTGGCCTGCCCCGAGCTGCTGGCGCCCAGCGTGCCGTGTGCTGCTTGGCGCCCAGCGGGTGTGCTTGGATCGATGATGACTCCCCAAAATAACATTCCTTGGAAGCTGAACAAAATGAGTGAAAACTCTATAACCGTCGTTCTCATCGTGACTGAGGTCCACAGTCAGGTAGTGTAGGAGCGGGGGCCCGAGTCGCAGTCGCACACATTCTTTGCACCTGCGGGGCGCTTGCTGAAGACCGCCTCCCTGGCACTCAGACACTGCCATCCTGGGCTTGCTGTGGGTTGGGAGCACGCTCGCTCTGTTGTGCAGTTTGGTTAGGTGGATGGAGGCCACGCCCAGCCTGTGCCCGCGATAGGCATCCCTGGCCTCTGGCCGGCTGGGCTGTGACGGGGCAGCCGGTGCGTGGCTTGTGTCCCCAGGTAGGAAGAGGAGGAGGCGCCTAGGTGTTTGACAGATGTGCGCGTGGTGATTGGATCCCCAGGTAGAAGCGTGTGCCCTCAGTAGAAGCGTGTGTGGTGTTGAGGTTTTGTGGCCCGAGGTGTGTGTGGCCGAGGTTTGGGCTAGCCCACCCCCGCAGGCTTGGTGTTGGTCTCCCAGAGACCAAGTCTGGCTGCCCAGAGGTTCCCCGTTGAGGGTATGGGGAAGGAGAGCCCGCCTTGGGGCGGACAGTGGAGCCAGCTAGGAGAGGATTGGGTCCCTGTTGGCATGCGGGGAGTGGGAGGAGTGCGCAGTGCAGGGGTGCGTTTGGCGGCTTGCAGTGGCCAGGGCTGAGTTCCCCATGGGGCGGGCGGGCGGGCGGGCGGGCGGGCGGGGAGCTGCAGTGGGGCTGGTTTGGGCCCTGTGGTCATTGTGTGCCCTGGTCCCCTGCAGGCGCATTTGGTGCACTGCGGAACGGGGGGTGGGGAGGGGTGGTTGGGTGCGGGTTTCAAGCGCCCGGGCCCTTTGGGGAAATCCACCCCCGGGGGTGCAGAGTGCGGTGCGGCCAGGCCCAGGATTGACTTGAGGCGGAGTGCGGGGCCTGGGCAGAGACTGTCCGCTGAGTTTTCTTGCTGGTCTGGGGACAGCCTTGGGCAGGGTGCGCGGTGTGATGGTGGCGGGCGCTTGTGCCGTTAGTGTCCCCCGCCGGCAGCGCAGGTTGCGCAGGCCTGTGGGGAGGAGGCTGAGGAGTCCCGCGGTTGGCCCGTGGGGTGCGATGGAGGTGTGGGTGCAGGTCCTTGGCCAAAGCACTAGCAGTCCGTTAGCGGGACTGTGGCAGTCGAGCCAAGCCGGTGGATGCTTGCATGGCCCGGCCAGGATAGGCAGAGTGGGCAGGCCTTGGGCCGGATGGGTCTAGGTCGGTAGGGCCGTCATGGCTGAGTGTGTGTGGGGGGTGGCGGGGGGGAAGGAGGAGCATTGGGCAGGCTCTGTGTTTCTCTGTGTTGGGCAGGGCCTTGTGAATTGGGGCTCCGAGGAGCCGGCCGTCAGCAGGCGGATCAGAGGCGTCCCCAGTCCTCCCCCGACAGTGGGCAGAGGCCCTGGCAGAGTCCGTGCAGGAGGGTTGAAGGAGAAGCAGCTTAGCGCGGGCGCCCCCTGGGCCCTGTTGCCGGTACGACGATGCTGGTGAAAGGAGACGGGCTGTGAGTGGCAGACACTGCATGGGTGTGTGCAGGTGGCGGGCAGAGATTTCAAGGCGTGGTCCTGCGACAACTACACAGGACTGGGTAGTGGGTCAGGGTAGCTGGCCCACACCAACCTGACGCCCACGCGAACCCGCACACCCGCACACCCACGAACAGACACACACGCAACACAGGCACGCATGCCCCCACCCACGGGCCCCCTCATCTGGCTTGGTAGACCCCGAGCGCTGTCACAGGCGCATGGTCGTGCCGAAACCCCTGGAGGAGGGTGGCACCGGAAAGCAGAAGACAGATAGCTGTGGAGTTGGGGCAAGCTGCGAGTTGGCGTGACGGGTCAGCTCTTGGCCTCGTTCCTTTTCCTCAACGGCGCTCTTGATTGTTCTCGGTCCCCAGGCGCTGATTGCCCAGGATGCCTTCGGTCAGCGGGACCTCGGGGTGCATGCCAGGCCCAGGGAGCAGTGTAGCCTTGAAGGGGCGCGAGCCGCCCGGCCTGCTCCCTGTCCCGCCGTGGACAGTGCATCGGCCCCGGGGAGAGAGAGGTGAGCCTTACTGGGCCCAAGGGGGTTCCGTGCTGGTCCTTGGTGTGGGTGGGAGCTGCTCAAGGCTTGCCGTTCGGCGTTGCGGCAAATGTCCTGGCCAGTGCTGCTCGCGCCCCGCGGGCCGGGTCCCGCTCGGCGCCCAGAGCCTGTGCTTGGATCGATGATGATTCCCCAAAAAAACATTCCTTGGAAAAGCTGAACAAAATGAGTGAAAACTCACTCCCGTCTCCGCTCATCGGTGACTGAGGTCCGGCACTTTTTGCACCAGCCAGCTAGTGTAGGAGCCAGGAAGGCCTTTCCCTCACACGCATTTGTGCCCCGGCACGGGCGGCAGCCCTAGACAGGTAGCCAGCCACGGCAGTGGGCCCTGGCACTCACCGTTCCTTTCTCCAGTGGGGCTTGCCTGTGAGGCCGAGGTTGGGCCGACCCGTCTGGGTCTCGCTTCTGCTCAAGTGTCTAGAGCTGCCAGCCAACCAGTTAGTAGCACATCCTTGCTCTGCTTGCCGACTCCGTGGTCTTTGGCCACGTGGGCGCCGTCGGGCTGCCAGTCCCTTGTCCAGGGGACGAATAGGCAGCGTTTGAAAGGCATGCACCCGCAAACGGCTGCCTTGGACACACCGCAACGCGTAGACTCCAACAACCAATCCCTTCACCACCACCGTCTCACACTTGCACAAAGAAACCCCAACCCCCAGGCACAGGCACACGAACACACACGCACGTGCGCCCGCTCACACACACACACACACGCGCGCGCGCGCACACATACATCCTGTGCGACTAATGGGCCCCAAGTTTTGCCTGCCTTCCTACGAGCTGTTGTGCTCATGGGCCAGACAAGCCCCGTGAGGGCGGGATAGGAGAATGAAAGAGAGCTATGGAGCTAGGGCAAGGAGGGAGTTTTGCGCGACGGGTCAGCCATTGGCCTTGGTCCTTTCCTCAACGGCCCTCTTGATTTCTCTTCGCTCCCAGGCACTGATTTCCCAGGAGACCTTCGGTCAGCGGGGCCACGGGTTGGCAGCCAGGCCCAGAGAGCAGTGTAGCCTTGAAGGGGCGCGAGCCGCCCGGCCTGCTGGGTCGTGACCCGCCGTGGACAGTGCATCGGCCCCGAGGAGAGAGGGAGGTAAGCCTCGCTGTGCCCGAGGGGGTCCCGCTGTCGTCGGTGTGGGCTGGAGCTTGGCCTGCCCCGAGCTGCTGGCGCCCAGCGTGCCGTGTGCTGCTTGGCGCCCAGCGGGTGTGCTTGGATCGATGATGACTCCCCAAAATAACATTCCTTGGAAGCTGAACAAAATGAGTGAAAACTCTATAACCGTCGTTCTCATCGTGACTGAGGTCCACAGTCAGGTAGTGTAGGAGCGGGGGCCCGAGTCGCAGTCGCACACATTCTTTGCACCTGCGGGGCGCTTGCTGAAGACCGCCTCCCTGGCACTCAGACATTGCCATCCTGGGCTTGCTGTGGGTTGGGAGCACACTCGCTCTGTGGGGCAGTTTGGTTAGGTGGATGGAGGCCACGCCCAGCCTGTGCCCGCGATAGGCATCCCTGGCCTCTGGCCGGCTGGGCTGTGACGGGGCAGCCGGTGCGTGTCCCCGGGTAGGAAGAGGAGGAGGCGCCTAGGTGTTTGACAGATGTGCGCGTGGTGATTGGATCCCCAGGTAGAAGCGTGTGCCCTCAGTAGAAGCGTGTGTGGTGTTGAGGTTTTGTGGCCCGAGGTGTGTGTGGCCGAGGTTTGGGCTAGCCCACCCCCGCAGGCTTGGTGTTGGTCTCCCAGAGACCAAGTTTTGCTGCCCAGAGGTTCCCCGTTGAGGGTATGGGGAAGGAGAGCCCGCCTTGGGGCGGACAGTGGAGCCAGCTAGGAGAGGATTGGGTCCCTGTTGGCATGCGGGGAGTGGGAGGAGTGCGCAGTGCAGGGGTGCGTTTGGCGGCTTGCAGTGGCCAGGGCTGAGTTCCCCATGGGGCGGGCGGGCGGGCGGGCGGGCGGGCGGGGAGCTGCAGTGGGGCTGGTTTGGGCCCTGTGGTCATTGTGTGCCCTGGTCCCCTGCAGGCGCATTTGGTGCACTGCGGAACGGGGGGTGGGGAGGGGTGGTTGGGTGCGGGTTTCAAGCGCCCGGGCCCTTTGGGGAAATCCACCCCCGGGGGTGCAGAGTGCGGTGCGGCCAGGCCCAGGATTGACTTGAGGCGGAGTGCGGGGCCTGGGCAGAGACTGTCCGCTGAGTTTTCTTGCTGGTCTGGGGACAGCCTTGGGCAGGGTGCGCGGTGTGATGGTGGCGGGCGCTTGTGCCGTTAGTGTCCCCCGCCGGCAGCGCAGGTTGCGCAGGCCTGTGGGGAGGAGGCTGAGGAGTCCCGCGGTTGGCCCGTGGGGTGCGATGGAGGTGTGGGTGCAGGTCCTTGGCCAAAGCACTAGCAGTCCGTTAGCGGGACTGTGGCAGTCGAGCCAAGCCGGTGGATGCTTGCATGGCCCGGCCAGGATAGGCAGAGTGGGCAGGCCTTGGGCCGGATGGGTCTAGGTCGGTAGGGCCGTCATGGCTGAGTGTGTGTGGGGGGTGGCGGGGGGGAAGGAGGAGCATTGGGCAGGCTCTGTGTTTCTCTGTGTTGGGCAGGGCCTTGTGAATTGGGGCTCCGAGGAGCCTGCCGTCAGCAGGCGGCTCAGAGGCGTCCCCAGTCCTCCCCCGACAGTGGGCAGAGGCCCTGGCAGAGTCCGTGCAGGAGGGTTGAAGGAGAAGCAGCTTAGCGCGGGCGCCCCCTGGGCCCTGTTGCCGGTACGACGATGCTGGTGAAAGGAGACGGGCTGTGAGTGGCAGACACTGCATGGGTGTGTGCAGGTGGCGGGCAGAGATTTCAAGGCGTGGTCCTGCGACAACTACACAGGACTGGGTAGTGGGTCAGGGTAGCTGGCCCACACCAACCTGACGCCCACGCGAACCCGCACACCCGCACACCCACGAACAGACACACACGCAACACAGGCACGCATGCCCCCACCCACGGGCCCCCTCATCTGGCTTGGTAGACCCCGAGCGCTGTCACAGGCGCATGGTCGTGCCGAAACCCCTGGAGGAGGGTGGCACCGGAAAGCAGAAGACAGATAGCTGTGGAGTTGGGGCAAGCTGCGAGTTGGCGTGACGGGTCAGCTCTTGGCCTCGTTCCTTTTCCTCAACGGCGCTCTTGATTGTTCTCGGTCCCCAGGCGCTGATTGCCCAGGATGCCTTCGGTCAGCGGGACCTCGGGGTGCATGCCAGGCCCAGGGAGCAGTGTAGCCTTGAAGGGGCGCGAGCCGCCCGGCCTGCTCCCTGTCCCGCCGTGGACAGTGCATCGGCCCCGGGGAGAGAGAGGTGAGCCTTACTGGGCCCAAGGGGGTTCCGTGCTGGTCCTTGGTGTGGGTGGGAGCTGCTCAAGGCTTGCCGTTCGGCGTTGCGGCAAATGTCCTGGCCAGTGCTGCTCGCGCCCCGCGGGCCGGGTCCCGCTCGGCGCCCAGAGCCTGTGCTTGGATCGATGATGATTCCCCAAAAAAACATTCCTTGGAAAAGCTGAACAAAATGAGTGAAAACTCACTCCCGTCTCCGCTCATCGGTGACTGAGGTCCGGCACTTTTTGCACCAGCCAGCTAGTGTAGGAGCCAGGAAGGCCTTTCCCTCACACGCATTTGTGCCCCGGCACGGGCGGCAGCCCTAGACAGGTAGCCAGCCACGGCAGTGGGCCCTGGCACTCACCGTTCCTTTCTCCAGTGGGGCTTGCCTGTGAGGCCGAGGTTGGGCCGACCCGTCTGGGTCTCGCTTCTGCTCAAGTGTCTAGAGCTGCCAGCCAACCAGTTAGTAGCACATCCTTGCTCTGCTTGCCGACTCCGTGGTCTTTGGCCACGTGGGCGCCGTCGGGCTGCCAGTCCCTTGTCCAGGGGACGAATAGGCAGCGTTTGAAAGGCATGCACCCGCAAACGGCTGCCTTGGACACACCGCAACGCGTAGACTCCAACAACCAATCCCTTCACCACCACCGTCTCACACTTGCACAAAGAAACCCCAACCCCCAGGCACAGGCACACGAACACACACGCACGTGCGCCCGCTCACACACACACACACACGCGCGCGCGCGCACACATACATCCTGTGCGACTAATGGGCCCCAAGTTTTGCCTGCCTTCCTACGAGCTGTTGTGCTCATGGGCCAGACAAGCCCCGTGAGGGCGGGATAGGAGAATGAAAGAGAGCTATGGAGCTAGGGCAAGGAGGGAGTTTTGCGCGACGGGTCAGCCATTGGCCTTGGTCCTTTCCTCAACGGCCCTCTTGATTTCTCTTCGCTCCCAGGCGCTGATTTCCCAGGAGACCTTCGGTCAGCGGGGCCACGGGTTGGCAGCCAGGCCCAGAGAGCAGTGTAGCCTTGAAGGGGCGCGAGCCGCCCGGCCTGCTGGGTCGTGACCCGCCGTGGACAGTGCATCGGCCCCGAGGAGAGAGGGAGGTAAGCCTCGCTGTGCCCGAGGGGGTCCCGCTGTCGTCGGTGTGGGCTGGAGCTTGGCCTGCCCCGAGCTGCTGGCGCCCAGCGTGCCGTGTGCTGCTTGGCGCCCAGCGGGTGTGCTTGGATCGATGATGACTCCCCAAAATAACATTCCTTGGAAGCTGAACAAAATGAGTGAAAACTCTATAACCGTCGTTCTCATCGTGACTGAGGTCCACAGTCAGGTAGTGTAGGAGCGGGGGCCCGAGTCGCAGTCGCACACATTCTTTGCACCTGCGGGGCGCTTGCTGAAGACCGCCTCCCTGGCACTCAGACACTGCCATCCTGGGCTTGCTGTGGGTTGGGAGCACACTCGCTCTGTGGGGCAGTTTGGTTAGGTGGATGGAGGCCACGCCCAGCCTGTGCCCGCGATAGGCATCCCTGGCCTCTGGCCGGCTGGGCTGTGACGGGGCAGCCGGTGCGTGTCCCCGGGTAGGAAGAGGAGGAGGCGCCTAGGTGTTTGACAGATGTGCGCGTGGTGATTGGATCCCCAGGTAGAAGCGTGTGCCCTCAGTAGAAGCGTGTGTGGTGTTGAGGTTTTGTGGCCCGAGGTGTGTGTGGCCGAGGTTTGGGCTAGCCCACCCCCGCAGGCTTGGTGTTGGTCTCCCAGAGACCAAGTCTGGCTGCCCAGAGGTTCCCCGTTGAGGGTATGGGGAAGGAGAGCCCGCCTTGGGGCGGACAGTGGAGCCAGCTAGGAGAGGATTGGGTCCCTGTTGGCATGCGGGGAGTGGGAGGAGTGCGCAGTGCAGGGGTGCGTTTGGCGGCTTGCAGTGGCCAGGGCTGAGTTCCCCATGGGGCGGGCGGGCGGGCGGGCGGGCGGGCGGGGAGCTGCAGTGGGGCTGGTTTGGGCCCTGTGGTCATTGTGTGCCCTGGTCCCCTGCAGGCGCATTTGGTGCACTGCGGAACGGGGGGTGGGGAGGGGTGGTTGGGTGCGGGTTTCAAGCGCCCGGGCCCTTTGGGGAAATCCACCCCCGGGGGTGCAGAGTGCGGTGCGGCCAGGCCCAGGATTGACTTGAGGCGGAGTGCGGGGCCTGGGCAGAGACTGTCCGCTGAGTTTTCTTGCTGGTCTGGGGACAGCCTTGGGCAGGGTGCGCGGTGTGATGGTGGCGGGCGCTTGTGCCGTTAGTGTCCCCCGCCGGCAGCGCAGGTTGCGCAGGCCTGTGGGGAGGAGGCTGAGGAGTCCCGCGGTTGGCCCGTGGGGTGCGATGGAGGTGTGGGTGCAGGTCCTTGGCCAAAGCACTAGCAGTCCGTTAGCGGGACTGTGGCAGTCGAGCCAAGCCGGTGGATGCTTGCATGGCCCGGCCAGGATAGGCAGAGTGGGCAGGCCTTGGGCCGGATGGGTCTAGGTCGGTAGGGCCGTCATGGCTGAGTGTGTGGGGGGGGGTGGCGGGGGGGAAGGAGGAGCATTGGGCAGGCTCTGTGTTTCTCTGTGTTGGGCAGGGCCTTGTGAATTGGGGCTCCGAGGAGCCTGCCGTCAGCAGGCGGCTCAGAGGCGTCCCCAGTCCTCCCCCGACAGTGGGCAGAGGCCCTGGCAGAGTCCGTGCAGGAGGGTTGAAGGAGAAGCAGCTTAGCGCGGGCGCCCCCTGGGCCCTGTTGCCGGTACGACGATGCTGGTGAAAGGAGACGGGCTGTGAGTGGCAGACACTGCATGGGTGTGTGCAGGTGGCGGGCAGAGATTTCAAGGCGTGGTCCTGCGACAACTACACAGGACTGGGTAGTGGGTCAGGGTAGCTGGCCCACACCAACCTGACGCCCACGCGAACCCGCACACCCGCACACCCACGAACAGACACACACGCAACACAGGCACGCATGCCCCCACCCACGGGCCCCCTCATCTGGCTTGGTAGACCCCGAGCGCTGTCACAGGCGCATGGTCGTGCCGAAACCCCTGGAGGAGGGTGGCACCGGAAAGCAGAAGACAGATAGCTGTGGAGTTGGGGCAAGCTGCGAGTTGGCGTGACGGGTCAGCTCTTGGCCTCGTTCCTTTTCCTCAACGGCGCTCTTGATTGTTCTCGGTCCCCAGGCGCTGATTGCCCAGGATGCCTTCGGTCAGCGGGACCTCGGGGTGCATGCCAGGCCCAGGGAGCAGTGTAGCCTTGAAGGGGCGCGAGCCGCCCGGCCTGCTCCCTGTCCCGCCGTGGACAGTGCATCGGCCCCGGGGAGAGAGAGGTGAGCCTTACTGGGCCCAAGGGGGTTCCGTGCTGGTCCTTGGTGTGGGTGGGAGCTGCTCAAGGCTTGCCGTTCGGCGTTGCGGCAAATGTCCTGGCCAGTGCTGCTCGCGCCCCGCGGGCCGGGTCCCGCTCGGCGCCCAGAGCCTGTGCTTGGATCGATGATGATTCCCCAAAAAAACATTCCTTGGAAAAGCTGAACAAAATGAGTGAAAACTCACTCCCGTCTCCGCTCATCGGTGACTGAGGTCCGGCACTTTTTGCACCAGCCAGCTAGTGTAGGAGCCAGGAAGGCCTTTCCCTCACACGCATTTGTGCCCCGGCACGGGCGGCAGCCCTAGACAGGTAGCCAGCCACGGCAGTGGGCCCTGGCACTCACCGTTCCTTTCTCCAGTGGGGCTTGCCTGTGAGGCCGAGGTTGGGCCGACCCGTCTGGGTCTCGCTTCTGCTCAAGTGTCTAGAGCTGCCAGCCAACCAGTTAGTAGCACATCCTTGCTCTGCTTGCCGACTCCGTGGTCTTTGGCCACGTGGGCGCCGTCGGGCTGCCAGTCCCTTGTCCAGGGGACGAATAGGCAGCGTTTGAAAGGCATGCACCCGCAAACGGCTGCCTTGGACACACCGCAACGCGTAGACTCCAACAACCAATCCCTTCACCACCACCGTCTCACACTTGCACAAAGAAACCCCAACCCCCAGGCACAGGCACACGAACACACACGCACGTGCGCCCGCTCACACACACACACACACGCGCGCGCGCGCACACATACATCCTGTGCGACTAATGGGCCCCAAGTTTTGCCTGCCTTCCTACGAGCTGTTGTGCTCATGGGCCAGACAAGCCCCGTGAGGGCGGGATAGGAGAATGAAAGAGAGCTATGGAGCTAGGGCAAGGAGGGAGTTTTGCGCGACGGGTCAGCCATTGGCCTTGGTCCTTTCCTCAACGGCCCTCTTGATTTCTCTTCGCTCCCAGGCACTGATTTCCCAGGAGACCTTCGGTCAGCGGGGCCACGGGTTGGCAGCCAGGCCCAGAGAGCAGTGTAGCCTTGAAGGGGCGCGAGCCGCCCGGCCTGCTGGGTCGTGACCCGCCGTGGACAGTGCATCGGCCCCGAGGAGAGAGGGAGGTAAGCCTCGCTGTGCCCGAGGGGGTCCCGCTGTCGTCGGTGTGGGCTGGAGCTTGGCCTGCCCCGAGCTGCTGGCGCCCAGCGTGCCGTGTGCTGCTTGGCGCCCAGCGGGTGTGCTTGGATCGATGATGACTCCCCAAAATAACATTCCTTGGAAGCTGAACAAAATGAGTGAAAACTCTATAACCGTCGTTCTCATCGTGACTGAGGTCCACAGTCAGGTAGTGTAGGAGCGGGGGCCCGAGTCGCAGTCGCACACATTCTTTGCACCTGCGGGGCGCTTGCTGAAGACCGCCTCCCTGGCACTCAGACATTGCCATCCTGGGCTTGCTGTGGGTTGGGAGCACACTCGCTCTGTGGGGCAGTTTGGTTAGGTGGATGGAGGCCACGCCCAGCCTGTGCCCGCGATAGGCATCCCTGGCCTCTGGCCGGCTGGGCTGTGACGGGGCAGCCGGTGCGTGTCCCCGGGTAGGAAGAGGAGGAGGCGCCTAGGTGTTTGACAGATGTGCGCGTGGTGATTGGATCCCCAGGTAGAAGCGTGTGCCCTCAGTAGAAGCGTGTGTGGTGTTGAGGTTTTGTGGCCCGAGGTGTGTGTGGCCGAGGTTTGGGCTAGCCCACCCCCGCAGGCTTGGTGTTGGTCTCCCAGAGACCAAGTTTTGCTGCCCAGAGGTTCCCCGTTGAGGGTATGGGGAAGGAGAGCCCGCCTTGGGGCGGACAGTGGAGCCAGCTAGGAGAGGATTGGGTCCCTGTTGGCATGCGGGGAGTGGGAGGAGTGCGCAGTGCAGGGGTGCGTTTGGCGGCTTGCAGTGGCCAGGGCTGAGTTCCCCATGGGGCGGGCGGGCGGGCGGGCGGGCGGGCGGGCGGGGAGCTGCAGTGGGGCTGGTTTGGGCCCTGTGGTCATTGTGTGCCCTGGTCCCCTGCAGGCGCATTTGGTGCACTGCGGAACGGGGGGTGGGGAGGGGTGGTTGGGTGCGGGTTTCAAGCGCCCGGGCCCTTTGGGGAAATCCACCCCCGGGGGTGCAGAGTGCGGTGCGGCCAGGCCCAGGATTGACTTGAGGCGGAGTGCGGGGCCTGGGCAGAGACTGTCCGCTGAGTTTTCTTGCTGGTCTGGGGACAGCCTTGGGCAGGGTGCGCGGTGTGATGGTGGCGGGCGCTTGTGCCGTTAGTGTCCCCCGCCGGCAGCGCAGGTTGCGCAGGCCTGTGGGGAGGAGGCTGAGGAGTCCCGCGGTTGGCCCGTGGGGTGCGATGGAGGTGTGGGTGCAGGTCCTTGGCCAAAGCACTAGCAGTCCGTTAGCGGGACTGTGGCAGTCGAGCCAAGCCGGTGGATGCTTGCATGGCCCGGCCAGGATAGGCAGAGTGGGCAGGCCTTGGGCCGGATGGGTCTAGGTCGGTAGGGCCGTCATGGCTGAGTGTGTGTGGGGGGTGGCGGGGGGGAAGGAGGAGCATTGGGCAGGCTCTGTGTTTCTCTGTGTTGGGCAGGGCCTTGTGAATTGGGGCTCCGAGGAGCCTGCCGTCAGCAGGCGGCTCAGAGGCGTCCCCAGTCCTCCCCCGACAGTGGGCAGAGGCCCTGGCAGAGTCCGTGCAGGAGGGTTGAAGGAGAAGCAGCTTAGCGCGGGCGCCCCCTGGGCCCTGTTGCCGGTACGACGATGCTGGTGAAAGGAGACGGGCTGTGAGTGGCAGACACTGCATGGGTGTGTGCAGGTGGCGGGCAGAGATTTCAAGGCGTGGTCCTGCGACAACTACACAGGACTGGGTAGTGGGTCAGGGTAGCTGGCCCACACCAACCTGACGCCCACGCGAACCCGCACACCCGCACACCCACGAACAGACACACACGCAACACAGGCACGCATGCCCCCACCCACGGGCCCCCTCATCTGGCTTGGTAGACCCCGAGCGCTGTCACAGGCGCATGGTCGTGCCGAAACCCCTGGAGGAGGGTGGCACCGGAAAGCAGAAGACAGATAGCTGTGGAGTTGGGGCAAGCTGCGAGTTGGCGTGACGGGTCAGCTCTTGGCCTCGTTCCTTTTCCTCAACGGCGCTCTTGATTGTTCTCGGTCCCCAGGCGCTGATTGCCCAGGATGCCTTCGGTCAGCGGGACCTCGGGGTGCATGCCAGGCCCAGGGAGCAGTGTAGCCTTGAAGGGGCGCGAGCCGCCCGGCCTGCTCCCTGTCCCGCCGTGGACAGTGCATCGGCCCCGGGGAGAGAGAGGTGAGCCTTACTGGGCCCAAGGGGGTTCCGTGCTGGTCCTTGGTGTGGGTGGGAGCTGCTCAAGGCTTGCCGTTCGGCGTTGCGGCAAATGTCCTGGCCAGTGCTGCTCGCGCCCCGCGGGCCGGGTCCCGCTCGGCGCCCAGAGCCTGTGCTTGGATCGATGATGATTCCCCAAAAAAACATTCCTTGGAAAAGCTGAACAAAATGAGTGAAAACTCACTCCCGTCTCCGCTCATCGGTGACTGAGGTCCGGCACTTTTTGCACCAGCCAGCTAGTGTAGGAGCCAGGAAGGCCTTTCCCTCACACGCATTTGTGCCCCGGCACGGGCGGCAGCCCTAGACAGGTAGCCAGCCACGGCAGTGGGCCCTGGCACTCACCGTTCCTTTCTCCAGTGGGGCTTGCCTGTGAGGCCGAGGTTGGGCCGACCCGTCTGGGTCTCGCTTCTGCTCAAGTGTCTAGAGCTGCCAGCCAACCAGTTAGTAGCACATCCTTGCTCTGCTTGCCGACTCCGTGGTCTTTGGCCACGTGGGCGCCGTCGGGCTGCCAGTCCCTTGTCCAGGGGACGAATAGGCAGCGTTTGAAAGGCATGCACCCGCAAACGGCTGCCTTGGACACACCGCAACGCGTAGACTCCAACAACCAATCCCTTCACCACCACCGTCTCACACTTGCACAAAGAAACCCCAACCCCCAGGCACAGGCACACGAACACACACGCACGTGCGCCCGCTCACACACACACACACACGCGCGCGCGCGCACACATACATCCTGTGCGACTAATGGGCCCCAAGTTTTGCCTGCCTTCCTACGAGCTGTTGTGCTCATGGGCCAGACAAGCCCCGTGAGGGCGGGATAGGAGAATGAAAGAGAGCTATGGAGCTAGGGCAAGGAGGGAGTTTTGCGCGACGGGTCAGCCATTGGCCTTGGTCCTTTCCTCAACGGCCCTCTTGATTTCTCTTCGCTCCCAGGCGCTGATTTCCCAGGAGACCTTCGGTCAGCGGGGCCACGGGTTGGCAGCCAGGCCCAGAGAGCAGTGTAGCCTTGAAGGGGCGCGAGCCGCCCGGCCTGCTGGGTCGTGACCCGCCGTGGACAGTGCATCGGCCCCGAGGAGAGAGGGAGGTAAGCCTCGCTGTGCCCGAGGGGGTCCCGCTGTCGTCGGTGTGGGCTGGAGCTTGGCCTGCCCCGAGCTGCTGGCGCCCAGCGTGCCGTGTGCTGCTTGGCGCCCAGCGGGTGTGCTTGGATCGATGATGACTCCCCAAAATAACATTCCTTGGAAGCTGAACAAAATGAGTGAAAACTCTATAACCGTCGTTCTCATCGTGACTGAGGTCCACAGTCAGGTAGTGTAGGAGCGGGGGCCCGAGTCGCAGTCGCACACATTCTTTGCACCTGCGGGGCGCTTGCTGAAGACCGCCTCCCTGGCACTCAGACACTGCCATCCTGGGCTTGCTGTGGGTTGGGAGCACACTCGCTCTGTGGGGCAGTTTGGTTAGGTGGATGGAGGCCACGCCCAGCCTGTGCCCGCGATAGGCATCCCTGGCCTCTGGCCGGCTGGGCTGTGACGGGGCAGCCGGTGCGTGTCCCCGGGTAGGAAGAGGAGGAGGCGCCTAGGTGTTTGACAGATGTGCGCGTGGTGATTGGATCCCCAGGTAGAAGCGTGTGCCCTCAGTAGAAGCGTGTGTGGTGTTGAGGTTTTGTGGCCCGAGGTGTGTGTGGCCGAGGTTTGGGCTAGCCCACCCCCGCAGGCTTGGTGTTGGTCTCCCAGAGACCAAGTCTGGCTGCCCAGAGGTTCCCCGTTGAGGGTATGGGGAAGGAGAGCCCGCCTTGGGGCGGACAGTGGAGCCAGCTAGGAGAGGATTGGGTCCCTGTTGGCATGCGGGGAGTGGGAGGAGTGCGCAGTGCAGGGGTGCGTTTGGCGGCTTGCAGTGGCCAGGGCTGAGTTCCCCATGGGGCGGGCGGGCGGGCGGGCGGGCGGGCGGGGAGCTGCAGTGGGGCTGGTTTGGGCCCTGTGGTCATTGTGTGCCCTGGTCCCCTGCAGGCGCATTTGGTGCACTGCGGAACGGGGGGTGGGGAGGGGTGGTTGGGTGCGGGTTTCAAGCGCCCGGGCCCTTTGGGGAAATCCACCCCCGGGGGTGCAGAGTGCGGTGCGGCCAGGCCCAGGATTGACTTGAGGCGGAGTGCGGGGCCTGGGCAGAGACTGTCCGCTGAGTTTTCTTGCTGGTCTGGGGACAGCCTTGGGCAGGGTGCGCGGTGTGATGGTGGCGGGCGCTTGTGCCGTTAGTGTCCCCCGCCGGCAGCGCAGGTTGCGCAGGCCTGTGGGGAGGAGGCTGAGGAGTCCCGCGGTTGGCCCGTGGGGTGCGATGGAGGTGTGGGTGCAGGTCCTTGGCCAAAGCACTAGCAGTCCGTTAGCGGGACTGTGGCAGTCGAGCCAAGCCGGTGGATGCTTGCATGGCCCGGCCAGGATAGGCAGAGTGGGCAGGCCTTGGGCCGGATGGGTCTAGGTCGGTAGGGCCGTCATGGCTGAGTGTGTGTGGGGGGGTGGCGGGGGGGAAGGAGGAGCATTGGGCAGGCTCTGTGTTTCTCTGTGTTGGGCAGGGCCTTGTGAATTGGGGCTCCGAGGAGCCTGCCGTCAGCAGGCGGCTCAGAGGCGTCCCCAGTCCTCCCCCGACAGTGGGCAGAGGCCCTGGCAGAGTCCGTGCAGGAGGGTTGAAGGAGAAGCAGCTTAGCGCGGGCGCCCCCTGGGCCCTGTTGCCGGTACGACGATGCTGGTGAAAGGAGACGGGCTGTGAGTGGCAGACACTGCATGGGTGTGTGCAGGTGGCGGGCAGAGATTTCAAGGCGTGGTCCTGCGACAACTACACAGGACTGGGTAGTGGGTCAGGGTAGCTGGCCCACACCAACCTGACGCCCACGCGAACCCGCACACCCGCACACCCACGAACAGACACACACGCAACACAGGCACGCATGCCCCCACCCACGGGCCCCCTCATCTGGCTTGGTAGACCCCGAGCGCTGTCACAGGCGCATGGTCGTGCCGAAACCCCTGGAGGAGGGTGGCACCGGAAAGCAGAAGACAGATAGCTGTGGAGTTGGGGCAAGCTGCGAGTTGGCGTGACGGGTCAGCTCTTGGCCTCGTTCCTTTTCCTCAACGGCGCTCTTGATTGTTCTCGGTCCCCAGGCGCTGATTGCCCAGGATGCCTTCGGTCAGCGGGACCTCGGGGTGCATGCCAGGCCCAGGGAGCAGTGTAGCCTTGAAGGGGCGCGAGCCGCCCGGCCTGCTCCCTGTCCCGCCGTGGACAGTGCATCGGCCCCGGGGAGAGAGAGGTGAGCCTTACTGGGCCCAAGGGGGTTCCGTGCTGGTCCTTGGTGTGGGTGGGAGCTGCTCAAGGCTTGCCGTTCGGCGTTGCGGCAAATGTCCTGGCCAGTGCTGCTCGCGCCCCGCGGGCCGGGTCCCGCTCGGCGCCCAGAGCCTGTGCTTGGATCGATGATGATTCCCCAAAAAAACATTCCTTGGAAAAGCTGAACAAAATGAGTGAAAACTCACTCCCGTCTCCGCTCATCGGTGACTGAGGTCCGGCACTTTTTGCACCAGCCAGCTAGTGTAGGAGCCAGGAAGGCCTTTCCCTCACACGCATTTGTGCCCCGGCACGGGCGGCAGCCCTAGACAGGTAGCCAGCCACGGCAGTGGGCCCTGGCACTCACCGTTCCTTTCTCCAGTGGGGCTTGCCTGTGAGGCCGAGGTTGGGCCGACCCGTCTGGGTCTCGCTTCTGCTCAAGTGTCTAGAGCTGCCAGCCAACCAGTTAGTAGCACATCCTTGCTCTGCTTGCCGACTCCGTGGTCTTTGGCCACGTGGGCGCCGTCGGGCTGCCAGTCCCTTGTCCAGGGGACGAATAGGCAGCGTTTGAAAGGCATGCACCCGCAAACGGCTGCCTTGGACACACCGCAACGCGTAGACTCCAACAACCAATCCCTTCACCACCACCGTCTCACACTTGCACAAAGAAACCCCAACCCCCAGGCACAGGCACACGAACACACACGCACCTGCGCCCGCTCACACACACACACACACGCGCGCACGCGCACACATACATCCTGTGCGACTAATGGGCCCCAAGTTTTGCCTGCCTTCCTACGAGCTGTTGTGCTCATGGGCCAGACAAGCCCCGTGAGGGCGGGATAGGAGTATGAAAGAGAGCTATGGAGCTAGGGCAAGGAGGGAGTTTTGCGCGACGGGTCAGCCATTGGCCTTGGTCCTTTCCTCAACGGCCCTCTTGATTTCTCTTCGCTCCCAGGCGCTGATTTCCCAGGAGACCTTCGGTCAGCGGGGCCACGGGTTGGCAGCCAGGCCCAGAGAGCAGTGTAGCCTTGAAGGGGCACGAGCCGCCCGGCCTGCTGGGTCGTGACCCGCCGTGGACAGTGCATCGGCCCCGAGGAGAGAGGGAGGTAAGCCTCGCTGTGCCCGAGGGGGTCCCGCTGTCGTCGGTGTGGGCTGGAGCTTGGCCTGCCCCGAGCTGCTGGCGCCCAGCGTGCCGTGTGCTGCTTGGCGCCCAGCGGGTGTGCTTGGATCGATGATGACTCCCCAAAATAACATTCCTTGGAAGCTGAACAAAATGAGTGAAAACTCTATAACCGTCGTTCTCATCGTGACTGAGGTCCACAGTCAGGTAGTGTAGGAGCGGGGGCCCGAGTCGCAGTCGCACACATTCTTTGCACCTGCGGGGCGCTTGCTGAAGACCGCCTCCCTGGCACTCAGACACTGCCATCCTGGGCTTGCTGTGGGTTGGGAGCACGCTCGCTCTGTGGGGCAGTTTGGTTAGGTGGATGGAGGCCACGCCCAGCCTGTGCCCGCGATAGGCATCCCTGGCCTCTGGCCGGCTGGGCTGTGACGGGGCAGCCGGTGCGTGTCCCCGGGTAGGAAGAGGAGGAGGCGCCTAGGTGTTTGACAGATGTGCGCGTGGTGATTGGATCCCCAGGTAGAAGCGTGTGCCCTCAGTAGAAGCGTGTGTGGTGTTGAGGTTTTGTGGCCCAAGGTGTGTGTGGCCGAGGTTTGGGCTAGCCCACCCCCGCAGGCTTGGTGTTGGTCTCCCAGAGACCAAGTCTGGCTGCCCAGAGGTTCCCCGTTGAGGGTATGGGGAAGGAGAGCCCGCCTTGGGGCGGACAGTGGAGCCAGCTAGGAGAGGATTGGGTCCCTGTTGGCATGCGGGGAGTGGGAGGAGTGCGCAGTGCAGGGGTGCGTTTGGCGGCTTGCAGTGGCCAGGGCTGAGTTCCCCATGGGGCGGGCGGGCGGGCGGGCGGGCGGGGAGCTGCAGTGGGGCTGGTTTGGGCCCTGTGGTCATTGTGTGCCCTGGTCCCCTGCAGGCGCATTTGGTGCACTGCGGAACGGGGGGTGGGGAGGGGTGGTTGGGTGCGGGTTTCAAGCGCCCGGGCCCTTTGGGGAAATCCACCCCCGGGGGTGCAGAGTGCGGTGCGGCCAGGCCCAGGATTGACTTGAGGCGGAGTGCGGGGCCTGGGCAGAGACTGTCCGCTGAGTTTTCTTGCTGGTCTGGGGACAGCCTTGGGCAGGGTGCGCGGTGTGATGGTGGCGGGCGCTTGTGCCGTTAGTGTCCCCCGCCGGCAGCGCAGGTTGCGCAGGCCTGTGGGGAGGAGGCTGAGGAGTCCCGCGGTTGGCCCGTGGGGTGCGATGGAGGTGTGGGTGCAGGTCCTTGGCCAAAGCACTAGCAGTCCGTTAGCGGGACTGTGGCAGTCGAGCCAAGCCGGTGGATGCTTGCATGGCCCGGCCAGGATAGGCAGAGTGGGCAGGCCTTGGGCCGGATGGGTCTAGGTCGGTAGGGCCGTCATGGCTGAGTGTGTGTGGGGGGTGGCGGGGGGGAAGGAGGAGCATTGGGCAGGCTCTGTGTTTCTCTGTGTTGGGCAGGGCCTTGTGAATTGGGGCTCCGAGGAGCCTGCCGTCAGCAGGCGGCTCAGAGGCGTCCCCAGTCCTCCCCCGACAGTGGGCAGAGGCCCTGGCAGAGTCCGTGCAGGAGGGTTGAAGGAGAAGCAGCTTAGCGCGGGCGCCCCCTGGGCCCTGTTGCCGGTACGACGATGCTGGTGAAAGGAGACGGGCTGTGAGTGGCAGACACTGCATGGGTGTGTGCAGGTGGCGGGCAGAGATTTCAAGGCGTGGTCCTGCGACAACTACACAGGACTGGGTAGTGGGTCAGGGTAGCTGGCCCACACCAACCTGACGCCCACGCGAACCCGCACACCCGCACACCCACGAACAGACACACACGCAACACAGGCACGCATGCCCCCACCCACGGGCCCCCTCATCTGGCTTGGTAGACCCCGAGCGCTGTCACAGGCGCATGGTCGTGCCGAAACCCCTGGAGGAGGGTGGCACCGGAAAGCAGAAGACAGATAGCTGTGGAGTTGGGGCAAGCTGCGAGTTGGCGTGACGGGTCAGCTCTTGGCCTCGTTCCTTTTCCTCAACGGCGCTCTTGATTGTTCTCGGTCCCCAGGCGCTGATTGCCCAGGATGCCTTCGGTCAGCGGGACCTCGGGGTGCATGCCAGGCCCAGGGAGCAGTGTAGCCTTGAAGGGGCGCGAGCCGCCCGGCCTGCTCCCTGTCCCGCCGTGGACAGTGCATCGGCCCCGGGGAGAGAGAGGTGAGCCTTACTGGGCCCAAGGGGGTTCCGTGCTGGTCCTTGGTGTGGGTGGGAGCTGCTCAAGGCTTGCCGTTCGGCGTTGCGGCAAATGTCCTGGCCAGTGCTGCTCGCGCCCCGCGGGCCGGGTCCCGCTCGGCGCCCAGAGCCTGTGCTTGGATCGATGATGATTCCCCAAAAAAACATTCCTTGGAAAAGCTGAACAAAATGAGTGAAAACTCACTCCCGTCTCCGCTCATCGGTGACTGAGGTCCGGCACTTTTTGCACCAGCCAGCTAGTGTAGGAGCCAGGAAGGCCTTTCCCTCACACGCATTTGTGCCCCGGCACGGGCGGCAGCCCTAGACAGGTAGCCAGCCACGGCAGTGGGCCCTGGCACTCACCGTTCCTTTCTCCAGTGGGGCTTGCCTGTGAGGCCGAGGTTGGGCCGACCCGTCTGGGTCTCGCTTCTGCTCAAGTGTCTAGAGCTGCCAGCCAACCAGTTAGTAGCACATCCTTGCTCTGCTTGCCGACTCCGTGGTCTTTGGCCACGTGGGCGCCGTCGGGCTGCCAGTCCCTTGTCCAGGGGACGAATAGGCAGCGTTTGAAAGGCATGCACCCACAAACGGCTGCCTTGGACACACCGCAACGCGTAGACTCCAACAACCAATCCCTTCACCACCACCGTCTCACACTTGCACAAAGAAACCCCAACCCCCAGGCACAGGCACACGAACACACACGCACCTGCGCCCGCTCACACACACACACACACACGCGCGCGCGCGCACACATACATCCTGTGCGACTAATGGGCCCCAAGTTTTGCCTGCCTTCCTACGAGCTGTTGTGCTCATGGGCCAGACAAGCCCCGTGAGGGCGGGATAGGAGTATGAAAGAGAGCTATGGAGCTAGGGCAAGGAGGGAGTTTTGCGCGACGGGTCAGCCATTGGCCTTGGTCCTTTCCTCAACGGCCCTCTTGATTTCTCTTCGCTCCCAGGCGCTGATTTCCCAGGAGACCTTCGGTCAGCGGGGCCACGGGTTGGCAGCCAGGCCCAGAGAGCAGTGTAGCCTTGAAGGGGCACGAGCCGCCCGGCCTGCTGGGTCGTGACCCGCCGTGGACAGTGCATCGGCCCCGAGGAGAGAGGGAGGTAAGCCTCGCTGTGCCCGAGGGGGTCCCGCTGTCGTCGGTGTGGGCTGGAGCTTGGCCTGCCCCGAGCTGCTGGCGCCCAGCGTGCCGTGTGCTGCTTGGCGCCCAGCGGGTGTGCTTGGATCGATGATGACTCCCCAAAATAACATTCCTTGGAAGCTGAACAAAATGAGTGAAAACTCTATAACCGTCGTTCTCATCGTGACTGAGGTCCACAGTCAGGTAGTGTAGGAGCGGGGGCCCGAGTCGCAGTCGCACACATTCTTTGCACCTGCGGGGCGCTTGCTGAAGACCGCCTCCCTGGCACTCAGACACTGCCATCCTGGGCTTGCTGTGGGTTGGGAGCACGCTCGCTCTGTGGGGCAGTTTGGTTAGGTGGATGGAGGCCACGCCCAGCCTGTGCCCGCGATAGGCATCCCTGGCCTCTGGCCGGCTGGGCTGTGACGGGGCAGCCGGTGCGTGTCCCCGGGTAGGAAGAGGAGGAGGCGCCTAGGTGTTTGACAGATGTGCGCGTGGTGATTGGATCCCCAGGTAGAAGCGTGTGCCCTCAGTAGAAGCGTGTGTGGTGTTGAGGTTTTGTGGCCCGAGGTGTGTGTGGCCGAGGTTTGGGCTAGCCCACCCCCGCAGGCTTGGTGTTGGTCTCCCAGAGACCAAGTCTGGCTGCCCAGAGGTTCCCCGTTGAGGGTATGGGGAAGGAGAGCCCGCCTTGGGGCGGACAGTGGAGCCAGCTAGGAGAGGATTGGGTCCCTGTTGGCATGCGGGGAGTGGGAGGAGTGCGCAGTGCAGGGGTGCGTTTGGCGGCTTGCAGTGGCCAGGGCTGAGTTCCCCATGGGGCGGGCGGGCGGGCGGGCGGGCGGGCGGGGAGCTGCAGTGGGGCTGGTTTGGGCCCTGTGGTCATTGTGTGCCCTGGTCCCCTGCAGGCGCATTTGGTGCACTGCGGAACGGGGGGTGGGGAGGGGTGGTTGGGTGCGGGTTTCAAGCGCCCGGGCCCTTTGGGGAAATCCACCCCCGGGGGTGCAGAGTGCGGTGCGGCCAGGCCCAGGATTGACTTGAGGCGGAGTGCGGGGCCTGGGCAGAGACTGTCCGCTGAGTTTTCTTGCTGGTCTGGGGACAGCCTTGGGCAGGGTGCGCGGTGTGATGGTGGCGGGCGCTTGTGCCGTTAGTGTCCCCCGCCGGCAGCGCAGGTTGCGCAGGCCTGTGGGGAGGAGGCTGAGGAGTCCCGCGGTTGGCCCGTGGGGTGCGATGGAGGTGTGGGTGCAGGTCCTTGGCCAAAGCACTAGCAGTCCGTTAGCGGGACTGTGGCAGTCGAGCCAAGCCGGTGGATGCTTGCATGGCCCGGCCAGGATAGGCAGAGTGGGCAGGCCTTGGGCCGGATGGGTCTAGGTCGGTAGGGCCGTCATGGCTGAGTGTGTGTGGGGGGTGGCGGGGGGGAAGGAGGAGCATTGGGCAGGCTCTGTGTTTCTCTGTGTTGGGCAGGGCCTTGTGAATTGGGGCTCCGAGGAGCCTGCCGTCAGCAGGCGGCTCAGAGGCGTCCCCAGTCCTCCCCCGACAGTGGGCAGAGGCCCTGGCAGAGTCCGTGCAGGAGGGTTGAAGGAGAAGCAGCTTAGCGCGGGCGCCCCCTGGGCCCTGTTGCCGGTACGACGATGCTGGTGAAAGGAGACGGGCTGTGAGTGGCAGACACTGCATGGGTGTGTGCAGGTGGCGGGCAGAGATTTCAAGGCGTGGTCCTGCGACAACTACACAGGACTGGGTAGTGGGTCAGGGTAGCTGGCCCACACCAACCTGACGCCCACGCGAACCCGCACACCCGCACACCCACGAACAGACACACACGCAACACAGGCACGCATGCCCCCACCCACGGGCCCCCTCATCTGGCTTGGTAGACCCCGAGCGCTGTCACAGGCGCATGGTCGTGCCGAAACCCCTGGAGGAGGGTGGCACCGGAAAGCAGAAGACAGATAGCTGTGGAGTTGGGGCAAGCTGCGAGTTGGCGTGACGGGTCAGCTCTTGGCCTCGTTCCTTTTCCTCAACGGCGCTCTTGATTGTTCTCGGTCCCCAGGCGCTGATTGCCCAGGATGCCTTCGGTCAGCGGGACCTCGGGGTGCATGCCAGGCCCAGGGAGCAGTGTAGCCTTGAAGGGGCGCGAGCCGCCCGGCCTGCTCCCTGTCCCGCCGTGGACAGTGCATCGGCCCCGGGGAGAGAGAGGTGAGCCTTACTGGGCCCAAGGGGGTTCCGTGCTGGTCCTTGGTGTGGGTGGGAGCTGCTCAAGGCTTGCCGTTCGGCGTTGCGGCAAATGTCCTGGCCAGTGCTGCTCGCGCCCCGCGGGCCGGGTCCCGCTCGGCGCCCAGAGCCTGTGCTTGGATCGATGATGATTCCCCAAAAAAACATTCCTTGGAAAAGCTGAACAAAATGAGTGAAAACTCACTCCCGTCTCCGCTCATCGGTGACTGAGGTCCGGCACTTTTTGCACCAGCCAGCTAGTGTAGGAGCCAGGAAGGCCTTTCCCTCACACGCATTTGTGCCCCGGCACGGGCGGCAGCCCTAGACAGGTAGCCAGCCACGGCAGTGGGCCCTGGCACTCACCGTTCCTTTCTCCAGTGGGGCTTGCCTGTGAGGCCGAGGTTGGGCCGACCCGTCTGGGTCTCGCTTCTGCTCAAGTGTCTAGAGCTGCCAGCCAACCAGTTAGTAGCACATCCTTGCTCTGCTTGCCGACTCCGTGGTCTTTGGCCACGTGGGCGCCGTCGGGCTGCCAGTCCCTTGTCCAGGGGACGAATAGGCAGCGTTTGAAAGGCATGCACCCGCAAACGGCTGCCTTGGACACACCGCAACGCGTAGACTCCAACAACCAATCCCTTCACCACCACCGTCTCACACTTGCACAAAGAAACCCCAACCCCCAGGCACAGGCACACGAACACACACGCACGTGCGCCCGCTCACACACACACACACGCGCGCGCGCGCGCACACATACATCCTGTGCGACTAATGGGCCCCAAGTTTTGCCTGCCTTCCTACGAGCTGTTGTGCTCATGGGCCAGACAAGCCCCGTGAGGGCGGGATAGGAGAATGAAAGAGAGCTATGGAGCTAGGGCAAGGAGGGAGTTTTGCGCGACGGGTCAGCCATTGGCCTTGGTCCTTTCCTCAACGGCCCTCTTGATTTCTCTTCGCTCCCAGGCGCTGATTTCCCAGGAGACCTTCGGTCAGCGGGGCCACGGGTTGGCAGCCAGGCCCAGAGAGCAGTGTAGCCTTGAAGGGGCGCGAGCCGCCCGGCCTGCTGGGTCGTGACCCGCCGTGGACAGTGCATCGGCCCCGAGGAGAGAGGGAGGTAAGCCTCGCTGTGCCCGAGGGGGTCCCGCTGTCGTCGGTGTGGGCTGGAGCTTGGCCTGCCCCGAGCTGCTGGCGCCCAGCGTGCCGTGTGCTGCTTGGCGCCCAGCGGGTGTGCTTGGATCGATGATGACTCCCCAAAATAACATTCCTTGGAAGCTGAACAAAATGAGTGAAAACTCTATAACCGTCGTTCTCATCGTGACTGACGTCCACAGTCAGGTAGTGTAGGAGCGGGGGCCCGAGTCGCAGTCGCACACATTCTTTGCACCTGCGGGGCGCTTGCTGAAGACCGCCTCCCTGGCACTCAGACACTGCCATCCTGGGCTTGCTGTGGGTTGGGAGCACACTCGCTCTGTGGGGCAGTTTGGTTAGGTGGATGGAGGCCACGCCCAGCCTGTGCCCGCGATAGGCATCCCTGGCCTCTGGCCGGCTGGGCTGTGACGGGGCAGCCGGTGCGTGTCCCCGGGTAGGAAGAGGAGGAGGCGCCTAGGTGTTTGACAGATGTGCGCGTGGTGATTGGATCCCCAGGTAGAAGCGTGTGCCCTCAGTAGAAGCGTGTGTGGTGTTGAGGTTTTGTGGCCCGAGGTGTGTGTGGCCGAGGTTTGGGCTAGCCCACCCCCGCAGGCTTGGTGTTGGTCTCCCAGAGACCAAGTCTGGCTGCCCAGAGGTTCCCCGTTGAGGGTATGGGGAAGGAGAGCCCGCCTTGGGGCGGACAGTGGAGCCAGCTAGGAGAGGATTGGGTCCCTGTTGGCATGCGGGGAGTGGGAGGAGTGCGCAGTGCAGGGGTGCGTTTGGCGGCTTGCAGTGGCCAGGGCTGAGTTCCCCATGGGGCGGGCGGGCGGGCGGGCGGGCGGGCGGGCGGGGAGCTGCAGTGGGGCTGGTTTGGGCCCTGTGGTCATTGTGTGCCCTGGTCCCCTGCAGGCGCATTTGGTGCACTGCGGAACGGGGGGTGGGGAGGGGTGGTTGGGTGCGGGTTTCAAGCGCCCGGGCCCTTTGGGGAAATCCACCCCCGGGGGTGCAGAGTGCGGTGCGGCCAGGCCCAGGATTGACTTGAGGCGGAGTGCGGGGCCTGGGCAGAGACTGTCCGCTGAGTTTTCTTGCTGGTCTGGGGACAGCCTTGGGCAGGGTGCGCGGTGTGATGGTGGCGGGCGCTTGTGCCGTTAGTGTCCCCCGCCGGCAGCGCAGGTTGCGCAGGCCTGTGGGGAGGAGGCTGAGGAGTCCCGCGGTTGGCCCGTGGGGTGCGATGGAGGTGTGGGTGCAGGTCCTTGGCCAAAGCACTAGCAGTCCGTTAGCGGGACTGTGGCAGTCGAGCCAAGCCGGTGGATGCTTGCATGGCCCGGCCAGGATAGGCAGAGTGGGCAGGCCTTGGGCCGGATGGGTCTAGGTCGGTAGGGCCGTCATGGCTGAGTGTGTGTGGGGGGTGGCGGGGGGGAAGGAGGAGCATTGGGCAGGCTCTGTGTTTCTCTGTGTTGGGCAGGGCCTTGTGAATTGGGGCTCCGAGGAGCCTGCCGTCAGCAGGCGGCTCAGAGGCGTCCCCAGTCCTCCCCCGACAGTGGGCAGAGGCCCTGGCAGAGTCCGTGCAGGAGGGTTGAAGGAGAAGCAGCTTAGCGCGGGCGCCCCCTGGGCCCTGTTGCCGGTACGACGATGCTGGTGAAAGGAGACGGGCTGTGAGTGGCAGACACTGCATGGGTGTGTGCAGGTGGCGGGCAGAGATTTCAAGGCGTGGTCCTGCGACAACTACACAGGACTGGGTAGTGGGTCAGGGTAGCTGGCCCACACCAACCTGACGCCCACGCGAACCCGCACACCCGCACACCCACGAACAGACACACACGCAACACAGGCACGCATGCCCCCACCCACGGGCCCCCTCATCTGGCTTGGTAGACCCCGAGCGCTGTCACAGGCGCATGGTCGTGCCGAAACCCCTGGAGGAGGGTGGCACCGGAAAGCAGAAGACAGATAGCTGTGGAGTTGGGGCAAGCTGCGAGTTGGCGTGACGGGTCAGCTCTTGGCCTCGTTCCTTTTCCTCAACGGCGCTCTTGATTGTTCTCGGTCCCCAGGCGCTGATTGCCCAGGATGCCTTCGGTCAGCGGGACCTCGGGGTGCATGCCAGGCCCAGGGAGCAGTGTAGCCTTGAAGGGGCGCGAGCCGCCCGGCCTGCTCCCTGTCCCGCCGTGGACAGTGCATCGGCCCCGGGGAGAGAGAGGTGAGCCTTACTGGGCCCAAGGGGGTTCCGTGCTGGTCCTTGGTGTGGGTGGGAGCTGCTCAAGGCTTGCCGTTCGGCGTTGCGGCAAATGTCCTGGCCAGTGCTGCTCGCGCCCCGCGGGCCGGGTCCCGCTCGGCGCCCAGAGCCTGTGCTTGGATCGATGATGATTCCCCAAAAAAACATTCCTTGGAAAAGCTGAACAAAATGAGTGAAAACTCACTCCCGTCTCCGCTCATCGGTGACTGAGGTCCGGCACTTTTTGCACCAGCCAGCTAGTGTAGGAGCCAGGAAGGCCTTTCCCTCACACGCATTTGTGCCCCGGCACGGGCGGCAGCCCTAGACAGGTAGCCAGCCACGGCAGTGGGCCCTGGCACTCACCGTTCCTTTCTCCAGTGGGGCTTGCCTGTGAGGCCGAGGTTGGGCCGACCCGTCTGGGTCTCGCTTCTGCTCAAGTGTCTAGAGCTGCCAGCCAACCAGTTAGTAGCACATCCTTGCTCTGCTTGCCGACTCCGTGGTCTTTGGCCACGTGGGCGCCGTCGGGCTGCCAGTCCCTTGTCCAGGGGACGAATAGGCAGCGTTTGAAAGGCATGCACCCGCAAACGGCTGCCTTGGACACACCGCAACGCGTAGACTCCAACAACCAATCCCTTCACCACCACCGTCTCACACTTGCACAAAGAAACCCCAACCCCCAGGCACAGGCACACGAACACACACGCACGTGCGCCCGCTCACACACACACACACGCGCGCGCGCGCGCACACATACATCCTGTGCGACTAATGGGCCCCAAGTTTTGCCTGCCTTCCTACGAGCTGTTGTGCTCATGGGCCAGACAAGCCCCGTGAGGGCGGGATAGGAGAATGAAAGAGAGCTATGGAGCTAGGGCAAGGAGGGAGTTTTGCGCGACGGGTCAGCCATTGGCCTTGGTCCTTTCCTCAACGGCCCTCTTGATTTCTCTTCGCTCCCAGGCGCTGATTTCCCAGGAGACCTTCGGTCAGCGGGGCCACGGGTTGGCAGCCAGGCCCAGAGAGCAGTGTAGCCTTGAAGGGGCGCGAGCCGCCCGGCCTGCTGGGTCGTGACCCGCCGTGGACAGTGCATCGGCCCCGAGGAGAGAGGGAGGTAAGCCTCGCTGTGCCCGAGGGGGTCCCGCTGTCGTCGGTGTGGGCTGGAGCTTGGCCTGCCCCGAGCTGCTGGCGCCCAGCGTGCCGTGTGCTGCTTGGCGCCCAGCGGGTGTGCTTGGATCGATGATGACTCCCCAAAATAACATTCCTTGGAAGCTGAACAAAATGAGTGAAAACTCTATAACCGTCGTTCTCATCGTGACTGAGGTCCACAGTCAGGTAGTGTAGGAGCGGGGGCCCGAGTCGCAGTCGCACACATTCTTTGCACCTGCGGGGCGCTTGCTGAAGACCGCCTCCCTGGCACTCAGACACTGCCATCCTGGGCTTGCTGTGGGTTGGGCGCACACTCGCTCTGTGGGGCAGTTTGGTTAGGTGGATGGAGGCCACGCCCAGCCTGTGCCCGCGATAGGCATCCCTGGCCTCTGGCCGGCTGGGCTGTGACGGGGCAGCCGGTGCGTGTCCCCGGGTAGGAAGAGGAGGAGGCGCCTAGGTGTTTGACAGATGTGCGCGTGGTGATTGGATCCCCAGGTAGAAGCGTGTGCCCTCAGTAGAAGCGTGTGTGGTGTTGAGGTTTTGTGGCCCGAGGTGTGTGTGGCCGAGGTTTGGGCTAGCCCACCCCCGCAGGCTTGGTGTTGGTCTCCCAGAGACCAAGTCTGGCTGCCCAGAGGTTCCCCGTTGAGGGTATGGGGAAGGAGAGCCCGCCTTGGGGCGGACAGTGGAGCCAGCTAGGAGAGGATTGGGTCCCTGTTGGCATGCGGGGAGTGGGAGGAGTGCGCAGTGCAGGGGTGCGTTTGGCGGCTTGCAGTGGCCAGGGCTGAGTTCCCCATGGGGCGGGCGGGCGGGCGGGCGGGCGGGCGGGCGGGGAGCTGCAGTGGGGCTGGTTTGGGCCCTGTGGTCATTGTGTGCCCTGGTCCCCTGCAGGCGCATTTGGTGCACTGCGGAACGGGGGGTGGGGAGGGGTGGTTGGGTGCGGGTTTCAAGCGCCCGGGCCCTTTGGGGAAATCCACCCCCGGGGGTGCAGAGTGCGGTGCGGCCAGGCCCAGGATTGACTTGAGGCGGAGTGCGGGGCCTGGGCAGAGACTGTCCGCTGAGTTTTCTTGCTGGTCTGGGGACAGCCTTGGGCAGGGTGCGCGGTGTGATGGTGGCGGGCGCTTGTGCCGTTAGTGTCCCCCGCCGGCAGCGCAGGTTGCGCAGGCCTGTGGGGAGGAGGCTGAGGAGTCCCGCGGTTGGCCCGTGGGGTGCGATGGAGGTGTGGGTGCAGGTCCTTGGCCAAAGCACTAGCAGTCCGTTAGCGGGACTGTGGCAGTCGAGCCAAGCCGGTGGATGCTTGCATGGCCCGGCCAGGATAGGCAGAGTGGGCAGGCCTTGGGCCGGATGGGTCTAGGTCGGTAGGGCCGTCATGGCTGAGTGTGTGTGGGGGGTGGCGGGGGGGAAGGAGGAGCATTGGGCAGGCTCTGTGTTTCTCTGTGTTGGGCAGGGCCTTGTGAATTGGGGCTCCGAGGAGCCTGCCGTCAGCAGGCGGCTCAGAGGTGTCCCCAGTCCTCCCCCGACAGTGGGCAGAGGCCCTGGCAGAGTCCGTGCAGGAGGGTTGAAGGAGAAGCAGCTTAGCGCGGGCGCCCCCTGGGCCCTGTTGCCGGTACGACAATGCTGGTGAAAGGAGACGGGCTGTGAGTGGCAGACACTGCATGGGTGTGTGCAGGTGGCGGGCAGAGATTTCAAGGCGTGGTCCTGCGACAACTACACAGGACTGGGTAGTGGGTCAGGGTAGCTGGCCCACACCAACCCGCACACCCGCACACCCACGAACAGACACACACGCAACACAGGCACGCATGCCCCCACCCACGGGCCCCCTCATCTGGCTTGGTAGACCCCGAGCGCTGTCACAGGCGCATGGTCGTGCCGAAACCCCTGGAGGAGGGTGGCACCGGAAAGCAGAAGACAGATAGCTGTGGAGTTGGGGCAAGCTGCGAGTTGGCGTGACGGGTCAGCTCTTGGCCTCGTTCCTTTTCCTCAACGGCGCTCTTGATTGTTCTCGGTCCCCAGGCGCTGATTGCCCAGGATGCCTTCGGTCAGCGGGACCTCGGGGTGCATGCCAGGCCCAGGGAGCAGTGTAGCCTTGAAGGGGCGCGAGCCGCCCGGCCTGCTCCCTGTCCCGCCGTGGACAGTGCATCGGCCCCGGGGAGAGAGAGGTGAGCCTTACTGGGCCCAAGGGGGTTCCGTGCTGGTCCTTGGTGTGGGTGGGAGCTGCTCAAGGCTTGCCGTTCGGCGTTGCGGCAAATGTCCTGGCCAGTGCTGCTCGCGCCCCGCGGGCCGGGTCCGCTCGGCGCCCAGAGCCTGTGCTTGGATCGATGATGATTCCCCAAAAAAACATTCCTTGGAAAAGCTGAACAAAATGAGTGAAAACTCACTCCCGTCTCCGCTCATTGGTGACTGAGGTCCGGCACTTTTTGCACCAGCCAGCTAGTGTAGGAGCCAGGAAGGCCTTTCCCTCACACGCATTTGTGCCCCGGCACGGGCGGCAGCCCTAGACAGGTAGCCAGCCACGGCAGTGGGCCCTGGCACTCACCGTTCCTTTCTCCAGTGGGGCTTGCCTGTGAGGCCGAGGTTGGGCCGACCCGTCTGGGTCTCGCTTCTGCTCAAGTGTCTAGAGCTGCCAGCCAACCAGTTAGTAGCACATCCTTGCTCTGCTTGCCGACTCCGTGGTCTTTGGCCACGTGGGCGCCGTCGGGCTGCCAGTCCCTTGTCCAGGGGACGAATAGGCAGCGTTTGAAAGGCATGCACCCGCAAACGGCTGCCTTGGACACACCGCAACGCGTAGACTCCAACAACCAATCCCTTCACCACCACCGTCTCACACTTGCACAAAGAAACCCCAACCCCCAGGCACAGGCACACGAACACACACGCACGTGCGCCCGCTCACACACACACACACACACACGCGCGCGCGCGCACACATACATCCTGTGCGACTAATGGGCCCCAAGTTTTGCCTGCCTTCCTACGAGCTGTTGTGCTCATGGGCCAGACAAGCCCCGTGAGGGCGGGATAGGAGAATGAAAGAGAGCTATGGAGCTAGGGCAAGGAGGGAGTTTTGCGCGACGGGTCAGCCATTGGCCTTGGTCCTTTCCTCAACGGCCCTCTTGATTTCTCTTCGCTCCCAGGCGCTGATTTCCCAGGAGACCTTCGGTCAGCGGGGCCACGGGTTGGCAGCCAGGCCCAGAGAGCAGTGTAGCCTTGAAGGGGCGCGAGCCGCCCGGCCTGCTGGGTCGTGACCCGCCGTGGACAGTGCATCGGCCCCGAGGAGAGAGGGAGGTAAGCCTCGCTGTGCCCGAGGGGGTCCCGCTGTCGTCGGTGTGGGCTGGAGCTTGGCCTGCCCCGAGCTGCTGGCGCCCAGCGTGCCGTGTGCTGCTTGGCGCCCAGCGGGTGTGCTTGGATCGATGATGACTCCCCAAAATAACATTCCTTGGAAGCTGAACAAAATGAGTGAAAACTCTATAACCGTCGTTCTCATCGTGACTGAGGTCCACAGTCAGGTAGTGTAGGAGCGGGGGCCCGAGTCGCAGTCGCACACATTCTTTGCACCTGCGGGGCGCTTGCTGAAGACCGCCTCCCTGGCACTCAGACACTGCCATCCTGGGCTTGCTGTGGGTTGGGAGCACGCTCGCTCTGTGGGGCAGTTTGGTTAGGTGGATGGAGGCCACGCCCAGCCTGTGCCCGCGATAGGCATCCCTGGCCTCTGGCCGGCTGGGCTGTGACGGGGCAGCCGGTGCGTGGCTTGTGTCCCCGGGTAGGAAGAGGAGGAGGCGCCTAGGTGTTTGACAGATGTGCGCGTGGTGATTGGATCCCCAGGTAGAAGCGTGTGCCCTCAGTAGAAGCGTGTGTGGTGTTGAGGTTTTGTGGCCCGAGGTGTGTGTGGCCGAGGTTTGGGCTAGCCCACCCCCGCAGGCTTGGTGTTGGTCTCCCAGAGACCAAGTCTGGCTGCCCAGAGGTTCCCCGTTGAGGGTATGGGGAAGGAGAGCCCGCCTTGGGGCGGACAGTGGAGCCAGCTAGGAGAGGATTGGGTCCCTGTTGGCATGCGGGGAGTGGGAGGAGTGCGCAGTGCAGGGGTGCGTTTGGCGGCTTGCAGTGGCCAGGGCTGAGTTCCCCATGGGGCGGGCGGGCGGGCGGGCGGGCGGGCGGGCGGGGAGCTGCAGTGGGGCTGGTTTGGGCCCTGTGGTCATTGTGTGCCCTGGTCCCCTGCAGGCGCATTTGGTGCACTGCGGAACGGGGGGTGGGGAGGGGTGGTTGGGTGCGGGTTTCAAGCGCCCGGGCCCTTTGGGGAAATCCACCCCCGGGGGTGCAGAGTGCGGTGCGGCCAGGCCCAGGATTGACTTGAGGCGGAGTGCGGGGCCTGGGCAGAGACTGTCCGCTGAGTTTTCTTGCTGGTCTGGGGACAGCCTTGGGCAGGGTGCGCGGTGTGATGGTGGCGGGCGCTTGTGCCGTTAGTGTCCCCCGCCGGCAGCGCAGGTTGCGCAGGCCTGTGGGGAGGAGGCTGAGGAGTCCCGCGGTTGGCCCGTGGGGTGCGATGGAGGTGTGGGTGCAGGTCCTTGGCCAAAGCACTAGCAGTCCGTTAGCGGGACTGTGGCAGTCGAGCCAAGCCGGTGGATGCTTGCATGGCCCGGCCAGGATAGGCAGAGTGGGCAGGCCTTGGGCCGGATGGGTCTAGGTCGGTAGGGCCGTCATGGCTGAGTGTGTGTGGGGGGTGGCGGGGGGGAAGGAGGAGCATTGGGCAGGCTCTGTGTTTCTCTGTGTTGGGCAGGGCCTTGTGAATTGGGGCTCCGAGGAGCCTGCCGTCAGCAGGCGGCTCAGAGGCGTCCCCAGTCCTCCCCCGACAGTGGGCAGAGGCCCTGGCAGAGTCCGTGCAGGAGGGTTGAAGGAGAAGCAGCTTAGCGCGGGCGCCCCCTGGGCCCTGTTGCCGGTACGACGATGCTGGTGAAAGGAGACGGGCTGTGAGTGGCAGACACTGCATGGGTGTGTGCAGGTGGCGGGCAGAGATTTCAAGGCGTGGTCCTGCGACAACTACACAGGACTGGGTAGTGGGTCAGGGTAGCTGGCCCACACCAACCTGACGCCCACGCGAACCCGCACACCCGCACACCCACGAACAGACACACACGCAACACAGGCACGCATGCCCCCACCCACGGGCCCCCTCATCTGGCTTGGTAGACCCCGAGCGCTGTCACAGGCGCATGGTCGTGCCGAAACCCCTGGAGGAGGGTGGCACCGGAAAGCAGAAGACAGATAGCTGTGGAGTTGGGGCAAGCTGCGAGTTGGCGTGACGGGTCAGCTCTTGGCCTCGTTCCTTTTCCTCAACGGCGCTCTTGATTGTTCTCGGTCCCCAGGCGCTGATTGCCCAGGATGCCTTCGGTCAGCGGGACCTCGGGGTGCATGCCAGGCCCAGGGAGCAGTGTAGCCTTGAAGGGGCGCGAGCCGCCCGGCCTGCTCCCTGTCCCGCCGTGGACAGTGCATCGGCCCCGGGGAGAGAGAGGTGAGCCTTACTGGGCCCAAGGGGGTTCCGTGCTGGTCCTTGGTGTGGGTGGGAGCTGCTCAAGGCTTGCCGTTCGGCGTTGCGGCAAATGTCCTGGCCAGTGCTGCTCGCGCCCCGCGGGCCGGGTCCCGCTCGGCGCCCAGAGCCTGTGCTTGGATCGATGATGATTCCCCAAAAAAACATTCCTTGGAAAAGCTGAACAAAATGAGTGAAAACTCACTCCCGTCTCCGCTCATCGGTGACTGAGGTCCGGCACTTTTTGCACCAGCCAGCTAGTGTAGGAGCCAGGAAGGCCTTTCCCTCACACGCATTTGTGCCCCGGCACGGGCGGCAGCCCTAGACAGGTAGCCAGCCACGGCAGTGGGCCCTGGCACTCACCGTTCCTTTCTCCAGTGGGGCTTGCCTGTGAGGCCGAGGTTGGGCCGACCCGTCTGGGTCTCGCTTCTGCTCAAGTGTCTAGAGCTGCCAGCCAACCAGTTAGTAGCACATCCTTGCTCTGCTTGCCGACTCCGTGGTCTTTGGCCACGTGGGCGCCGTCGGGCTGCCAGTCCCTTGTCCAGGGGACGAATAGGCAGCGTTTGAAAGGCATGCACCCGCAAACGGCTGCCTTGGACACACCGCAACGCGTAGACTCCAACAACCAATCCCTTCACCACCACCGTCTCACACTTGCACAAAGAAACCCCAACCCCCAGGCACAGGCACACGAACACACACGCACGTGCGCCCGCTCACACACACACACACACACACGCGCGCGCGCACACACATACATCCTGTGCGACTAATGGGCCCCAAGTTTTGCCTGCCTTCCTACGAGCTGTTGTGCTCATGGGCCAGACAAGCCCCGTGAGGGCGGGATAGGAGTATGAAAGAGAGCTATGGAGCTAGGGCAAGGAGGGAGTTTTGCGCGACGGGTCAGCCATTGGCCTTGGTCCTTTCCTCAACGGCCCTCTTGATTTCTCTTCGCTCCCAGGCGCTGATTTCCCAGGAGACCTTCGGTCAGCGGGGCCACGGGTTGGCAGCCAGGCCCAGAGAGCAGTGTAGCCTTGAAGGGGCGCGAGCCGCCCGGCCTGCTGGGTCGTGACCCGCCGTGGACAGTGCATCGGCCCCGAGGAGAGAGGGAGGTAAGCCTCGCTGTGCCCGAGGGGGTCCCGCTGTCGTCGGTGTGGGCTGGAGCTTGGCCTGCCCCGAGCTGCTGGCGCCCAGCGTGCCGTGTGCTGCTTGGCGCCCAGCGGGTGTGCTTGGATCGATGATGACTCCCCAAAATAACATTCCTTGGAAGCTGAACAAAATGAGTGAAAACTCTATAACCGTCGTTCTCATCGTGACTGAGGTCCACAGTCAGGTAGTGTAGGAGCGGGGGCCCGAGTCGCAGTCGCACACATTCTTTGCACCTGCGGGGCGCTTGCTGAAGACCGCCTCCCTGGCACTCAGACACTGCCATCCTGGGCTTGCTGTGGGTTGGGAGCACGCTCGCTCTGTGGGGCAGTTTGGTTAGGTGGATGGAGGCCACGCCCAGCCTGTGCCCGCGATAGGCATCCCTGGCCTCTGGCCGGCTGGGCTGTGACGGGGCAGCCGGTGCGTGGCTTGTGTCCCCGGGTAGGAAGAGGAGGAGGCGCCTAGGTGTTTGACAGATGTGCGCGTGGTGATTGGATCCCCAGGTAGAAGCGTGTGCCCTCAGTAGAAGCGTGTGTGGTGTTGAGGTTTTGTGGCCCGAGGTGTGTGTGGCCGAGGTTTGGGCTAGCCCACCCCCGCAGGCTTGGTGTTGGTCTCCCAGAGACCAAGTCTGGCTGCCCAGAGGTTCCCCGTTGAGGGTATGGGGAAGGAGAGCCCGCCTTGGGGCGGACAGTGGAGCCAGCTAGGAGAGGATTGGGTCCCTGTTGGCATGCGGGGAGTGGGAGGAGTGCGCAGTGCAGGGGTGCGTTTGGCGGCTTGCAGTGGCCAGGGCTGAGTTCCCCATGGGGCGGGCGGGCGGGCGGGCGGGCGGGCGGGCGGGGAGCTGCAGTGGGGCTGGTTTGGGCCCTGTGGTCATTGTGTGCCCTGGTCCCCTGCAGGCGCATTTGGTGCACTGCGGAACGGGGGGTGGGGAGGGGTGGTTGGGTGCGGGTTTCAAGCGCCCGGGCCCTTTGGGGAAATCCACCCCCGGGGGTGCAGAGTGCGGTGCGGCCAGGCCCAGGATTGACTTGAGGCGGAGTGCGGGGCCTGGGCAGAGACTGTCCGCTGAGTTTTCTTGCTGGTCTGGGGACAGCCTTGGGCAGGGTGCGCGGTGTGATGGTGGCGGGCGCTTGTGCCGTTAGTGTCCCCCGCCGGCAGCGCAGGTTGCGCAGGCCTGTGGGGAGGAGGCTGAGGAGTCCCGCGGTTGGCCCGTGGGGTGCGATGGAGGTGTGGGTGCAGGTCCTTGGCCAAAGCACTAGCAGTCCGTTAGCGGGACTGTGGCAGTCGAGCCAAGCCGGTGGATGCTTGCATGGCCCGGCCAGGATAGGCAGAGTGGGCAGGCCTTGGGCCGGATGGGTCTAGGTCGGTAGGGCCGTCATGGCTGAGTGTGTGTGGGGGGTGGCGGGGGGGAAGGAGGAGCATTGGGCAGGCTCTGTGTTTCTCTGTGTTGGGCAGGGCCTTGTGAATTGGGGCTCCGAGGAGCCTGCCGTCAGCAGGCGGCTCAGAGGCGTCCCCAGTCCTCCCCCGACAGTGGGCAGAGGCCCTGGCAGAGTCCGTGCAGGAGGGTTGAAGGAGAAGCAGCTTAGCGCGGGCGCCCCCTGGGCCCTGTTGCCGGTACGACGATGCTGGTGAAAGGAGACGGGCTGTGAGTGGCAGACACTGCATGGGTGTGTGCAGGTGGCGGGCAGAGATTTCAAGGCGTGGTCCTGCGACAACTACACAGGACTGGGTAGTGGGTCAGGGTAGCTGGCCCACACCAACCTGACGCCCACGCGAACCCGCACACCCGCACACCCACGAACAGACACACACGCAACACAGGCACGCATGCCCCCACCCACGGGCCCCCTCATCTGGCTTGGTAGACCCCGAGCGCTGTCACAGGCGCATGGTCGTGCCGAAACCCCTGGAGGAGGGTGGCACCGGAAAGCAGAAGACAGATAGCTGTGGAGTTGGGGCAAGCTGCGAGTTGGCGTGACGGGTCAGCTCTTGGCCTCGTTCCTTTTCCTCAACGGCGCTCTTGATTGTTCTCGGTCCCCAGGCGCTGATTGCCCAGGATGCCTTCGGTCAGCGGGACCTCGGGGTGCATGCCAGGCCCAGGGAGCAGTGTAGCCTTGAAGGGGCGCGAGCCGCCCGGCCTGCTCCCTGTCCCGCCGTGGACAGTGCATCGGCCCCGGGGAGAGAGAGGTGAGCCTTACTGGGCCCAAGGGGGTTCCGTGCTGGTCCTTGGTGTGGGTGGGAGCTGCTCAAGGCTTGCCGTTCGGCGTTGCGGCAAATGTCCTGGCCAGTGCTGCTCGCGCCCCGCGGGCCGGGTCCCGCTCGGCGCCCAGAGCCTGTGCTTGGATCGATGATGATTCCCCAAAAAAACATTCCTTGGAAAAGCTGAACAAAATGAGTGAAAACTCACTCCCGTCTCCGCTCATCGGTGACTGAGGTCCGGCACTTTTTGCACCAGCCAGCTAGTGTAGGAGCCAGGAAGGCCTTTCCCTCACACGCATTTGTGCCCCGGCACGGGCGGCAGCCCTAGACAGGTAGCCAGCCACGGCAGTGGGCCCTGGCACTCACCGTTCCTTTCTCCAGTGGGGCTTGCCTGTGAGGCCGAGGTTGGGCCGACCCGTCTGGGTCTCGCTTCTGCTCAAGTGTCTAGAGCTGCCAGCCAACCAGTTAGTAGCACATCCTTGCTCTGCTTGCCGACTCCGTGGTCTTTGGCCACGTGGGCGCCGTCGGGCTGCCAGTCCCTTGTCCAGGGGACGAATAGGCAGCGTTTGAAAGGCATGCACCCACAAACGGCTGCCTTGGACACACCGCAACGCGTAGACTCCAACAACCAATCCCTTCACCACCACCGTCTCACACTTGCACAAAGAAACCCCAACCCCCAGGCACAGGCACACGAACACACACGCACCTGCGCCCGCTCACACACACACACACACACGCGCGCGCGCGCACACATACATCCTGTGCGACTAATGGGCCCCAAGTTTTGCCTGCCTTCCTACGAGCTGTTGTGCTCATGGGCCAGACAAGCCCCGTGAGGGCGGGATAGGAGTATGAAAGAGAGCTATGGAGCTAGGGCAAGGAGGGAGTTTTGCGCGACGGGTCAGCCATTGGCCTTGGTCCTTTCCTCAACGGCCCTCTTGATTTCTCTTCGCTCCCAGGCGCTGATTTCCCAGGAGACCTTCGGTCAGCGGGGCCACGGGTTGGCAGCCAGGCCCAGAGAGCAGTGTAGCCTTGAAGGGGCACGAGCCGCCCGGCCTGCTGGGTCGTGACCCGCCGTGGACAGTGCATCGGCCCCGAGGAGAGAGGGAGGTAAGCCTCGCTGTGCCCGAGGGGGTCCCGCTGTCGTCGGTGTGGGCTGGAGCTTGGCCTGCCCCGAGCTGCTGGCGCCCAGCGTGCCGTGTGCTGCTTGGCGCCCAGCGGGTGTGCTTGGATCGATGATGACTCCCCAAAATAACATTCCTTGGAAGCTGAACAAAATGAGTGAAAACTCTATAACCGTCGTTCTCATCGTGACTGAGGTCCACAGTCAGGTAGTGTAGGAGCGGGGGCCCGAGTCGCAGTCGCACACATTCTTTGCACCTGCGGGGCGCTTGCTGAAGACCGCCTCCCTGGCACTCAGACACTGCCATCCTGGGCTTGCTGTGGGTTGGGAGCACGCTCGCTCTGTGGGGCAGTTTGGTTAGGTGGATGGAGGCCACGCCCAGCCTGTGCCCGCGATAGGCATCCCTGGCCTCTGGCCGGCTGGGCTGTGACGGGGCAGCCGGTGCGTGGCTTGTGTCCCCGGGTAGGAAGAGGAGGAGGCGCCTAGGTGTTTGACAGATGTGCGCGTGGTGATTGGATCCCCAGGTAGAAGCGTGTGCCCTCAGTAGAAGCGTGTGTGGTGTTGAGGTTTTGTGGCCCGAGGTGTGTGTGGCCGAGGTTTGGGCTAGCCCACCCCCGCAGGCTTGGTGTTGGTCTCCCAGAGACCAAGTCTGGCTGCCCAGAGGTTCCCCGTTGAGGGTATGGGGAAGGAGAGCCCGCCTTGGGGCGGACAGTGGAGCCAGCTAGGAGAGGATTGGGTCCCTGTTGGCATGCGGGGAGTGGGAGGAGTGCGCAGTGCAGGGGTGCGTTTGGCGGCTTGCAGTGGCCAGGGCTGAGTTCCCCATGGGGCGGGCGGGCGGGCGGGCGGGCGGGCGGGGAGCTGCAGTGGGGCTGGTTTGGGCCCTGTGGTCATTGTGTGCCCTGGTCCCCTGCAGGCGCATTTGGTGCACTGCGGAACGGGGGGTGGGGAGGGGTGGTTGGGTGCGGGTTTCAAGCGCCCGGGCCCTTTGGGGAAATCCACCCCCGGGGGTGCAGAGTGCGGTGCGGCCAGGCCCAGGATTGACTTGAGGCGGAGTGCGGGGCCTGGGCAGAGACTGTCCGCTGAGTTTTCTTGCTGGTCTGGGGACAGCCTTGGGCAGGGTGCGCGGTGTGATGGTGGCGGGCGCTTGTGCCGTTAGTGTCCCCCGCCGGCAGCGCAGGTTGCGCAGGCCTGTGGGGAGGAGGCTGAGGAGTCCCGCGGTTGGCCCGTGGGGTGCGATGGAGGTGTGGGTGCAGGTCCTTGGCCAAAGCACTAGCAGTCCGTTAGCGGGACTGTGGCAGTCGAGCCAAGCCGGTGGATGCTTGCATGGCCCGGCCAGGATAGGCAGAGTGGGCAGGCCTTGGGCCGGATGGGTCTAGGTCGGTAGGGCCGTCATGGCTGAGTGTGTGTGGGGGGTGGCGGGGGGGAAGGAGGAGCATTGGGCAGGCTCTGTGTTTCTCTGTGTTGGGCAGGGCCTTGTGAATTGGGGCTCCGAGGAGCCTGCCGTCAGCAGGCGGCTCAGAGGCGTCCCCAGTCCTCCCCCGACAGTGGGCAGAGGCCCTGGCAGAGTCCGTGCAGGAGGGTTGAAGGAGAAGCAGCTTAGCGCGGGCGCCCCCTGGGCCCTGTTGCCGGTACGACGATGCTGGTGAAAGGAGACGGGCTGTGAGTGGCAGACACTGCATGGGTGTGTGCAGGTGGCGGGCAGAGATTTCAAGGCGTGGTCCTGCGACAACTACACAGGACTGGGTAGTGGGTCAGGGTAGCTGGCCCACACCAACCTGACGCCCACGCGAACCCGCACACCCGCACACCCACGAACAGACACACACGCAACACAGGCACGCATGCCCCCACCCACGGGCCCCCTCATCTGGCTTGGTAGACCCCGAGCGCTGTCACAGGCGCATGGTCGTGCCGAAACCCCTGGAGGAGGGTGGCACCGGAAAGCAGAAGACAGATAGCTGTGGAGTTGGGGCAAGCTGCGAGTTGGCGTGACGGGTCAGCTCTTGGCCTCGTTCCTTTTCCTCAACGGCGCTCTTGATTGTTCTCGGTCCCCAGGCGCTGATTGCCCAGGATGCCTTCGGTCAGCGGGACCTCGGGGTGCATGCCAGGCCCAGGGAGCAGTGTAGCCTTGAAGGGGCGCGAGCCGCCCGGCCTGCTCCCTGTCCCGCCGTGGACAGTGCATCGGCCCCGGGGAGAGAGAGGTGAGCCTTACTGGGCCCAAGGGGGTTCCGTGCTGGTCCTTGGTGTGGGTGGGAGCTGCTCAAGGCTTGCCGTTCGGCGTTGCGGCAAATGTCCTGGCCAGTGCTGCTCGCGCCCCGCGGGCCGGGTCCCGCTCGGCGCCCAGAGCCTGTGCTTGGATCGATGATGATTCCCCAAAAAAACATTCCTTGGAAAAGCTGAACAAAATGAGTGAAAACTCACTCCCGTCTCCGCTCATCGGTGACTGAGGTCCGGCACTTTTTGCACCAGCCAGCTAGTGTAGGAGCCAGGAAGGCCTTTCCCTCACACGCATTTGTGCCCCGGCACGGGCGGCAGCCCTAGACAGGTAGCCAGCCACGGCAGTGGGCCCTGGCACTCACCGTTCCTTTCTCCAGTGGGGCTTGCCTGTGAGGCCGAGGTTGGGCCGACCCGTCTGGGTCTCGCTTCTGCTCAAGTGTCTAGAGCTGCCAGCCAACCAGTTAGTAGCACATCCTTGCTCTGCTTGCCGACTCCGTGGTCTTTGGCCACGTGGGCGCCGTCGGGCTGCCAGTCCCTTGTCCAGGGGACGAATAGGCAGCGTTTGAAAGGCATGCACCCGCAAACGGCTGCCTTGGACACACCGCAACGCGTAGACTCCAACAACCAATCCCTTCACCACCACCGTCTCACACTTGCACAAAGAAACCCCAACCCCCAGGCACAGGCACACGAACACACACGCACGTGCGCCCGCTCACACACACACACACACACGCGCGCGCGCGCACACATACATCCTGTGCGACTAATGGGCCCCAAGTTTTGCCTGCCTTCCTACGAGCTGTTGTGCTCATGGGCCAGACAAGCCCCGTGAGGGCGGGATAGGAGAATGAAAGAGAGCTATGGAGCTAGGGCAAGGAGGGAGTTTTGCGCGACGGGTCAGCCATTGGCCTTGGTCCTTTCCTCAACGGCCCTCTTGATTTCTCTTCGCTCCCAGGCGCTGATTTCCCAGGAGACCTTCGGTCAGCGGGGCCACGGGTTGGCAGCCAGGCCCAGAGAGCAGTGTAGCCTTGAAGGGGCGCGAGCCGCCCGGCCTGCTGGGTCGTGACCCGCCGTGGACAGTGCATCGGCCCCGAGGAGAGAGGGAGGTAAGCCTCGCTGTGCCCGAGGGGGTCCCGCTGTCGTCGGTGTGGGCTGGAGCTTGGCCTGCCCCGAGCTGCTGGCGCCCAGCGTGCCGTGTGCTGCTTGGCGCCCAGCGGGTGTGCTTGGATCGATGATGACTCCCCAAAATAACATTCCTTGGAAGCTGAACAAAATGAGTGAAAACTCTATAACCGTCGTTCTCATCGTGACTGAGGTCCACAGTCAGGTAGTGTAGGAGCGGGGGCCCGAGTCGCAGTCGCACACATTCTTTGCACCTGCGGGGCGCTTGCTGAAGACCGCCTCCCTGGCACTCAGACACTGCCATCCTGGGCTTGCTGTGGGTTGGGAGCACGCTCGCTCTGTGGGGCAGTTTGGTTAGGTGGATGGAGGCCACGCCCAGCCTGTGCCCGCGATAGGCATCCCTGGCCTCTGGCCGGCTGGGCTGTGACGGGGCAGCCGGTGCGTGGCTTGTGTCCCCGGGTAGGAAGAGGAGGAGGCGCCTAGGTGTTTGACAGATGTGCGCGTGGTGATTGGATCCCCAGGTAGAAGCGTGTGCCCTCAGTAGAAGCGTGTGTGGTGTTGAGGTTTTGTGGCCCGAGGTGTGTGTGGCCGAGGTTTGGGCTAGCCCACCCCCGCAGGCTTGGTGTTGGTCTCCCAGAGACCAAGTCTGGCTGCCCAGAGGTTCCCCGTTGAGGGTATGGGGAAGGAGAGCCCGCCTTGGGGCGGACAGTGGAGCCAGCTAGGAGAGGATTGGGTCCCTGTTGGCATGCGGGGAGTGGGAGGAGTGCGCAGTGCAGGGGTGCGTTTGGCGGCTTGCAGTGGCCAGGGCTGAGTTCCCCATGGGGCGGGCGGGCGGGCGGGCGGGCGGGCGGGCGGGGAGCTGCAGTGGGGCTGGTTTGGGCCCTGTGGTCATTGTGTGCCCTGGTCCCCTGCAGGCGCATTTGGTGCACTGCGGAACGGGGGGTGGGGAGGGGTGGTTGGGTGCGGGTTTCAAGCGCCCGGGCCCTTTGGGGAAATCCACCCCCGGGGGTGCAGAGTGCGGTGCGGCCAGGCCCAGGATTGACTTGAGGCGGAGTGCGGGGCCTGGGCAGAGACTGTCCGCTGAGTTTTCTTGCTGGTCTGGGGACAGCCTTGGGCAGGGTGCGCGGTGTGATGGTGGCGGGCGCTTGTGCCGTTAGTGTCCCCCGCCGGCAGCGCAGGTTGCGCAGGCCTGTGGGGAGGAGGCTGAGGAGTCCCGCGGTTGGCCCGTGGGGTGCGATGGAGGTGTGGGTGCAGGTCCTTGGCCAAAGCACTAGCAGTCCGTTAGCGGGACTGTGGCAGTCGAGCCAAGCCGGTGGATGCTTGCATGGCCCGGCCAGGATAGGCAGAGTGGGCAGGCCTTGGGCCGGATGGGTCTAGGTCGGTAGGGCCGTCATGGCTGAGTGTGTGTGGGGGGTGGCGGGGGGGAAGGAGGAGCATTGGGCAGGCTCTGTGTTTCTCTGTGTTGGGCAGGGCCTTGTGAATTGGGGCTCCGAGGAGCCTGCCGTCAGCAGGCGGCTCAGAGGCGTCCCCAGTCCTCCCCCGACAGTGGGCAGAGGCCCTGGCAGAGTCCGTGCAGGAGGGTTGAAGGAGAAGCAGCTTAGCGCGGGCGCCCCCTGGGCCCTGTTGCCGGTACGACGATGCTGGTGAAAGGAGACGGGCTGTGAGTGGCAGACACTGCATGGGTGTGTGCAGGTGGCGGGCAGAGATTTCAAGGCGTGGTCCTGCGACAACTACACAGGACTGGGTAGTGGGTCAGGGTAGCTGGCCCACACCAACCTGACGCCCACGCGAACCCGCACACCCGCACACCCACGAACAGACACACACGCAACACAGGCACGCATGCCCCCACCCACGGGCCCCCTCATCTGGCTTGGTAGACCCCGAGCGCTGTCACAGGCGCATGGTCGTGCCGAAACCCCTGGAGGAGGGTGGCACCGGAAAGCAGAAGACAGATAGCTGTGGAGTTGGGGCAAGCTGCGAGTTGGCGTGACGGGTCAGCTCTTGGCCTCGTTCCTTTTCCTCAACGGCGCTCTTGATTGTTCTCGGTCCCCAGGCGCTGATTGCCCAGGATGCCTTCGGTCAGCGGGACCTCGGGGTGCATGCCAGGCCCAGGGAGCAGTGTAGCCTTGAAGGGGCGCGAGCCGCCCGGCCTGCTCCCTGTCCCGCCGTGGACAGTGCATCGGCCCCGGGGAGAGAGAGGTGAGCCTTACTGGGCCCAAGGGGGTTCCGTGCTGGTCCTTGGTGTGGGTGGGAGCTGCTCAAGGCTTGCCGTTCGGCGTTGCGGCAAATGTCCTGGCCAGTGCTGCTCGCGCCCCGCGGGCCGGGTCCCGCTCGGCGCCCAGAGCCTGTGCTTGGATCGATGATGATTCCCCAAAAAAACATTCCTTGGAAAAGCTGAACAAAATGAGTGAAAACTCACTCCCGTCTCCGCTCATCGGTGACTGAGGTCCGGCACTTTTTGCACCAGCCAGCTAGTGTAGGAGCCAGGAAGGCCTTTCCCTCACACGCATTTGTGCCCCGGCACGGGCGGCAGCCCTAGACAGGTAGCCAGCCACGGCAGTGGGCCCTGGCACTCACCGTTCCTTTCTCCAGTGGGGCTTGCCTGTGAGGCCGAGGTTGGGCCGACCCGTCTGGGTCTCGCTTCTGCTCAAGTGTCTAGAGCTGCCAGCCAACCAGTTAGTAGCACATCCTTGCTCTGCTTGCCGACTCCGTGGTCTTTGGCCACGTGGGCGCCGTCGGGCTGCCAGTCCCTTGTCCAGGGGACGAATAGGCAGCGTTTGAAAGGCATGCACCCGCAAACGGCTGCCTTGGACACACCGCAACGCGTAGACTCCAACAACCAATCCCTTCACCACCACCGTCTCACACTTGCACAAAGAAACCCCAACCCCCAGGCACAGGCACACGAACACACACGCACGTGCGCCCGCTCACACACACACACACACGCGCGCGCGCGCACACATACATCCTGTGCGACTAATGGGCCCCAAGTTTTGCCTGCCTTCCTACGAGCTGTTGTGCTCATGGGCCAGACAAGCCCCGTGAGGGCGGGATAGGAGAATGAAAGAGAGCTATGGAGCTAGGGCAAGGAGGGAGTTTTGCGCGACGGGTCAGCCATTGGCCTTGGTCCTTTCCTCAACGGCCCTCTTGATTTCTCTTCGCTCCCAGGCGCTGATTTCCCAGGAGACCTTCGGTCAGCGGGGCCACGGGTTGGCAGCCAGGCCCAGAGAGCAGTGTAGCCTTGAAGGGGCGCGAGCCGCCCGGCCTGCTGGGTCGTGACCCGCCGTGGACAGTGCATCGGCCCCGAGGAGAGAGGGAGGTAAGCCTCGCTGTGCCCGAGGGGGTCCCGCTGTCGTCGGTGTGGGCTGGAGCTTGGCCTGCCCCGAGCTGCTGGCGCCCAGCGTGCCGTGTGCTGCTTGGCGCCCAGCGGGTGTGCTTGGATGGATGATGACTCCCCAAAATAACATTCCTTGGAAGCTGAACAAAATGAGTGAAAACTCTATAACCGTCGTTCTCATCGTGACTGAGGTCCACAGTCAGGTAGTGTAGGAGCGGGGGCCCGAGTCGCAGTCGCACACATTCTTTGCACCTGCGGGGCGCTTGCTGAAGACCGCCTCCCTGGCACTCAGACACTGCCATCCTGGGCTTGCTGTGGGTTGGGAGCACGCTCGCTCTGTGGGGCAGTTTGGTTAGGTGGATGGAGGCCACGCCCAGCCTGTGCCCGCGATAGGCATCCCTGGCCTCTGGCCGGCTGGGCTGTGACGGGGCAGCCGGTGCGTGGCTTGTGTCCCCGGGTAGGAAGAGGAGGAGGCGCCTAGGTGTTTGACAGATGTGCGCGTGGTGATTGGATCCCCAGGTAGAAGCGTGTGCCCTCAGTAGAAGCGTGTGTGGTGTTGAGGTTTTGTGGCCCGAGGTGTGTGTGGCCGAGGTTTGGGCTAGCCCACCCCCGCAGGCTTGGTGTTGGTCTCCCAGAGACCAAGTCTGGCTGCCCAGAGGTTCCCCGTTGAGGGTATGGGGAAGGAGAGCCCGCCTTGGGGCGGACAGTGGAGCCAGCTAGGAGAGGATTGGGTCCCTGTTGGCATGCGGGGAGTGGGAGGAGTGCGCAGTGCAGGGGTGCGTTTGGCGGCTTGCAGTGGCCAGGGCTGAGTTCCCCATGGGGCGGGCGGGCGGGCGGGCGGGCGGGCGGGTGGGGAGCTGCAGTGGGGCTGGTTTGGGCCCTGTGGTCATTGTGTGCCCTGGTCCCCTGCAGGCGCATTTGGTGCACTGCGGAACGGGGGGTGGGGAGGGGTGGTTGGGTGCGGGTTTCAAGCGCCCGGGCCCTTTGGGGAAATCCACCCCCGGGGGTGCAGAGTGCGGTGCGGCCAGGCCCAGGATTGACTTGAGGCGGAGTGCGGGGCCTGGGCAGAGACTGTCCGCTGAGTTTTCTTGCTGGTCTGGGGACAGCCTTGGGCAGGGTGCGCGGTGTGATGGTGGCGGGCGCTTGTGCCGTTAGTGTCCCCCGCCGGCAGCGCAGGTTGCGCAGGCCTGTGGGGAGGAGGCTGAGGAGTCCCGCGGTTGGCCCGTGGGGTGCGATGGAGGTGTGGGTGCAGGTCCTTGGCCAAAGCACTAGCAGTCCGTTAGCGGGACTGTGGCAGTCGAGCCAAGCCGGTGGATGCTTGCATGGCCCGGCCAGGATAGGCAGAGTGGGCAGGCCTTGGGCCGGATGGGTCTAGGTCGGTAGGGCCGTCATGGCTGAGTGTGTGTGGGGGGTGGCGGGGGGGAAGGAGGAGCATTGGGCAGGCTCTGTGTTTCTCTGTGTTGGGCAGGGCCTTGTGAATTGGGGCTCCGAGGAGCCTGCCGTCAGCAGGCGGCTCAGAGGCGTCCCCAGTCCTCCCCCGACAGTGGGCAGAGGCCCTGGCAGAGTCCGTGCAGGAGGGTTGAAGGAGAAGCAGCTTAGCGCGGGCGCCCCCTGGGCCCTGTTGCCGGTACGACGATGCTGGTGAAAGGAGACGGGCTGTGAGTGGCAGACACTGCATGGGTGTGTGCAGGTGGCGGGCAGAGATTTCAAGGCGTGGTCCTGCGACAACTACACAGGACTGGGTAGTGGGTCAGGGTAGCTGGCCCACACCAACCTGACGCCCACGCGAACCCGCACACCCGCACACCCACGAACAGACACACACGCAACACAGGCACGCATGCCCCCACCCACGGGCCCCCTCATCTGGCTTGGTAGACCCCGAGCGCTGTCACAGGCGCATGGTCGTGCCGAAACCCCTGGAGGAGGGTGGCACCGGAAAGCAGAAGACAGATAGCTGTGGAGTTGGGGCAAGCTGCGAGTTGGCGTGACGGGTCAGCTCTTGGCCTCGTTCCTTTTCCTCAACGGCGCTCTTGATTGTTCTCGGTCCCCAGGCGCTGATTGCCCAGGATGCCTTCGGTCAGCGGGACCTCGGGGTGCATGCCAGGCCCAGGGAGCAGTGTAGCCTTGAAGGGGCGCGAGCCGCCCGGCCTGCTCCCTGTCCCGCCGTGGACAGTGCATCGGCCCCGGGGAGAGAGAGGTGAGCCTTACTGGGCCCAAGGGGGTTCCGTGCTGGTCCTTGGTGTGGGTGGGAGCTGCTCAAGGCTTGCCGTTCGGCGTTGCGGCAAATGTCCTGGCCAGTGCTGCTCGCGCCCCGCGGGCCGGGTCCCGCTCGGCGCCCAGAGCCTGTGCTTGGATCGATGATGATTCCCCAAAAAAACATTCCTTGGAAAAGCTGAACAAAATGAGTGAAAACTCACTCCCGTCTCCGCTCATCGGTGACTGAGGTCCGGCACTTTTTGCACCAGCCAGCTAGTGTAGGAGCCAGGAAGGCCTTTCCCTCACACGCATTTGTGCCCCGGCACGGGCGGCAGCCCTAGACAGGTAGCCAGCCACGGCAGTGGGCCCTGGCACTCACCGTTCCTTTCTCCAGTGGGGCTTGCCTGTGAGGCCGAGGTTGGGCCGACCCGTCTGGGTCTCGCTTCTGCTCAAGTGTCTAGAGCTGCCAGCCAACCAGTTAGTAGCACATCCTTGCTCTGCTTGCCGACTCCGTGGTCTTTGGCCACGTGGGCGCCGTCGGGCTGCCAGTCCCTTGTCCAGGGGACGAATAGGCAGCGTTTGAAAGGCATGCACCCGCAAACGGCTGCCTTGGACACACCGCAACGCGTAGACTCCAACAACCAATCCCTTCACCACCACCGTCTCACACTTGCACAAAGAAACCCCAACCCCCAGGCACAGGCACACGAACACACACGCACCTGCGCCCGCTCACACACACACACACACACACGCGCGCGCGCGCACACATACATCCTGTGCGACTAATGGGCCCCAAGTTTTGCCTGCCTTCCTACGAGCTGTTGTGCTCATGGGCCAGACAAGCCCCGTGAGGGCGGGATAGGAGTATGAAAGAGAGCTATGGAGCTAGGGCAAGGAGGGAGTTTTGCGCGACGGGTCAGCCATTGGCCTTGGTCCTTTCCTCAACGGCCCTCTTGATTTCTCTTCGCTCCCAGGCGCTGATTTCCCAGGAGACCTTCGGTCAGCGGGGCCACGGGTTGGCAGCCAGGCCCAGAGAGCAGTGTAGCCTTGAAGGGGCGCGAGCCGCCCGGCCTGCTGGGTCGTGACCCGCCGTGGACAGTGCATCGGCCCCGAGGAGAGAGGGAGGTAAGCCTCGCTGTGCCCGAGGGGGTCCCGCTGTCGTCGGTGTGGGCTGGAGCTTGGCCTGCCCCGAGCTGCTGGCGCCCAGCGTGCCGTGTGCTGCTTGGCGCCCAGCGGGTGTGCTTGGATCGATGATGACTCCCCAAAATAACATTCCTTGGAAGCTGAACAAAATGAGTGAAAACTCTATAACCGTCGTTCTCATCGTGACTGAGGTCCACAGTCAGGTAGTGTAGGAGCGGGGGCCCGAGTCGCAGTCGCACACATTCTTTGCACCTGCGGGGCGCTTGCTGAAGACCGCCTCCCTGGCACTCAGACACTGCCATCCTGGGCTTGCTGTGGGTTGGGAGCACGCTCGCTCTGTGGGGCAGTTTGGTTAGGTGGATGGAGGCCACGCCCAGCCTGTGCCCGCGATAGGCATCCCTGGCCTCTGGCCGGCTGGGCTGTGACGGGGCAGCCGGTGCGTGGCTTGTGTCCCCGGGTAGGAAGAGGAGGAGGCGCCTAGGTGTTTGACAGATGTGCGCGTGGTGATTGGATCCCCAGGTAGAAGCGTGTGCCCTCAGTAGAAGCGTGTGTGGTGTTGAGGTTTTGTGGCCCGAGGTGTGTGTGGCCGAGGTTTGGGCTAGCCCACCCCCGCAGGCTTGGTGTTGGTCTCCCAGAGACCAAGTCTGGCTGCCCAGAGGTTCCCCGTTGAGGGTATGGGGAAGGAGAGCCCGCCTTGGGGCGGACAGTGGAGCCAGCTAGGAGAGGATTGGGTCCCTGTTGGCATGCGGGGAGTGGGAGGAGTGCGCAGTGCAGGGGTGCGTTTGGCGGCTTGCAGTGGCCAGGGCTGAGTTCCCCATGGGGCGGGCGGGCGGGCGGGGAGCTGCAGTGGGGCTGGTTTGGGCCCTGTGGTCATTGTGTGCCCTGGTCCCCTGCAGGCGCATTTGGTGCACTGCGGAACGGGGGGTGGGGAGGGGTGGTTGGGTGCGGGTTTCAAGCGCCCGGGCCCTTTGGGGAAATCCACCCCCGGGGGTGCAGAGTGCGGTGCGGCCAGGCCCAGGATTGACTTGAGGCGGAGTGCGGGGCCTGGGCAGAGACTGTCCGCTGAGTTTTCTTGCTGGTCTGGGGACAGCCTTGGGCAGGGTGCGCGGTGTGATGGTGGCGGGCGCTTGTGCCGTTAGTGTCCCCCGCCGGCAGCGCAGGTTGCGCAGGCCTGTGGGGAGGAGGCTGAGGAGTCCCGCGGTTGGCCCGTGGGGTGCGATGGAGGTGTGGGTGCAGGTCCTTGGCCAAAGCACTAGCAGTCCGTTAGCGGGACTGTGGCAGTCGAGCCAAGCCGGTGGATGCTTGCATGGCCCGGCCAGGATAGGCAGAGTGGGCAGGCCTTGGGCCGGATGGGTCTAGGTCGGTAGGGCCGTCATGGCTGAGTGTGTGTGGGGGGGTGGCGGGGGGGAAGGAGGAGCATTGGGCAGGCTCTGTGTTTCTCTGTGTTGGGCAGGGCCTTGTGAATTGGGGCTCCGAGGAGCCTGCCGTCAGCAGGCGGCTCAGAGGCGTCCCCAGTCCTCCCCCGACAGTGGGCAGAGGCCCTGGCAGAGTCCGTGCAGGAGGGTTGAAGGAGAAGCAGCTTAGCGCGGGCGCCCCCTGGGCCCTGTTGCCGGTACGACGATGCTGGTGAAAGGAGACGGGCTGTGAGTGGCAGACACTGCATGGGTGTGTGCAGGTGGCGGGCAGAGATTTCAAGGCGTGGTCCTGCGACAACTACACAGGACTGGGTAGTGGGTCAGGGTAGCTGGCCCACACCAACCTGACGCCCACGCGAACCCGCACACCCGCACACCCACGAACAGACACACACGCAACACAGGCACGCATGCCCCCACCCACGGGCCCCCTCATCTGGCTTGGTAGACCCCGAGCGCTGTCACAGGCGCATGGTCGTGCCGAAACCCCTGGAGGAGGGTGGCACCGGAAAGCAGAAGACAGATAGCTGTGGAGTTGGGGCAAGCTGCGAGTTGGCGTGACGGGTCAGCTCTTGGCCTCGTTCCTTTTCCTCAACGGCGCTCTTGATTGTTCTCGGTCCCCAGGCGCTGATTGCCCAGGATGCCTTCGGTCAGCGGGACCTCGGGGTGCATGCCAGGCCCAGGGAGCAGTGTAGCCTTGAAGGGGCGCGAGCCGCCCGGCCTGCTCCCTGTCCCGCCGTGGACAGTGCATCGGCCCCGGGGAGAGAGAGGTGAGCCTTACTGGGCCCAAGGGGGTTCCGTGCTGGTCCTTGGTGTGGGTGGGAGCTGCTCAAGGCTTGCCGTTCGGCGTTGCGGCAAATGTCCTGGCCAGTGCTGCTCGCGCCCCGCGGGCCGGGTCCCGCTCGGCGCCCAGAGCCTGTGCTTGGATCGATGATGATTCCCCAAAAAAACATTCCTTGGAAAAGCTGAACAAAATGAGTGAAAACTCACTCCCGTCTCCGCTCATCGGTGACTGAGGTCCGGCACTTTTTGCACCAGCCAGCTAGTGTAGGAGCCAGGAAGGCCTTTCCCTCACACGCATTTGTGCCCCGGCACGGGCGGCAGCCCTAGACAGGTAGCCAGCCACGGCAGTGGGCCCTGGCACTCACCGTTCCTTTCTCCAGTGGGGCTTGCCTGTGAGGCCGAGGTTGGGCCGACCCGTCTGGGTCTCGCTTCTGCTCAAGTGTCTAGAGCTGCCAGCCAACCAGTTAGTAGCACATCCTTGCTCTGCTTGCCGACTCCGTGGTCTTTGGCCACGTGGGCGCCGTCGGGCTGCCAGTCCCTTGTCCAGGGGACGAATAGGCAGCGTTTGAAAGGCATGCACCCGCAAACGGCTGCCTTGGACACACCGCAACGCGTAGACTCCAACAACCAATCCCTTCACCACCACCGTCTCACACTTGCACAAAGAAACCCCAACCCCCAGGCACAGGCACACGAACACACACGCACCTGCGCCCGCTCACACACACACACACACACGCGCGCGCGCGCACACATACATCCTGTGCGACTAATGGGCCCCAAGTTTTGCCTGCCTTCCTACGAGCTGTTGTGCTCATGGGCCAGACAAGCCCCGTGAGGGCGGGATAGGAGAATGAAAGAGAGCTATGGAGCTAGGGCAAGGAGGGAGTTTTGCGCGACGGGTCAGCCATTGGCCTTGGTCCTTTCCTCAACGGCCCTCTTGATTTCTCTTCGCTCCCAGGCGCTGATTTCCCAGGAGACCTTCGGTCAGCGGGGCCACGGGTTGGCAGCCAGGCCCAGAGAGCAGTGTAGCCTTGAAGGGGCGCGAGCCGCCCGGCCTGCTGGGTCGTGACCCGCCGTGGACAGTGCATCGGCCCCGAGGAGAGAGGGAGGTAAGCCTCGCTGTGCCCGAGGGGGTCCCGCTGTCGTCGGTGTGGGCTGGAGCTTGGCCTGCCCCGAGCTGCTGGCGCCCAGCGTGCCGTGTGCTGCTTGGCGCCCAGCGGGTGTGCTTGGATCGATGATGACTCCCCAAAATAACATTCCTTGGAAGCTGAACAAAATGAGTGAAAACTCTATAACCTTCGTTCTCATCGTGACTGACGTCCAGCCTTGTAGAAGCGGGGCCCGAGTTACAGTCGCACACATTCTTTGCTCCTTTGGAACACTGGCTGTATATCTCCTCACTGGCTGACACTTGCATTGTTTCTTTGGTGTGAGACTGCATTGTAGTGTTTATAATAGGATAGTTTGACCACAGTTATGTCACCCTTGGCTGCACACCTATATACTGAGCGAAATATTTATGTGCTTGAGGGCACACCCCCACAGACAGACTCATATTTTCCTTGCCTGTTTCTCAGGTGTTACTTGCTATTCATGGTCCTGACACACCTTTGAGGGTCTAATAGGAAAGTAGAGTATTGATTGCACGTTTTGATTAGCCCTCTGTAGGTATTACAGTTGTGTTTTTTGCTTTGATAATTTTCTTAACAATGATTTTATTTTCTCTTGTGTTCCAGGTTGTGGTATGCAAGGATGACTTCAGTTCGTGGGGTGCCATGTTTGTCCGAAGGCCCATCACTGTAGACACTTCAAGCAGCAGGATTATTGTGCCTCTCTTTTTCTCCTAGTCCCTAGAGAGTTTTACTATGTATAGTTGTGTGCCACATGGCCTGCTCTGTTCATTCCTGGCCCTTTTATCTCTTAGGACGGTAAGACTTAGCTGCTCAAATTTTCTTTTTATAGCCTTTGTCTTTTAAATGGTATTAGTTTTTTTTGTGTGTATGATCTATCAATGTTCTCTCATTAGCTCTGAAATTTTGTTTTTCCTTGAAAATTTGTGGTCCCAGAAAATTTCCTGTTTGTTAGTGACTCTACAATTACATCTTCTTTGTAGTGATCTAAATTTTTCACATATCAATAACTGTGATCGCTTTTTTTAATTGTGTTTGTTACACAGTGTATGCATGAAGCTGGTTATCATTGATATTCTTCCACCTCTCAGTTCACCAAATTTTGTGAGCTCATAGTTATATGTACTCCATAATCTCTTTGTCCCTCCTTGCTCTTTTGGCTGAATTTTTCACTGGAATTCCCACCTATCTTACATGCCATTGTTACCAATTATCTTTTCTCATTATGTTTTTGTGGGGGCCTGGTGTTCTGTTTGTAGTTGGTTCCCTGGAACCGTTCAACATGAAGGAAGGGTTATGTTGCCTTGCACAAATTGTACTCAGTTTTGGTAAGTCCACACTTGCAGGCTTGGACTAGTATGTTCCTTGTTTTATGTCTGCTTTAATTCTGCCTACCCAGTTTGTCCTGGAAGGAGACCCTGTGTCAGGGTGATCACATGTGTGCTAGTATTGGTACCCTGTTTGATATTGTGGTTGGTGGTATACATGTAGGTAGCTGATCATATGAGGCTCATGTCTGGCATACTGAGACTTCGGTTGAATCTTGTATCTGATTTGAGTTTCTTGGTGGCTCTTACCCTGCCTGGCGAATGATGATTTTGCCATAGTTTAGTTATTTTTTTTCTTTTTTAAATGTGTGGCTGGTACATGTCATTTTGTGACATGGAGCCAGGATGCCCAGTCTTATCTGGAGAGCGAATCCATCTAATGAAGAATGGACTCTAGGATATACCATATTTGCCTCTCAATAGCGAGGTGTTCAGGCATGTACCAGTATGCCTAACAAGCCTTTTTTTCTTAGGGTCTACTTTTTCACCTGAACTGACTTTTCAGTCCTTTGTTCTCTTGACTGTCATCTTCTTAGCTAATTATAAATGTACATACACTACCATCAAGCAATAGGTCTTCAGTTAGAATATACAAGATGCATGTATTTGTTTAATAATACCAAAGAGCATGTCTATTTCTGAGTGCCCTTGTATTTCTTCTCATCTCTTATGTATAATTAAAGAACTCAATGTCTATAAGGGTCCTTCATTGTATTGTAGTCTCTGAAGTTACTGTTTATGTGTCTCCTTTGAAATTCCTTTATTTTTTCCTGTTTAACTAGCTTACTTGATTTTTTTTAGTGTCCAATTTATCCTCCAGTTTAAAACATGCAATGACAACAGAGGCAAAAATCCCTTAAGATTATTTTCAGTTCTCCTTTGTGCAGAATGTCTGTTGTATTATAACTTTGCCCTTGGTTATATGCCATCATTAAGTGAATTTTCTCTCATCCAAGTAACAGTCTTTTTGTAATATATAGGAGGAACAGATTTTTTTTTAAATTTTGTTGGTCATGGCAGCTGAACTCTGCGCCCGGGCACTGTCCCTGAGCTCTTCAGCTCAAGGCTAGCACTCACCACTTGAGCCACAGTGCCACTTCTGGCTTTTTTCTGTTTATGTCATGCTGAGGAATCAAACCCAGGGCCTAATGCATGCAAGGCAAGCACTCTATAACTAAGCCAACTTCACAGTCCAAGGAACAGATTTTAAATGATACTGAGGCAGTTTAGGTGACATATTACTATGTTTGGTCAGTATCCCAGATTATGATGCCACATTTGGTGGTATCACAAAAGTGAACAATGTGGTTACCCTTATTGTTGCCATGTTCCTGTTAGTAGAGAGAATTATAAAGCCAGTATACATTTCTTATTTGCAGTGATATGTGAGCCAGTGTTTCATGGTGTGATATGGCAAGTTTGCATGTAAGGCTGTATACAATGGAAGAGAACTCTTGTTTGTTCACCCCAAGGGAGATTGTGTTTATATCCATGATTATGTAGGTACTGATGTCCTTCCTCAGCCATGTAAGAAATGAATAAGTACATTCCATATCATATTATTTTCCACAGTGATGTACCCTAAATGTCCCCTAAATGTCATGTGTGCTTAGATAATCTATGTTGGCCTTTGACATAGATGCTAGATAATAGTATAGGACCAGTTGGCATTGCCCTTGTAACCTGTGCATCTGTGTGTTTTTTAAGCACCTCTTTTTACTTCTCAAGTGGTTTTATAATGGAAAGTGAAGATTAGTCTTTATAAAATACCTAAAATATTGTTGGTTTCTTACATTTTAATGGAATATTATTTTATCTTAAAAAACAAGATCCTGCCAGGCACTGGTGGCTATACCTATAATCCTAATTACTCAGGAGGCTGAGATCTGAGGACTGCAGTTTGAAGCCAGCACAAAGTCTGTGTTCAAGGTCCAGGACCAGAAAAAAAAAACCCTTCCAGGCATTGCTGACTCACACCTTTAACTTTAGCTATCTTGAGGCAGAGAACTGAGAATCCTTGTTGGAAGCCAGCCAGGGAAGATAATTTCTTAATAATTTTTTTCTCCAATTAACCACCCCCAAAAGCCAGACATGAAGGTGTGGCTCAAGTGGTAGAGCCCTAACTCTGAGCACAAAGAAAGTACTTGGGCCCTGAGTTCAAGCACCAGGATGGGCACAAAAATAAAAGAGAAGGTCCTTCCATTTGCAACATTATGGATGAAGCTTGAGGCCATGATACTGAAGGAAATGAGATAGAAAAATGGTAAATTATTTGTGGACTCAGTAGAAAAGTATTAAGTTGGTTTTGGATAAGGCATAGAGGATATTGAGGAATGGAGCGTAAAGACTATAAAATGTTACTTGTGTAGATTAACCTATATCACATGGACTTCTGGAGAATGTAAAATGTGTTAGAAATACTGTACTGTGTAGTAATGTTTGTTAATAGAAAATACTTTAAGTACTAATCACTAAAAAAGAAAAAAGGGTATTTATACAAAAATTGTTGATCTATTAATATGCTTCCTTATAATAATTATTATACTTTATTTATATATATACATGTAATCGTATTTATACATAGAATTTGTATTTGTATATCTTAAATTATATTATGTATTTTTAATTTTCAATTTTTAAAAAATAATTCTTAAGTAGTTTTACAAGGATGTTTCAGTTCAGCCTGTCAGGTTCAAATAGTATGCATCTTGATGGTTGCCACCCCTTTCATTATTCTACCCTATATCTTCTTAACTCCATCCATCTTCTCAATTTAAATAATAACTTAAAGCTAGGTGCTAGTAGCTCATGTCTGTAATCCTATTCGAGTGAGATCTAGAATATTACATTTAGAAGACAGCCAGGTTATACAAACTACTTGGAACTCAATCTCCAAAATAAGAAGCAAAAAGCTGGGGATGTTCTCAAGATGGCGACGGGGCAGTAGGGAAACGCCACAGCTCTCTCCAACCAAAAAGAGAGTTCGAGTTCCAACCTTTAATCTCCCCAAGAGACCGACAACAACAAAAAGACGAACACTCAGAGAAAAACCAGAGGTGGAAAATAACAAAAAAAGAAAGAGAGGAAAAGAAGAATTTCAGAACAGAGAAGAGCGAAGACCCCTCCCCCAACCTTTACTGGCCGCGCGGCAGTGCGCCAAGCCGCCGGCCAGCCGGCCCGGCAGGGGCTGCCGGAGCCACAGAGACACAGGGGGCTGCTTGCAGATCACCAGGTACCGGATTGCAGAACAGCGGATCGCCAGGAACAGAGAAACCTACCAGCCGGGAGTCTCCAGGAGGATCCCACCCCACCCATCACTCTCCACCGGAGCGGAGAGGCTCCATCCCGCCAAAGCCGCCCGGCACCAGCAGCGCCACAAAGGGACCTGTCGCGATCGCAACGACCCGGCGGGGGGCCGCCCAACCCAGCCCGCAACCACCCCAACTGAACTCGGACTGCAACAACAACTGACGGACTGCAACAACAACTGACGACCTACAGGGTGAGTACCCATCAGGGGACAGGGAATCCATCAAGGGAGACCAGAGCTGGAGGGAATCCCCAGACCCTGACCTAGACTCCCTACCCCAACACCCGGACCACAGGACCCACTAAAACTGGGAACTGTTCGAGAGCCCCACCAGCCGGTGGAGCACACTCTGCTGGCCAGGCCAGAGCAAGAGCGCCCCGGGAAGGGAGCTTAAATGCTCAAGCCAGGAACAGTGCCCCTGGGTCAAGACTACCAACAGTAGAAGAAATTTGAACTGTGTCCTCCAGGCTGCATAACCAAGGTGGTATACACATTAGCACAGGCCTAACGAGCGCGCTCCAGGCTGGGGCCGGAACCAGGCCAGGGGACCGGCGCCTGAACAAAGCAAAAAGGGTCAGAAGTGGGGCTGTGGCTCAAATGGTAGGGTGCCAGCCCTGAGCTGAAGAGCTGAGGGACAGCACCCAAACCTAGAGTTCAAGCCCACAACCAGCCCAAAACAAACAAAAACACATCAGGAGCCCATAGCAGACTCCAGTATTTGGGAGAGTGCATCCAGAGCATCTGATCTTCCCAAGAGCACCCGCAGGAGCAAACACAAGCAGTCTAGGCTGCTCAACCCTTCCAAAGGCGGGAATTGCTACAGCAGAGAGCTGAGAATCCTAAGTGAATAGCAGCTGGAAATAGGCTCCCAACAGAATCCAGATCAGACACAGACTCTCTCTACCAATAGAGAATCAGCAACCAAGCAAAGACAGACACACCAAAACAAGATTGAAGAGCAGTCTCCTGAACCCCCATGCGAAAATCACAGAGAAAAATCACAAGGTTTACCACTACCCAGGACAGCAAGCTCACCTCAAAAGCCAGCAGCCACGCAGGGGAGAGCCCCAGTGGGAGCAAAGCAGGAATGGAAGACAAAAACTACATCCAAGGGTTGCTGGAGGCAATGACTCAAGAAATAAAGCGAGAAATGGATCAGA